AGTGGTCGCAAGTGCAACTGCCGGGCAAGGGGTCTCGGGTTCGATTCCAGGGTCGGGCAAAGTATTACTGGGTTTTAAAAAAAATCTCAATAGTAGCACGGAGTCTGGAACTGTGCCCGGTATATGGCAATAGGCTCACCCCCTATTACATGGTACTCATAACATAAATAGTGAAAAGTGGGTATTACATTGTACAGTGGCATAATGTGCACCTCTGCCTTCCCCTTCGGGGATAAAAGGCGTGATGTTAAGTTATGTTAACAAAAAAATTAAATCGGATCTATTTGCTCATTCCAATATTTAGATTCCTATGTAGAAGAACGAGCAAGAAACTCCATAGGTTACTCTTTTTCAATCAGGTTTACAATACCTACAATTCTCTAGTTTATTTATTTATTTATTACTGTCACAACGGTTGAAAACAAAAACCAATTAAAGTAACTGGACACATTAATAAAATAAACGATCAAACAATAAAACTATAACAAAACATATACAACGAACCAGAGGGTAAAACTTATTTAAAAAAACTAGTATTTAGATAGGTACATAGTTTGAAATACAAGTGAATTGATCCAAAAAATTATGCTTTATCGCGAATATTGCGCTCGCATCTACTGTTTGTAGTCCGTTCCACATAATTTATACTGTTGACAATTCGTCCATTGAACCCCGGCGCCGATAACTTCTATGTACATACCTACGCGTTATTCACTTACTATATGAACTGCAATATGATATTTAAGTTTTATTATAGACTAGCGACTCGCCCCGGCTTCACACGGGTGCAATATTGACTGCACGGTTGGTGCGGTGGCTGGGCAACCGGCTGCCGTGCAATGTGTCGCGGGTTCGATTCTCGCACGGAACAACACTTTGTGTGATCCACAAATTGTTGTTTCGGGTCTGGGTGTGTGTGTATGTGAACTTGTATGTTTGTAAATTTGTAAACGCACCCACGACACAGGAGAAAATCCTAGTGTGGGGCAACGTTTTTATTAAATAAAAAATATGCATGTGTTATACATATAAATCTTCCTTAAGAATCACTCTATCTATTAAAAAAACCGCATCAAAATCCGTTGCGTAGTTTTAAAGATATAAGCACACATAGGGACAGCCAGACGGTGGATAGCGACTTTGTTTTATACTATGTAGTGATTAGCTGTTGCCCGCGACTTCGTCCGCGTAGAATATGAATTTTAAAACATAACTTTGTTTGTTTCAATTTTCCAAAATAAAAGTACACTATAATATGTTACTTCTTAGTACTATATCAGCTACCTGCAAATAAAAGTCTTGCAAAATCGGTCCAGCCATTCCAGAGATTAGCCAGTACAATCAGACCCTTTATCAAATTCATTAAAATTCAATTAAATAATATAAAATCAAATTATTTAAGTATGGGTAAGCCATGTTTCGGTACCAATGGGCCAGCTCGACCGGAGTGATACCACGGCCACACAGAAAACCGACGTGAAGCAACGCTTGCGTTGTGTTTCGTCGTGTGAGTGAGGTTACCGGAGGCCCAATTGCTCCCCTCCCCAGTCTCCCGAATCCCCGAATCCTCCACAATCCTCAAATTCGCAATTCATAAAAGGCCGGTAACGCACTTGTACCGTCTTGGTGTTCCAGGTGTCCATGGGCGGCGCCGATTGCTTACCATCAGGTGATCCGTCTGCTCGTTTACCGGCTAATGCTATAAAAAAAACCATAAAAAACTACGATGATTTTATGACCAACCTGCAGCAGTAACCAAATGCCATTTAGCGCTTGTCTACATGTAGAATAGAAAACTAAATTATATGGGATTGACGTAAATTTTGACACTTGTCAGTGTCATCCCCATACATTTAGTTTTCTATTCTCTCTGTAGACAAGCGCTAAAGAGGCGTTTGGCTAAAGGCACTGACTACAAAAATAATTTTCATATATCCATATAGTACGTCAGTCGATAGTCGAGCCGTATCGCCTGGCCATTGACCATAGACAACAGAGCGTGACGGCATATGCCACTACTATATACAAATTAGCAGCCACGCGTTTAAAAAGCTTACAAAACGGTATTCTTTGAAGGTTAACGCAGTATAGCTAAGTGATTGGCGGTTGTGCTATGTGGCTCCGCAGCTGTAGCCAAACGCCATTTAGCGCTTGTCTACATGTAGAATAGAAAACCAAATTATATGGAATTGACGTAAATAGACAAGCGCTAAATGGCATTTGGCTAAAACTGCTGTGCCTTTAGCCAAACGCCACTTTAGCGCTTGTCTACAGAGAGAGTAGAAAACTAAATGTATTGGGATTTTTTATTTTTATTTTTAAGGAAAAACGTTGCCCCACGCTAGGATTTTCTCCTGTGTCGTGGGTGCGTGTCCAAACATACAATATCACATAGACACGACACCCAGACCCGGAACAACAATCTGTGGATCACACAAAGAGTTGTTTCGTGCGGGAATCGAACCCGCGACACGTTGCGCGGCAGCCAGTTGCCCAGCTACCGCGCCAACCGTGCAGTCGGCAGGGATGACTGACAAGTGTCAAAATTTACGTCAATTCCATATAATTTAGTTTTTTTTTCTACATGTAGACAAGCGATAAATGGCATTTGGCTACAGCTGCAGGATCGAAACAAAATCATTTTTAAGCCTTAAAAACAGCTGATAGATAACTCCGCTAACGTCGACGCCGGTGACTGCATGATCCATGGCGTTTATCGTGTTAAAACTCATAAAAGATTTTTACACTGTGTAATAATTGAATTAATTGTAAAGTTTGATACTTATTGACTTGACCTGACATCAGCTTTTTGTTTGTTTGTTTATTTGTTTGAACGTTCTAATCTCCGTAACTACAAGTCTGATTTGAATAATTCTTTTTGTGTTGGATAGCGCATTTATCGAGGATGGCTATAGGCTATAAAACATCACGCTACGTCCAATAGAAGCTGAGCAGAGCATGTGAAACCGCGCGGAAGTAGCTAGTGACTATTATATTTTTTGCTATCAAAATTAAAACGACCGTTTTGTACAACTGGAATGGCGGAAGAGAATGTATTCATAGACATATACATGCTTAACATAGACAACAATTGTTCACATATTGCAAACAGATGGCGTTAGTTTCTTTGATGTTATAAATCTTAACAATGACTTTGCTGACTGTATGTGCATACTATCATACGATCAATGGCTCTCGACCTGCACCGTTAGTGGGCAGTTCATGGTCATGCGCGTGCACACATTGCGTGTAGGGCTGCGCCAGCGTTATTGTTGGGTTTTTAATAGTATTTAGAGCAATAGTAAATTAAATTATATTTGTTGAATTTAGTATATTTTAATTTATACAACATAACATCACGCCGTTTATCCTCGAAGGGGTAAGCAGAGTTAATGCCACTGTACAATGTATCACCCACTTTTTTTATGTTATGAGCCCCATGTAATAGGGGGTGAGCCTATTGCCATACACCGGTCACAAATCCAGACTCGTACAGGAGTAGGAACGGGGTGGTTTTTAGTCAGTAAGAGTCTGACACTCCCTCCCGCCTCACCCAGGCGGGAGCAGTCATTCGATGATTTTCCCCCCTTAAAAAAAACGTGAATAACGTTATTATTTCTACCATTTTTGACTTGATATTGTCATTGAATTCATCGCCCGTCTTTGTGCAGTGTGCTCATGACCGGAACCGCGTGGTTAGGCCAATTAATTGGCCAGTGTACGTTGACATTGCATTTGATGTCATTTCCTGTTGCAACTGGGTACTTGCCTTCATAAAAAATAAATTATTTCGACTGTTCAATATAGTCAAATATTAAAAAATAATCACACTTTCATTAATTGATTTTATGACCAACTTAATTTTAGTATATTTCTAGCATATTTTTAAGCAATAAGTACGCTGTTTGACGCTAAGAAAACGCGACGTCACAATACACAATCTCGTACAAAATTCATAGAAAGCTGTCGTTTTTGACAGTTCGAAAAAAGTATTGAATTTTACTAACTAGTTGGCAAGTACACAATTAATGAACGTGTACTGTCAGTGTACATTGACATTGCATTTTATGTCATTTCCTGTTGCAATTGGCTAGTTTTCTATTCTTAAAATACATGGTTTCAACTTTTCAATGCAATAAATAATTATAAATAATCATACTCTCATCCATTGATTTGACAATTTACCTACTTTTGGATTTTTTCTCGCTAATTTTAAGGAAATAAGTACCTATGCTGTTTGACGCAGTAATATGATGACGTCATAAGTTGCGTTCCAATACAAAATTCGAAAGTATCGTTTTTGACATTTCAATGAAAGTATTGAATTTGACTACCTGTCAACTACCGTATTGGGTACTGTAACTTCTTTCTGAATTTTATATCCAGCTATTTCTGAGTTTTGAACTTAACAAAATATTCTGTGTTATCGTTTTACGTTAAATTGTATGACAAGCATTGTGAAGCTACCCGTATTTAATAAAATGTGTATTTTTTTTTTAATAAAAACGTTTTCCCACGCTTGGACTATCTCCTGTGTCGTGGGTGCGTTTACAAACATACAAGTTCACATACACAATGACACCCAGACCCGAAACAACAATTTGTGGATCGCACAAAGTGTTGTTCCGTGCGGGAATCGAACCCGCGACACGTTGCATGGCAGCCGGGTGCCCAGCCACCGCACCAACCGTGCAGTCATCATATTATAATATTATGATGTTACATATTAATAATATTGTGATGATAACTCATGGATGATAATAATTTATGTGATATAGAAACGTTAAGGTCATTAGAAATAAACATTAAAATCTTAATTGCACATCATAGTAAAACAAAGGCTGAAAGCATTCAAAAAAAGAATAAATAATTTAAAAATCAATTTCCATTCTTAGCTTAGGCATCAAAGTGAACAAGATAAAAGTGTAATAATTAATCTGTGGCGAACGGTGTTGCCAACCTAATGAGAACTTTGTGCTGAGTGTTGCCGCATAACAAAAATGCAGCGGCAACTGAGTAACGTTAGTGTTTATTCGTACCAGGATTATCAACCTTCGAGAAAATATGGTAAGGTTCAAAACGTTTTGCAAGGCATAATATTAAATTGACTCTAATGTGGTGTACCATGGTTTCATAATGAAATAGGATTTTTGTGCCCGTTTTCATCAACCACACCTCAACCACTCCCCAATTACTCAACACAATTAATCGCGACAAATATTAAAATTAGTCCTATTATTTTTCTGTCCATAGTTTTAAGCAAAATAATGTATTATTATTATCTAGTTAATAGTCTAGCATAATTTTACTTTAATATAGTAATTAAAAAAAAAAACATATTGTAAGTGGAGTACATTGAAATAAATTATTCTATTATATTATTCTATTCTAATTAAAAAGGGAGGTGCCGTAACAGGCGTTGCACCGTGGAGGCTCCAGGGTTGGTCTACTAAGAGGACCTGGGTGCTTACTCTTGAAACCAATCTCAATGCAATTTCAATCTAAAATATTAATCTCAATAATTATTCAATGTCAACACTATACAACCACAATCGTAGCTGTTACAATAGCATTAAGAGGACGGAATATAAAGACAAACTCAATACCATTTAGTTCGTTCAATTTCCACGCGATACGGATGCAATGGGCGCTAGTGTTGCAACTCAAGAGTACGGAATTTCACAATATCAATGTCGATCGATCGGTGTTGGATTCAAGAGTAAGCCCCCTGCTTAGTACGGGCTCCTGTCTCCCATTAATTGCTGAATTTATAAACATTTGTTAAAAGTTTGTTGTTACGTACCTAAAATATGTTTTTACCTGTTATGATTTTATATATTACGTAAAAAATGGGAGAAATAAAGAAGTCGGTTAATAAACAAATTATTATTTCCTTTATTTATTATGTAAAAAAAAAACATTTAAAAATATAAAAAGCAGTAGCCCACCAGTAACGGGAGAAATCCAAGCTACCGGTGGTCAGGGCTCCAGAGAAAGGAATTTCCGGGCAATACGCGCCGTGTCCAGAAGTACTGCTTTCTGCATCAGGCCCTTGACCCAACCATCTAACGCTAGCCTTCAGGTGTTGGTCGAGGCTTTTAGCAATGAGGCTATTGGCAAATTATTATTATTATTATCCATGGACGGCGCTTATTGCCTACCATCAGAAGACCCGTCTGCTAGGTCCCTTTAAACACGTTCTTCTTCTACTAAACTTCTGTATTCTCTCCTCCCAGGGCAACAGTATGAACCGGGCGGTTACGCGACGGCGGTGCAGCAGCGAACGAATATGACACAAAGGGAGGACGCCCTGAAGTTCGAGCAGGGTCGCATCAAAGCGCTGCAAGAAGAACGGCTGCATATACAGAAAAAGACTTTCACAAAATGGATCAATTCGTTCTTGCAAAAGGTTTGTTATAATTTTTTTTATGCCATAAGCCGGTAAACGCGATATTTTTGAACAGTTACTCAACTAGAAGCCTAAGTGTAATTCTTGATCATATCTACCGCTATTTCCAATTTCATTACGATACCTATAGCTATATACATTTTCTAGGAGGTAACTCGGCTATCGATTCTGAGTCCGAACCAATAAAAAAAATTGTAGGAAAATATTTTTCATTTTTCTGTAAATTACGGAAATCCGTAAGTGCGAACTATACGCCGCCGTCTTGTAACTAGCTTTATAACGCGGCTTAACACACACATACTCAAACACGTAATTGACATTATTCCTAATTCCGTAAAACTCCAATAAGAATCGTTGCTGTCGCTTATTCTGAAATTCTGTCGAAATAAAACGATTTATTATAGCCGTATTTTAACTATTGGCCCGAAACTTTCTTTTACATTTATGACTTCTGTGACATGCCCCCGAGAAATGACACGACTTCAAAACTACACCTTGTTTATACATATCACTTAGTCACAGCTTCTCTTGAAATAAGTGCATGACATAATATTCTATTAAAATATATGTGTCAACTGATGCATTACTCATGTTGTGATAATGTTATCTATTCAATTACAATATGCATGATGACAGGGTATGAAAATTAAAAATATAATTAGCCCGTAAGTTAGGTAATGATTAACAAGCTTAGCCCAAAGTATTAGGAAGCTGAAATGGCAGTGGGCCGGTCACATTTGTCGAAGAACCAATGACCGCTGGAGTAGACGTGTTCTAGAGTGGAGACCGGGAAAATAATGGAATGACTGTCATTGCATCCTGTGGTATACCGTGGGATGTTGTGGCATTTTGCCGAAAGCCCAGCTACAATTACCATGACTGCTGCACAATTTCAACGGTATTATATTTTCTACTAGCATACATTAACAGCTTTTAAGTGCCCACTGCTGAGCAAAGCCTCTTCTCACATACATTTGAGCATTAATCACCACGCTTGCTCATTGAGGGTTGACGATTTCAAACTTATAATTAGAAATTATAAGCCCAGGTTTCCTCACGATGTTTTCCTTCACCATTTATCAACGATGTCTAAGTAATCTTAGAAAGTACATATAACTCGGAAAAAGCCATATTGGCACTTGCCGTTGGTAGGGTTCGTCGTTCATGCATGAGAAGCAGGCGTCTTAAACCTCCGGGCCACCACGACCATTTCTACTAGTTTAGCAATCATAGTTCCTCGATACAAAATGACCTGTGTCCTGCGTGTTTCAATGGCGTGCTACGACCACCCATGTCATGCTCGCCACCAGTGGCGTAACTACAGGGTGGCAAACCCGCGAAATGTCACGGGCCCCCTGCTGGGAAGGGCCCCCGTTCAGAGGTTTTCATCTGAACTTCTCTGTTTTTAATTGGGAACGAGGGCCCATTCGATGAATTTGCCACGGACCCCGAATGGTATGGTTACGCCACTGCTTGCCACATCCTTATCCTTACTATTATAAATGGTAAAGTTAGTTTGTTTGTTTGTTTGTTTGTTTGTTCCGCCTTCACGCCGTAACTTCTAAACCGATTGCTTCAAGTTTTTGCAGACGTAAAATTAGAAGTCCGGATTAAATAACCCGGCCTTTTTATCCCGGAAAATTTTGGTATTCCCGAGGGAAAACAAAAGAATTGGTATAGATGGCGCTGTGTGTATTGGTATAAAGGCTACTTTTATCCTTTTGTGACGCGAGCGAAGCCGCGGGTAAAAGCTAGTATGTAATATATGACATGTAAGAGTTACCACTCGGCCTCTCATCTTTGTTGCGTAAAAGCCTTGCTATGATACACAAACACTCGAACAGATTTATCATATAATTGAGCAGCGGTGACATCACTATGATTGCATTGCTGAAGGTTACATTCTTTATTATGTACTTAATGCTAACAAAATGGCAGATTGACAATAGACAATTATTAGGTTGGACTATAAAAATATCATTTTTTGTTTCTCTGACTATGTTTATGTATAAAAACCCTTAAACCTTTTCCACGTGTTTTCCACAATGGGATAAATTCCAATTCTTTTTTCCTAACAATAAAGGACACTACAATAGAATAGGGTAGATGACTATTCGGTGTTGCGGAGAACCTAACGGGTTACCGGGGCTCCGGCTCGACGTGCAGGAGAAGGAACGGGGTGGTTTTTAGTCAGTAAGAGTCTGACACTCCCTCCCGCCTCACCCAGACGGGAGCAGTCATTCGATGATTTTCCGCCCTTAATAAAAAGGTTGATGACTAATTTTTATTTTAATGTCCGTCTGGTAGATTATTAAAAAACATTAGACACATATTTTTATGTTTTTTACGGAGACGAATAGTTTCGAAGATATATTGATTTGTAATGTCGCGTGACGTCACTTCTATGTACATTTTATACGCAGAAATGACGATTTAGCCCCGCTCCTTAACTTTGATTCGTTTTATCTAAGTATTGTTTTCTTATACGACAAAATAAAAAAATACGTGTCTAATATGTTTTCATTACCTAACTTACGGACTAATTAGATTTTTAATTTTCATACCCTGTCATCATCCCTATTATACAATTTAGTGCAGTCGTTCAGGAGATTTGTGCATACAAACATTTCTTTAATACATTTATCTACACAAATATTGTGAAAAATAGATTTTAGTGTCTTTCCAAGCTACAAGCTTATATAATAGTGAAGTCGAGGTTTCGGCTCGAGTTAGGAGTAGGAACGTAGTACCTAGTGTTCAGTCAATAAGAGTCTGACACTTGCTCCCGCCTCAACCTAGGTGAGAGGAGTCATTGCATGATTCACCCTCCTCAAAAGAGGAGGGTGAATCTCCTCAAAAGAGGAGGGTGAATCTCCTCTTTACCTTCACTTTATAAATGCCTACCGCTGACTGACCAAAGGCCTCTTCTCCCACGGAAAAGGTTTGAGCATTAACCACCACGCTTGCTCAATGCGGGTTGGCGATTACAAACTTATAATAAGAAATTATAAGCCCAGGTTTCCTCACGATGTTTTACTTCACCGTTTGTCAGTGGTGTCTAAATAATCTTAGAAAGTACATATAACTCGAAAAACGTCACATTGGTACTTGCCGTTGGTAGGTTTCGAGCCCGCACCCTCATGCATGAGAAGCGGGCGTCTTAAACCTCCGGGCCACCATGACATTCAACCTCTATCTACAATGAAGTAATATGTTTTTATTATATTTTTCAGGCGCGCATGGAAGTGGACGACCTGTTCATCGATCTAGCAGACGGTCGAAGACTCTTGAAGTTGCTGGAGATCATCAGTGGGGAGCGACTGCCCAGACCCAACAGTGGGCGTATGAGGGTCCACAAAATTGAAAATGTCAACAAAAGCTTGAGTTTTTTACATACTAAGGTACATTTCATAGAATATTTCATTTTTTTTTTTATTTATATTTTTACAAAATTTTTCATTAACATATTTTTTCAAAAAGTCCCTAAAACTAGATTGTATTATCTGAATCCTTACTATATTATTATATTATTATTATATTAATATTTTAATTTTAATTATTAATTATTATTATTATTTAATATTATAAATCGGAAAGTGAGTTTATTTGTTTGTTTGTTTGTTCCGCTTTCACGCCGTAACTACTAAACCGATTGCTTTGAATTTTTGAAGACGTAAAGTTAGAAGTCCGGATTAAATAATAGGGTACTTTTTATCCCGGAAAAATTTGATATTCCCGAGGGAAAACAAAAGTATTGGTATAGATGGCGCTGTGTCTATTGGTATATGTCACATAGGCTACTTTTTATCCTTTTGTGACGCGAGCGAAGCCGCGGGTAAAAGCTAGTAGGTAAAGAAAATGATTGAGTAATTGATTGAAAACCATAGATAATATTATTATCTATATGAGTCTGTATGAGTCTGGAATTGTGCCCGGTATATGGCAATAGGTTCGCCCCCTGCCTCCTATTACATGAGACTCATAACATAAATAGAGAAAAGTGGGTGTTACATTGTATAGTAGCATTAAGTGCCGTAATGTGCACCTCTGCCTACCCCTTCGAACAATGAGGTCACAAGTTCAGTATGACTAGCGAAAAAATAAATCTACAGACCCCTTTGAATTATAACAACCGTACTTAATATTATGTTATATCTATATAATTAGGGTCCAAAAGGACAATACGATGTTATCACTATGTTATCTTACATCACCTGTGTGTTATCAATAGATAAATAAAACCCAAGTTTACGATATACATGCTACTTTAAATGCTCATGTACCTAGCATTAAATATTTTTATAACCATCAGCTACTTAATGCATTTAACGCCATGGTGGTCACCGGTGACTAGGGTTGCCACCTTTTATTTTGGTATTTAAAGTATATTGACGATTATAGGTAAGAAAAAAAGTACACAAAAATAAAATACAATTTATTCTTATTTAGTAAGTATTATATTTAAAAATATACGTTTCATTGCTTTTTGCAGTTTGTATAAAATTTGTATCTTTACTAAAAAATGCATCTTTACTAGAAATTGTCTAATGGGCTCCGGCTCGACGTGCAGGAGAAGGAACGGGGTGGTTTTTAGTCAGTAAGAGTCTGACACTCCCTCCCGCCTCACTCAGGCGGGAGAAGTTATTGAACGACTTTCCCCCTTAAAAAAAAAGTGTAACAATCCAACCGCGAAATAGTTGACATTCACCATTTAATGCAATAGACAAATCAAGAAGCACCTTTATTTTTGAAGTTTGTCAAATATAACTTATTTACGGGAGGTAAATAAGGATAAAAATACAATGTATAATTTAGAATGTTACGCTTCAAAGTGTTGGAGTGTGAAATCGTTCAAACGAGGCTATACATTCATTCATACATTCAGTCTTGCGTAATTGAAGCCTGTCTAAGCCCAACATATGTAGGTCTTCCGGAACAATATTACTTATGTCTACTTGTATATTATATTCAACCAAGTTATTTAGTATACAGGCAAGAACATAATGATTGGTTCAGTCTGTACTGTCTCTGTAGACATTAGCTATTTTTATGCTTTTTGATAAAGCTAAAACTTTAAGCTGCCTCGTTGACCGAGTGATCGCAAGTGCGACTGCCAGGCAAGGGGTCTCGGGTTCGAATCCCGGGTCGGGAAATTTTGTACTGGTTTTTGGAAGGAGGAGTCTGGAAATGTGCCGGGTATATGGCAATAGTGAAAAGTGGGTGTCACCTCTGTGTGGACCTCTGCCTACCCCTTCGGGGATAAAAGGCGTGATGATGTTACTAAAACTTAAAGCTACTGTCATGCGATGTCCATTCTATTATTAATTTATTATTATTTTTATTTATTACTCGTTTCATACACTTTTAAATATTTTATTATAAAACCCACCAGTAACGGGAGAAATCCAAGCTACCGGTGGTCAGGGCTCCAGAGAGAGGAATTTCCGGACAATACGCGCCGTGTCCAGAAGTACTGCTTTCTGCATCAGGCCCTTGACCCAACCATCTAACGCTAGCCTACTCAGATGTTGGTCGATGCTTTTAGCAATGAGGCCATTGGCAGATACGACTATCGGCACAATGACTGCTGAATCCACATCCGACAATCTCATGAGCTAAATCAAGATATTTACTTGCTTTATCTTTTTCAGCTTCCAAGAGATTCTCGTCATGTTGGATTGTTATATCAACTACTAGCTTTTGCCCGCGACTTCGTACGCGCAATCTCGTTTTCTCGATACCCGTAGGATTTTCAGGAACTTTTTTCTGACATAAGAACCTTCTCATGACAATAAAAAACAAAAAAAAAATCACCCAAATCGGTCTAGCCGTTCTCAAGATATGGCGTGACAACGAGAAACGGGTTTAATTTTTATATATATACTAGCGGACCCAACAGACGTTGTCCTGCATATCCACTTGAATGTATAAACAAAAATTCATTCAAATTAATTCAGCTGTTTAGGATAAATAACCTAAACATCGACTGCAGCGCCATCTGCCGGGCTGATTTGTGAATCTAAACCATTCCCAGATCCCCTTGAACACACACAAAAAATTTCATCAAAATCGGTCCAGTCGTTTTAGAGAAGTTCAGTGACATACACACTCACAGAAGAATTATATATATAAAGATACATAGATCATTGTGCAACAGCTTGATCGGTCTATGATTATTTTTATTGTGTAGTTTTATTTATATAGCTTAGTCTTAAAATGTTCTTCATCACCAGGTGCGCCTGGAGTCCATCGGAGCTGAAGACATAGTGGACGGTAACCCTCGCCTGATCCTCGGTCTGATATGGACCATCATCTTAAGGTTCCAGATTCAGGAGATCGAAATTGATGTTGTAAGTATTGGTTGAGTTTTAGCTGCGCTAAAGTGTGTTGAAGTTTGCGCAATTAGGTAGTTTCCAGGGTATCAAAATTAAAAATGTAATTAGTCCGTCAGTTAGATAATGAAAAAATATTAGACACGTATTTTTTTATTTACTCGCATTAAACTGTCAAACACCAAGCGGTCACCGGTGACCGCGACCTATTATTCTTTAATTGTGTCTATAAAACCGGTACTCGACGAGTTAAGTTGCAATACTTAGATAAAACGGCGCTAAGTTTAAGAGTGGGAGTTGTTACGTCATATCGTGATACAAATTGTGGCACGCTGTGACGTCTCACGATATTTCAAATTAATATATCGTCGAAAGTATTTACTTTTGTGAGTAAAGAAAAAATACGTGTTTAAAGTTTTAAATTAATGTACCAGACGGACATTAAAATAAAATTTAGGAAACTACCCTATTACAATTAAAGAACAATAGGTTGCGGCCACCGGTGTCCTCGCGGTGTTTGACAGTTTAATGCTTAGTGATTTATGTATGAGTTACGAGTATCTTTGATTCAGGTTGGTAAAAGCACCCGTTTCTCTGGTCAAGATCCATCTGGACACCGGTGACCGCTCTCCACTTACACCATTATAGACGTTATTACCAATGTCTAGAGACTACTTTAGCATGAACAAATGTTGTGGATTTTTCAAAATCATACATTTACGAGTTAAAAACAAAGATATAGGTGCTTGACAGAAAACTGAACTGAAATCGTACGTAATTGATAACTTTTCGAGGATACTCGAATAATTTCTAGCCATGTCGGAGCTCATAACCGTGAAATACACTCGATGAACGACATCGACCCCTTTACTTATTGTTTTCTGTAATCAAATAGCTACTGACTTACAAAAGATCCTATCATTTCATTATGGCGGCTACTTTTGACTGCTGGTTGGGTGACCAGCTGCCGTCAAACGTGTATCGGTTTTGATTCCCGCACGGAGCAACTCTTTGTGTGATACTCTTTATTGTTCCGGGTATGTGTGTGATGTGTATGTGAACTTGTATGTTTGTAAACGTACACACGACACAGGAGACAATCCTAGTGTGGGGCAATATTTAAATAAGAATCTTAATTGCAGGATGAAGAAAATGAATCCTCAGAGAAGAAGTCAGCCAAGGATGCCCTGCTCCTCTGGTGTCAGCGTAAGACTAGTGGCTACCATGGAGTCCATATACACAACTTCACAGACTCCTGGAGATCCGGTCTTGGGTTCAACGCGCTCATCCATGCCCACAGGTACGGTTACCCATCCATTTCTATACCTCGGGGTGATTTGCTTAACTTTTGAGGGTGTGTTTGAATTATGTTTTGTAATGTAACCGTGAGGTCTTGAATTCGATTCTCGATCTATGAGGTGTTTTAATTTCAGTTTTTTTTTATAAAAAGATAAGAATCTCTGTTTTGTTGGTTGAGTAACCAAAAGTTGGGTCTTAGGTTCGATTCCCGAATTGGATAAAGTGTTATGGCAATTTCTCGAATTATAAAAATATCTATTGTGTCTAGAATTCCTTTTAATCCTTACCTAGTTTGAAACCATGGAATAATGGCATAATTCTTGCCCTACTCACAATTATGGGGCCCTGGTTTACCTCGAAACGAGTCGACCGACATCCTTAAAAACTTACAAATATGTATAAACTAGCTGTTGCCTGTTGCACACAGAAGTAACATCCACTTTTCACTATTTATGTTATGTGTCCCATGTAATAGGGGGTGAGCCTATTGCCATATACCGGGCACAATTCCAGACTCCGTACTACTAATGAGATTTTTTTTAAAACCCCAGTAATGCTTTGCCTGACCCGGGAATCGAACTCGAGACCCCTAGCCCGTCAGTCGCACTTGCGACCACTTGGCCAACGATGCAGTCTGTTTTGTATATAACATAACATAACATCACGCCTTTTATTCCCGAAGGGTTAGGCAGAGGTGCACAATATGCCACTGTACAATGTAACACCCACTTTTCACTATTTATGTTATGAGTCCCATGTAATAGGGGGTGAGTCTATTGCCATATAACGGGCACAATTCTAGACTCCGTACTACTAATGAGATTTAATTTTAAAACCCCAGTAATGCTTTGCCCTACCCGGGAATCGAACCCGAGACCCCTTGCCCGGCAGTCGCACTTGCGACCACTTGGCCAACAATGCAGTCTGTTTTATATATGTCGTGATCTCCTATAATTGGAGAAGCACAAGGTATCTGTTTATTGTATTAACACTGTGCATGTTCCGTGTATTCTCTGTTGGAGATCCTTTTTAAATAAATATATCTGTATAAATAAACCATACTACGCAATTAATATTCCTCTTTTTCTATTTACAGACCAGACCTCTTCCGTTGGTCGGAAGTCCCAGCTACAGACCATGTGGAGACTCTGAACCATGCCTTCGACGTGGCCCACAAACACCTGGGCATTCCTCGTCTGCTGGACGCTGAGGGTAAGGAAACCAGATCATTAAACTGTCAAACACCAAGCGGTCACCGGTGACCGCAACCTATTGTTCTTTAATTTCGCGGAGAACCTAACGGGTAACCGGGGCTCCGGCTCGACGTGCAGGAGAAGGAACGGGGTGGTTTTTAGTCAGTAAGAGTCTGACACTCCCTTCCGCCTCACCCAGGCGGGAGCAGTCATTCGATGATTTTCCCCCTTAAAAAAAAAAAATTGTTCTTTAATTGTGTCTATAATGACGGTACTGAAAGAGTTAATACACTTTTATTAGGTCGACCTGTATCGAACTATTGTTATGTAAATTAGGTGAAGACAGGGTATGAAAATTAAAAATCTAATTAGTCCGTCAGTTAGATAATGAAAAAAATATTAGACACGTATTTTTTATTTTGTCCCGTAAGAAAACATAACATAACATCACGCTTTTTTGTCCCCGAAGGGGTAGGCAGTTGTGCACATTACGGCACTTAATGCCACTGTACAATGTATAAGAAAACAATACTTAGATAAAACGGTGTTAAGTTTAGGAGTGGGAGCTCGTTACGTCACGCTACCCTATAAAATGTAGGCGCGGAGAACCCCTCCGGTAACCGGGGCTCCGGCTCGACGTGCAGGAGAAGGAACGGGGTGGTTTTTAGTCAGTAAGAGTCTGACACTCCCTTCCGCCTCACCCAGGCGGGAGCAGTCATTCGATGATTTTCCCCCCTTAAAAAAAACCCTATAAAATGTAGTAAACGTGACGTCACACGATATTTCAAATCAATATATCGTCGAAGGTTTTTTATTTTGTAAGAGAATAAAAAATACGTGTCTAATGTTTAAAAATAATCTACCGGACGGAGATTAAAATAAAAATTAGGCATCTACCCTATTGTTGTATCATTGTAAACTTGGCAATTGTATGTAGATTAGATGACAATACAATATTATGGTGCCATCGAGCTGGTTTGATGGTGGAATTAGAAGGTTTAAGATATCGATTTTGGGCTCATTAGAAAAGTCTATAGGGGCAATGGATCTCGGGTTCGATTTCCGGATCGGGCAAAGTACTACTGAGTTTAAAAAAAAACAAAATCTCAGTAGTAGCACGGAGTCTGGAATTGTGCCCGGTATATGGCAATAGACTCACCCCCTATTACATGGGACTCATAACATAGATAGTGAAAAGTGGGTGTTACATTGTACAGTGGCATAATGTGCTGTAGTACGCCTAATATATAATGTTTCTCTTTCCCCCACCAGATGTGGACACCAGCCGTCCTGATGAGAAATCAGTCATGACATACGTGGCGTCCTACTATCATACATTCGCCAGAATGAAGAACGAACAAAAGAGTGGCCGGAGAATCGCCAATGTAAGTAATGAAACTCCTTTTACTAGATTTTTAAGCCGAAATAGGCTCTTACATGACGAGCGCGTGTGGGAGAGATATGCTTCGGCACGAATGGGCCGGCTCGACCGGAGTGATACCACGGCCGAGCAGAAACAGAACAGAACATATAAAAAACGGAACCCAACGTGTTGATTATTTCACGTCTATAATATAGACCATTGCGCTTAAGTGTGGGAGAGCTATGCTTCGGCCACACATTTATGTAAGACAGATCAGCTTTCGTTTTTTATCCTTACTAATATTATAAATCGGAAAGTGAGTTTGTTTGTTCCGATTTCACACCGTAACTACTAAACCGATTGCTTTGAATTTTTTCAGACGTAAAGTTAGAAGTCTGAATTAAATAATAGGGTACTTTTTATCCCGGAAAAATTTGATATTCCCGAGGGAAAACAAAAGTACTGGTATAGATGGCGCTGTATGTATTGGTATATGTCACATAGGCTACTTTTTATCCTTTTGTGACGCGAGCGAAGCCGCGGGTAAAAGCTAGTAAAAACTAAACAGCGAAATCGTCTTGCCGTCGATAGCGATTTAACCATTGCACTAGCAAAGACTGAACCCAGAATCGACTGGTACAGAAGATACAAGCTCAAGTATCTCATAGTCATTAGTATTTAATAATTTTAAAAAAACTAGCATATTTACCTTAATGTGAAAGTAATTAATGGTTTTCAAGTGTAGACACATATATCTTCTCTTATTAGATCCTTAAAACAAATATCTACAAATATCTGTATGGAACTCTTAGTTCATATATATAAAAACAGGCTAAATTCTAAAACAATCGACTTTATATGCACCCATATCAAGTATTAATAGCTGAAACATTATTTTAAATGTATATTTTTACATCTTTTTACAGATAATTGGCCAAATGATGGATTGCGACGATCGTAAAGGTGAATACAGCAAGCTGTTCAGCAAGCTACTGGAATGGATTCTCCTGAAGATACAGGAGCTGAACGGGAGAGAGTTTCCTAACTCCTTGGATGGAATACAACGATTATTACTGTCTTTCAAGCAGTATAGAACCGTTGAGAAGCCGCCGAAGTAAGTCCTTACTAATATTATAAATCAGAAATGAGTTTGTTTGTTTGTTCCACTTTCGCGCCGTAACTACTAAACCGATTGCTTTGAATTTTTACAGACGCAAAGTTAGAAGTCTGAATTAAATAATAGGGTACTTTTTATCCCGGAAATATTTGATATTCTCTAGAGAAAACGAAATTATTGGTATAGATGGCGCTGTGTGTATTGGTATATGTCACATAGGCTACTTTTTATCCTTTTGTGACGCGAGCGAAGCCGCGGGTAAAAGCTAGTATTTTTATATTTGAGTTTTTTATGGGATAACCCGGTAAACAAGTGAACGGATCACCTGATGGTAAGCAATCGGCGCCGCCCATAGACATAAACAACACCAGAGGCGTTGCAAGTTCGTTAAAAGCGCTTTATGGATTAGGAAGTTGAGGATTGTTGGGGATTCAGGGATTGGGGAGGTTGGGGAGGGGGATAATTGGGTCTACGGTAGCCTCAGTAACACGACTGCACACACTGCTGTGGTAGTGTCAGTATGGTGTACAGCTCGTTGGTATCGCTCCGGTTGAGTCGGGACTGCAGGGCCGGAGCATGGCGAGCACATACATACTTATGTATATATTTTCCTACCTGTATATTAAATAACTTTGCTTACTGGTAATGTTGATATTCAGTAGAAATTTCTAAAAAAGTACAATATACATAACTTAACGTCACGCCTTTTAGCCAGACAGAGGTGCACATTACGGCACTTAATGCCACTGTACAATGTAACACCCAATTTTCACTATTTATGTTATGAGTCCCATGTAGGGATGAGTCTATTGCCATATACCGAGCACAATTCCAGACTCCGTGCTACTAAGAATTCTTAAAAAAAACTCAGTAGTGCTTTGCGCGACTCGGGAATCGAGACCCCTTGCCCGGCAGTCATACTTGCGACCACTCGGCCAACGAGGCAGGCAAGAACAATTTCTATTACCCGAATAAATTTTGATGATCATGATGTCGTGGTGGCCCGGAGGTTTAAGACGCCCGCTTCTCATGCATGAGGGTGCGGGCTCGAAACCTACCAACAGCAAGTATCAATGTGACTTTTCCGAGTTATATGTACTTTCTAAGATTATGTAGACACCACTGACAAATGGTGAAGGAAAACATCGTAAGGAAACCTGGGCTTATAATTTCTAATTATAAGTTTGAAATCGCCAACCCGCATTGAGTAAGCGTGGTGGTTAATGCTCAAACCTTCTCCGTGTGAGAAGAGGCTTTGGTCAGCAGTGGGCATTTATAGGCTGTTGATGTGTATGTGTATGTGTGAATAAATCTTAAAACAACAGACCTTATAACTATTAATCTGCTTCTAGGTACAAGGAGCGCTCAGAAATTGAAGCTCTATACTTTGACATCAATACTATGCAGAAGAGTCTCACAGGAGAAGCCTGGGCTCCACTCGAAGGTCAGCTGCCTCAGGACCTGGAGAGAGCCTGGCAGCAGCTGGAACAGGTACCTTATACTGAAGTTATTTTGTAAACACACACACGACACAGGAGACAATCCTAGTGTGGGGCAACGTATTTTTAAAATAAAAAACATAAACCTGATGTAAAAACCGTGTTTTTAGTTTTATAAATGTACATTAATTTTGTTTGTCTTCTTTATTAATATTTTAATAAATTGATGTTTTTTCTAGGCGGAGCATGCTCGCGAGATCGCGCTAAGAACAGAACTACTGAGACAACAGAGGTTGGAACAGCTGAACTACAAGTTTAATACTAAAGTAAGTAATATTTACTAAACTAGCTACTTCCGCGCGGTTTCACACGCTCTACTCAGCTCCTATTGGTCGTAGCGTGATGTTTTATAGCCTATAGTCATCCTCGATAAATGCGCTATCTAAGACAAAAAGAATTATTCAAATCAGACCTGTAGTTACGGAGATTAGCGCGTTCAAACAAACAAACAAAAAAATAAACTGTTCAGCTTTATAATATTAGTATAGATAACAATATTTTTTATTTTGAATAGCAACATTTATCACCACGGCTACTCTTGCTGTGGGTGTCGTATACCCTAAGGAACTACATATTTGACAGAGGCTCAGCAGCAGCGCTTTCCAATAAGTCTTTTTTGATCACCTACCTGTTGGCCAAGCGTAAAGAATGATCAAACATATTATGTATATATAAAAGTATATTGTAGCAGTGAGCTGTCACGTGTTGTTGATTTTGAAAGTATACGAAGACGCTTGACTAATTTCGAGGCACATCGGAGCTCATAATCAAGAACCACATTTACAAAAGACCACTCTTTTATTTATCCTTTAACCGCCACAGTTTGTTCTACACAACCGCTAAATTGTACTTCAAAATTCGATTCGATTCGGTAATTGGGCCTTCGGTAACCTTATTCACACGACGAATCACAACGCAAGCGTTTTTATTTTTTTTATGGCATAAGCCGGTAAACGAGCAGACGGATCACCTGATGGAAAGCAATCGGCGCCGCCCATGGACACCTGGAACACCAGAGGCGTTACAAGTGCGTTACCGGCCTTTTGGGGATTAGTAGTTTGAGGATCGTTGGGGATTCAGGGATTGAGGAGATTGGGGAAAGGGAGGGTAATTGGGCCTCCGGTAACCTCACTCACACGACGAATCACAACGCAAGCGTTGCTTCACGTCGGTTTTCTGTTCGGCCGTGGTATCACTCCGGTCGAGCCGGCGCAGCATGGCTCTCCCACACTTGAACTCTACATTAACCCTCATTTCCTCTTCAACAGTCAGTCCTCCGTAAAGGCTACCTGAAAGAGATGATCCAGGTGCTCTCCGACCCTCGCTACGGCTCCAACCTGGCCCAGGTCGACGCTACCGTGAAGAAACATGAAGCCATCTCTGCTGATATACTGGCTAGGTAAGACGGGGTAATGTTTTCGAGGTTAAGATCAAAGCTATATTAAACTGTCAAACACCGCGAGGACACCGGTGACCGCAACCTCTTGTTCTTTAATTGTGTCTATAATGACCGTACTCAAAGGGTTAAGTCAGTAAGTTGACTTGAAAGAAGTTAGTTATTAGACCAGTGACAAGTTATGTCAAAATAATACATATCTAATAATATCAAAAAACTGTCGTAACATAACATAACACCTTTTATCCCCGAAGGGGTAGGCAGAGGTGCACATTATGACACTTAATGTCACTGTACAATGTTACATTTACTTTTCACTATTTATGTTATGAGTCCCATGTAATGGGAGGTGAGTCTATTGCCATATACCGGGCACAATTCAAAACTCCATGCTACTACTGAGAATAAAAAAAAAACAGTAATACTTTACCCGACAAGGGAATTCCACCCGAGATCCATTACCAGGCAGTCGCACTAGCGATCACTCGGCCAACGAGGCAATCTAATTAATATGATCTATCAAATCAAAACCAAACCTAATCCTACGTCAAAGTCAAGGTCAAAAATTTTACCATTAAAAATCCATTCATCTTCTTCAGAACCGAACGTTTCGAGGACCTCTCAGCAATGGCAGCAGAACTTGTCCGGGAGAACTACCACGGGGCTGAAGCTGTCTCCAGGACGGAACAGGCGGTGCTGGCCAGGTGGAACGAACTCCTGGAACTGCTGGAGAGGCACCGGAGCTCTTTGGCTAAGCTGGCTCATCTGATGGCGCTGTTAAGGGAAGCTGATACTGTTGGACATACTCTTACTGAGATGAAGGTAAGGGATACGATTCTTATCTGCCGGGCTGATTTGTGAATCTAAACCATTCCGAGATCCCCTTGAACACACACAAAAAATTTCGTCAAAATCGGTCCAGTCGTTTGAGAGAAGTTCAGTGACATACACACTCACAGAAGAATTATATATAACTAGCTTTTACCCGCGGCTTCGCTCGCATCACAAAAGGATAGAAAGTAGCCTATGTGACACATACCAATACACACAGCGCCATCTATACCAATAATTTCATTTTCCCTCGAGAATATCAAATTTTTCTTGGATAAAAAGTACCCTATTATTTAATTCAGACTTCTAACTTTACGTCTTTAAAAATTCAAAGCAATCGGTTTAGTAGTTACGGCGTGAAAGTGGAACAAACAAACAAACAAACAAACTCACTTTCCAATCTCGTCATAACGTCACGCCTTTTATCCAAGGCAGAGGTAGGCAGAGGTGCACATTATACCACTGTACAATGTAACACCCACTTTTCACTATTTATGTTATGAGTCCCATGTAATAGGGGGTGAGCCTATTGCCATATACCGAGCACAATTCCAGACTCCGTGCTACTACTGAGAATTTTTTTAAAACCCAGTAATACTTTGCCCGACCCGGGAATCGAACCCGAGACCCCTTGCCCGGCAGTCGCACTTGCGACCACTCGGCCAACAAGGCAACTTTCCAATCTATATATATAAAAGAAAGTTGTGTTAGTTACACTACTTATAACTCTAGAACGGCTTCATCGATTTGGATGACAATTGGTGGGGAGGTAGATTAGAACCAGGAGACGGACATAGGGTACTTTTTCATCGATTTTTTTTTACTTTTTACTGAAAATCACGAACGGGAACGGGAAAGAAAGGGATTGCGCGTACGAAGTCGCGGGCAGAAGCTAGTTTATAATATTAGTAAGGATTTAATTGTCGGGTTAAAGGGTTTTAATGTCGTGGTGGCCCGGAGGCTTAAGACGCCCACTTCTCATGCATGAGGGTGCGAGTTCGAAACCTACCATCGGCAAGTACCAATGTGACTTTTTCCGAGTTATATGTACTTTCTAAGATTATTTAGACACCACTGACAAACGGTGTAGGAAAAACATCGTGAGGAAACCTGGACTTATAATTTCTAATTATAAGTTTGAAATCGCCAACCCGCATTGAGCCAGCGTGGTGATTAATGCTCTAACCTTCTCCGTGTGAGAAGAGGCTTTGCTCAGCAGTGGGCATTTATAGGCTGTTGATGATGAAGGATTTAAATATTGTTTTCTCTTTCACAGGCACAATTCCAATCCGAGGAAGTAGGTCGCCATCTAGTCGACGTCGAACGCTTATTACAAGCGCACGCCCTCCAGGAACTACAGCTGGGCGCGTTAGATGAAACTATACGTCGGCTCGTCCGGCAGGGAGCTAGCGCTGATGGAGCAGCTCAGCCTAAACAACAGTTGACGCAGCAGTTGACGCAGTTGACACATGATTATGACAGGTTTGTAGGATACATTTTCAGTTTTAAAGTATAATTTACTTGCATTTTGATGATCCGACAAATAACGAAATAACATAACAGAACATCCCGCCTTTTATCCCCGAAGGGGTAGGACGAGGTGCACATTACGGCACTTAATGCCACTTTTACAATGTAACACTCACTTTTTACTATTTATGTGGAACACCAGAGGCGTTACAAGTGCGTTACCGGCCTTTTGGGGATTGTTGGAGACTCAGGGATTGGGGAGTTTGGGGAAGGGGGGATTGGGCCTCCGGTAACCTCACTCACACGACGAAACACAACGCAAGCGTTGCTTCACGTCGGTTTTCTGCTCTGCCGTGGTATCACTCCGGTCGAGCCGGTCATTCATACTGAAGCATGGCTCTCCCACACTTGAACTCTCACTCTTCTACTCATTATACTAGGGTTACTTTATACAAAAAAAATAAACTTCTGTTTGTAAGAAGACACGTAAGACACAAAATACAATCCTATTCTAAATTCTTAAGAAATATAACGTTATCATTCTATAGATAATAATATTATTTTTCTTTGTTTCCAGCTTGGTGGCCGCTGCCAAGGACCGTAAAGCCAGACTAGAAGACGCCAGGAACCTGTACCAGTTCCTGGAAGACCATGATGAGGAAGAAGGTATGATTTCAAAACTTTTCAAATGAATTTTATTTTGATTCTACTGCTTTTGTACGCATTTCGATTCCCATCATATCGGACAAAGAACATATCACCGTATCACATTTGTAATACGGTACTTATTCCTTCGGAGCTTATAACTAAATTTATTCAATGTTTAATAATTATTTTATAAACTATATTTTTCAAAACCGACTTCAAACTCCTTTTTTTGAAGTCGATTTAAATTTTAAAATTACTTACCTAACTCCAAAACCGTGCCCTTAAACCGTTAATTTTACACAGTGGGAACAGGGTGTAAAGTTCCCTAAGATCGGAAAAGGAGGATCCTCTGACCAGGGTGCTCAGTCTTGAAACCAATCTCAATGTCAATCCAATAAAATCTCAATAATTACTCAATACTCAATACGTTTATTGCACTCCATATGTTTATAACAGGGACTGAATAACCGAAAAATTACGATACCTTTAAATTGCGGTATGACGTCATACCTTTAAATAAAGGTTACCGCTTAATTTCGGTATCGAAATTTAATTTCGGTACCGTTATTTTTGGGTATGAAATGAAAACCGGTATATTTCGGTACCGGTACCCTAACCTGAATAATAAAGATATGAGAGAGATATTGACCGCGCTAGTTTATCTATCCTATTTCATCGCATTGCATTCGTTTGGCGTGTTTTCTGGACACAATCACATGCGTCTCACGTTATATTTTATGGTGTGCTGAGTTGAATTGGGATAACAATGTCAAATAACGCACGAAAATTTATAATAATAGAAACAAGTAAGTATATGTACTTATGTAATCTTATAATAACATATTTCTAATTGACACGTAACGAGTACTAAGTACTGGTATCTTACCTACTCGTTGTCGACGCGTACGGCACGCGGCGACGATGTAACGCCAGTAGACACGCTCACACACAGACGCTGCGTGCGTATTATTTTACCATACACTATATTATTACACTTTTTATGTTATTAGCTCATTACTATAGTTTATTATAACGTAGTGTGTTATAATATTTTTTTACCTTATAGGTATATATGTTCACGACATTTTTGTCAAAAATTGGTTAAATGCCTAAAGTTTTTTATTTCTACCGCGGTGGGCGCGGATTTCCAGAATTCTTGTTTTGATTGAAAAGGTATACTCCCGAGATGGTCCTTTTCATTGAGGTCAGGATCTGATAATGGAAGCCTAGGAAAAAACCGAGGAGAACTTATGAAAATTGTAGGGGCAAGTAATATGTCTATTGTTATTCAATTAGGATTTTTAAATATGTACTACAATTTGAAAAGGGTCTGGAGCCGACAGACAGTCAAAGGAACTCCTCAACGGTTTATATTAACTACCTTGTGTTTGGGTTTGATTGATTTGTATTGATGAGAACTTTACACCTAGATGGAGTAGGACTATCATTAAGGGTCTGATGATGAAGAACTGTAATTGTTAAGAGAACTCGTCAACGGTTTATAGTAACTACCTAGTGTTTGGGCTTGTATAATTTGTATTGATTAGAACTTTGCGCCTATGTGAATTATAAGTGGCAAAATGATAAAAAAAACTGCGTTTAAAAAACCGACATCATAAATTAAAAAAAAATTAATAGCAAACAAAAAGTAAAAACTAAAAAGCAAAAAATAACTATTTCATAAAAAATAACTATCAGTACTGATAGGTAACGCACCCACTGACATAAATTGTTTTATTGAATGCGAATTTAAACATTGGGCTTCTCTCTGAGTGACGGAAGTCAATGAATTAATTATGTTTCTAAAAGCTAAGTCGTCCATCATGGAGAATGGTCTACCATGTACAGTCACCAAATTGATACATTGGGTTTTTAAATAATTAAGTCTATTGCTATAAGGAGCAGGGTCACCAGATGTGCTTGTACTAGCCCCTTCGTCGGTATTAACATTTTCTTTATTTGTGACTAGCGGCCCGTCCCGGCTTCGCACGGGGAGACTTAAGATTTTTTACATAGTTTTACGTTTTATTTATATTTATTCTCAGTTTTTTTTAGCGACCTGCCCTCCGTTGTCGATGTCGCGTCTTAAGGTAACCGATTGAACAATTCAAAAGTTATCTAGAGCAAACTTTTATAAGGATTGAACCATTCATTAAAACGATTGTTATGGGTAAACTATAAAAGGTAGACATATGCTCTCGCGGACTTTTTTAAAAATAATGTTAAGATAAACAATTCATCTATAGAACATTTTTGTATAACTTTAACTATATGCTCAGCGCACGCCACGGAAGGCCTCAGAAACGATATTTTTCCCCCGTTTTTAAAACATTTTTGGTTACTGCTCCACAACTATAGGACCTAGCGTGATATTATATAGCCTATGTTACTTCTGATTAATGCAGCTTTCGAATGGTGAAAAAATTATTGCAATCGGTTCAGTAGTTTTTGAGTTTATTCATTACAAACATACAAAAATACAAATCTTTCCTCTTTATAATATTAGTATAGATTAGTATAGATATAGATATCAGTCATCAAACGGTTCCTCTCAGTTACTATATTGTGTTCAGTGGGATGTTTGGATGACAAATGATACATAAGATTTGTTCCATGGTTACCCTAAAACTAAATAATAACATGTTACTATAATTATGTATATGTATTAAGTAAGAAAGTTTTGTTACTGAATCATTGGCATCATCAATTCAGCATTGGTAAAACAATCTAAATTGAATACCTAATTAAGTAAGTATATGTATTATATAACTGTTTAGGGACGTTATGGGTTATAGTTATTTTATTGTAATGGTGTTATAGTCTAGCCGTGGACCTACCGTTGCGCACGCTGTGCAAGTGTGCAACCTATTAAGTATTAGTCATACGGACTTTTAAGTTAATAAAAAATCAACCTAATTAAAAAATAAACTTTACTCAGTAAACTCCTTGGCGGCCTGTCTGCTTCTCTTCTGATGACCCGTCAGCTTGTGCGGAAGCCGTAACGGGGGTGCTGCGCCAGGGCATGGAATACTACATTCCATTCTCGGACGTGGCATCCTCTGGTGGGACCCGTCCTTGGTTCGATGCCGACTGCGGACGTGCCGAAGCGCTAAAGCAGGCGGCATACTTGGCATGGGCGGATGCCAGGCGCCGTAGGGCTGATGACATTCATCAAAAGAAGAGAGCCTTTAATCGGGCTGCCAAGTCATGCAAAAAGGCATTACGGATGGCTCGATTTAACCACATTAGCCGTATAGGAAACAAACTAGCTTCCTACCCAGCGAGAAGTAAAGCTTTTTGGTCCCTGGCCAAGGCGGTTGAATCGAATTTCTGTCGCTCCTCACTTCCTCCGCTCCTGAGGTCTGACGGGACGCTGGCTCACACTGCGGTAGAGAAAGCAAATCTATTTGCTTCTCTATTTGCGGAGTCTTCGCGTCTTGACACTGGTGGCGCCTTGCCTCCTTCTATTAATAGCGTATGCAAGACGAATATGTCGCAAATTCGCATTCGACAGAGGGAGGTATATAGGACGCTACGCGATCTGGACGTGAACAAGGCCAGTGGTCCCGACGGAATCCCAGCCCTGGTTTTAAAAACCTGTGCGCCTGAGTTGTCTCCAATCTTGACACGTCTGTTTCGCCTTTCCTTAGAGACGGGTCTAGTACCGGTTGCATGGAAGCTGGCCAACGTACAACCTGTGCCTAAAAAAGGTAGTCGTGCCGACCCTAACAATTACCGCCCTATTTCGGTCACGTCCATACTCTGCAAGAGCATGGAACGTGTACTTAACAATAGGCTCCTGGCATACCTTGAAGGTAACGATCTCCTCAGCGATCGGCAATACGGGTTTCGACGTAACCGATCGACTGGGGACCTTCTTGCGTATGCTACTCACATATAGAGCGAGGCCATAGAGGGGCACGGAGAGGCACTAGCAGTCTCCCTCGATATTTCGAAGGCCTTTGACAGGGTATGGCACGACAGTCTAATCGGCAAGCTTCCTGCATATGGACTTCCTACTGGTCTGTGCAGATGGATAGCAGACTTTCTGAGGGATCGGTCAATACGAGTAGTCATCGATGGCTGCTCGTCTGACCAATTCGGTATTAATGCCGGCGTCCCTCAGGGGTCAGTACTTTCAGCGACGCTCTTTTTGCTGCACATAAACGACCTGCTTAGGCCCGGTATCTTTGGGTATGCAGATGACAGCACAGTTGTTGAAAGGTATGTGTCCGGTGCGCGGACTAGCGGAACACAGATCCAGTCTTTAAGAGAATCCATGGTCGAACGTTTGAACTTGACCTTGAAGGCGGTGTCCGACTGGGGTGACGCCAACTTGGTTAGGTTCAATGCTAGCAAGACCCAGGCGTGTCTATTCTCCGCCAAACGGAGTCAATTTCTGCTGACTCCTACTTTCCGGAATGTACCCGTACCGATAACCGATCGTCTTGAGCTTCTTGGTGTAACTCTGACGCCCACACTCAACTTTGGCTCCTATATAGAGTCAAAAGCGCAACTGGCTGGTAGGAAGTTGGGTGTCCTATGGAGGGTGAGACGGTACTTCACGCCGAGACAATTGCTGAGCCTGTACCAAGCACAGGTTCGGTCCTGTATGGAGTATTGCTCTCATCTTTGGGACGGCTCGGCAAAATATCAGCTGGACGCGTTAGAGCACATTGAGAGGCGTGCCAGGAGGCTCATCGACGATGATGCGCTTGTGAAGGCTCGGCTTCAAAGCCTCGAACACAGGCGTAAGGTTGCAAGCCTTTCGGTTTTCTACCGGATACATTTCGGGGAGTGTGCGGGGGAATTGCACAACTTGATTCCCCCTAGTCCTTTCCATCATCGTACCACAAGACAATCCGCGAAGCGTCACCGATTCATGGTAGATGTTCCGCCCACACGCACGAAGCGCTTCGCTTCAAGCTTCCTTGTGCGTACTGCTAAAGAGTGGAATTCTTTGCCAGAGTCTGTATTTCCTGAAGGGTATAACCTGGGAGTCTTCAAGGCCCGAGTGAATAGGTTGCTTATGGGACGACGTGCTCCAACGTAGACCGCATCATCGCTTACCATCAGGTGAGATAGTGGTCAAACGTCGACCCATCAATTATAAAAAAAAAAAAAACATCAAATCAATTTCAATAATTAACGAATCAACTAAAATAAAAATATGTACGTCGAGCGAGCGAGGCGAGTCGTCCCGAGTAGGTAATTACCTACTTTGTCAGCGCGGACGCCGGGGCTCCGGTAGCGGCCGGTCTGTGTGTAGGTATAGGTAAGGGTGTGTGTTTACAAACCATGCGGAGGCTTAAGGCCGTATATATATACGAATGTGGAAAAGATTTTGTGTGGTAGGTACCTATGGTATGAATGTGGGATTGTAATTTCTATATAAATATATTGTAATATTACAGCTATATCTGTGGTCTGTGACATGCTTCACCTTTTTTATAATATGCGATAATAATTATTTTAAATGTGCAGTTATGATGAAGTCGGTAAAAATAATCTCGTACCTAATCGATCACGATTACGATCTGGAATACTAACTAATAATAATTGTAGTTAAAATTACAAGGTACCTAATCCTATTCATCTTATGAACATATAAATATACCTAGTAAGTAATCAAAGTTTAGGTAAGTACCTAACCTAACGAACGATACCCAATGACTGGTTTTTCGTAGGTATATATAGCCCCATAGTTAATAGTTACACGACTATTATATATAGTTATTAGATAGATACGGTACACACAAATCTTACAACAGTAGCGTAGTTGCAGCAGTGACACGAATAAACAGGTTTACAGGCGCGCGTTTTTCGCTTGCCGCTGCTCCGCTCCGAGGCGTGGGGCCCCTCGCACCACACCCCGCACACCCCTAGCTTTACGTCCCGCAACGGTCAAATCTAAGTTTTTCGGTACCGTTATCGCATAAAGGTTAAATACCGGTATAGCTTTAATTTCGGTACACTTATTTTATACCGGTACCGTACCGTTATACCTTAACCGCTTTCAGTCCCTGGTTTATAAGGTGTTACATAATAATATAGTACAGTATGGACCCTGTAGGGCACGGCAACGTAGAAGAGAGGAGGACGCTAATTTTATTTAGATTATGTATCGCAGATTTTTTATTACTAGTTATAAGTAGTTATTTTGTTCAATTTATTTTGTAATGCTATTATTATTATTTATGAAAAATGTACTTATATATTCTATGTAGGTTCATATATTTATATATTAAACATTTATTTTAATTTTTTTTTTTCGTTATGTATTTAAATATGTGTATTGTAATAGGTGATTTATTCATTAATATTATATATGTCGTACATATATTTAATTTTTAGTTACAGTATTTATTTTAAATCTTTATCATTAATATATTCTTTAATATTATAATATGCTTTATTTATGAGTATTTGTTTTAATTTATTGGTAAATTTTATATTTCTGGGTTCTTCCTTTAGGGCTTCTGGTAGCTTATTATATATTTTTATAGACATTACATACGGACTATTGAAATGTAGGCTCATATTAGAAGTAGGTAACATTAGTCGGTTTTTATATCTGAGTGATCTGTTTGCATGTTTGTCTCCACGCTTTGTAAAGAAGGCTTATTTGTAATTATTCACTGTCAACACTATACAACCACAATCGTAGCTGTTACAATAGCATTCAGAGTGCGGAATATAAAGACAAACTCAATACCATTTGGTTCATTCAATATCCACACAATACGGGTGCAATGGGCGCTAGTGTTGCAACTCAAGAGTACGAAATTTCACAATACCAATGTCGATCGATTGGAATCTGTCTACCCCAATGGGGCCACGGCTGTATTAAGTATGTGACATACAAATTATAAGATACCTAATTTGTTTTTGCAGGTTGGGTGACAGAGAAACAACGCATATGTCGCACAGAAGTCGCAGCAAAGGAACTTCGCGCCGTACTGGCGCTGAGACAGAAACACACCGCGTTACTACATGAGCTGCGCGCTAGAGATCATGTCTCGCAACGACACAGGGCCAAGGGGCAGAGGTAAATTGTTTCATAGCATTTTTTATAGCATAAGCCGGTAAACGAGCAGACGGATCACCTGATGGTAAGCAATCGGTGTCGCCCATAGACACACGGAACACCAAGGCGTTACAAGTGCGTCACCGGCTTTTTGGGAATCGGGAATTTGAGGATTGTGGAGGATTCGGGAGTCTAGGGAGGGGGGTAATTGGGCCTCCGGTAACCTCACTCACACGATGAAACACAACGCAAGCGTTGTTTCACGTCGGTTTTCTGCTCGTTGGTGGTATCACTCCGGTCGAGCCGGCCCATTCGTGCCGAAGCATGGCTCTCTCACACTTGGGACTACATGGCACTCCCACAAATAAGTGTTTGGGTGATTTGCGCAAGTTGCAATTTGATTTGCGCATATTTGAATGTAGTTTGCGCAAGTTAGGATATGGTTTGCGCATGTTAAGATTTGTTTGCGCATGCAAGGGATTGTTTGCGCAGTTTTTAGAAAATGTTTTATCTAGTGCTCTGTAGTTCGAGATGAAGCATCTATACATACATTTATTTTATTTATTTATTTACACTTGCAATTGTATACAATGGCGCATTTAATGCCTAGTGGCATTCTCTAACAGTCAACATATAATAAAATCGTAGGAAAATGAAAACTGTACATCGAAATTTTTTCTATAATAATCCTTTGTGCGTGATCTACAGTCGATACAAAAACCAAAAAAATATATTTTTTAGAATTTTTGTCTATTTGTCTGTATGTATGTCCGGGATGAACTCAAAAAGTACTGCATGGATTTATTTCAAATTTTGCGTGAATATTACTAACACGTCGAGTCAATATATAGGCTACATATTATCATGCTATCAACTACGGGAGAGGAGCTGTGAATCACTAATCCACGCGGACGAAGTCGTGGGTTCAGCTAGTTATATCTTAAAACTACATCTGAATCATAGAATCTCTTTTGTTAAAGCCTGTTTCTTCTTTAGCTCATTGGTAGGCAGTATATAATAATAATAATAATAAACGTTTATTAGCGCTTCAAAGAATTAACACAGTGAAGCCCTGGCTCTTGTACTAGGTATCCCTGTATCACAAGAGCCAGGTCTCTCAATATTCATGGAATGATAGCACCACGTGAGACTTGACAATTAATAATGACTTACATATTAGGTATACGAGTAAATTCAAAGTTAGACAAAAGTATAAACAAAACCAGAATAACTATAAACGAGAAATAAAAAGATAAACAATAATTAAAACTGACACTATATATCTAGACCTATTTGTCCAATAGATTATTATTAATGTCAAAATATTGTAGATTAAATATTTGACAGCAACACTAAACCAAAAAGTGACAGCCCCCTATGATCAAACCTTTTTAAAAATCTTCCTAACAGATTATTATTTTATTTCTAGCCTAATCGACGCTAAACACCCCAAATCAGCCGAGATTGAGCGTCGCCTAACATCGTTGAACAAACAGTGGCAAGTACTCCGCGAGCTCGCCGCCGCCAGGGAGAAGCAGCTAGCTGATGCTGCAGAAGCTCACCAGGTGAGATTTTGTTATCATTACTCTGCCTCATTGGCCGAGTGGTCGCAAGTGCGACTGCCGGGCAAGGGACCTCGGGTTCGATTCCACAGTCTGGCAAAGTACTACTGGGTTTTCTTTAAGGATTCAGGAACCATCAGGTGATCTGTCTCCTCGTTTGTCTCCATAAAAAAATATTCCGATTTTTACTAAAAATCTGACCAAAACTCGATTTCACATTTGCAAAAATGTTCAAATAAACCAATATTCTTTTTCTCAACAGTTCTACGGCGACGCGAACGAAGCTGAATCTTGGATGAAGGAGAAGCGCCCCCTGGTGGCGACGGACGACTGCGGGCGCGACGCGCCGTCCGCGGGCGCGCTGCTGGCGCGGCACAAGGTGACGCACGACGAGCTGCGCGCGCACGCCGCCGAGCTGCTCGCCCTGCGCGCGCACGCCGACCGTCTGCACGCCGCCGGCATCACGTGCCTACAGGTACTTATTGACACATTATTTATATATGTCGTAGGATAATTTGATACTTCGAATCTTCGCGGAAATCCTAGGGGTTTTGCGAAAACGCGGATAATTAGACATAGGCGAAAAATTATCAAATCTTACTGGACAAAGTCAGGATTTTTGCGAAAATACTCGTTACTATAGTAAGATTGCGAAACGAAACGCTGGCTGTTATGAAATAAGAACGCTGATTGGTCGGTCAGCGCGTTCAATAAGAGATCGTCTCTGATTGGTTGACGTCTTAAATGTTTTTTCGTCGTCTTAAACGACCAGTTTCATCCCATTTATGGATTACTCCCTAAAATTGGATCATTTTTTTTTACTACGACTGAGATCTCCTATTGTCTGTAGAAAACAACATACATACTAAAATTTTCAATAAAAAGTTTATAAAAATCGATTTAGTGATTTTCCTTTCTCACCTATTCTAAACCTTCATAACTCTATGCTACAATACTTGAAGTTAATCATCGGCAAACTAGGAACCAATTAGAAGTCAGCCAGCAAAATTGTAGCCAATCAGTGTTGAGCACATCAAATCTTACTATAGTAACGAGTATTTTCACAAAAATACTGACTTTGTCCAGTAAGATTTCATAATTTTTCGCCTATGTCTAATTATCCGCGTTTTCGCAAAACCCCTAGGATTTCCGCGAAGATTCGAAGTATCAAATTATCCTACGACATATACATATATTAAAATGAAACCCGTTTCCCGTTGTCACATTAACTTGAGAACAGCTAGACCGATTTGGCAGATTTTTTACAGCCTATAAGCAACTGCTAAGCCTCTTGTCATACGGAGGTTTGAACATTAATCTCCACTCTTGATCAGTGCGGGTTGGCGTTGGCTTATAATAAGAAATTAGCCCAGGTTTCCTCACGATGTTTTCCTTCACCGTTTGTCAATATATAAATACTTTTTATGTGTAATTAATAAAAATCCATTTTTCTTTGTAACCAGTTACCGACAGAAGTGGAGTCCTCTCCAGCGATTGAGGAGGAGGAATGGGTGAACGAATCCAGACTGGTGCCCACTGAGGTCTGGGAGGAGGAACCGGTGGAGCGGCTGGAGCATAGAACTGTCACTGAGGAGAGGAGCGTGCCACAGGTAATTTCACTATACCTTTAAGTGTGGGAGAGCCATGCTCCGGCCCTGCTGTCCCTTACTCGACCGGAGTGATACCAACGAGCTGTACACCATACTCACACTACTACAGATGGCGGTGGACGCACAATTACTCCCCTCCCTAATCTCCCCAATCCCCGAATCCTCAATAATCCTCAAATGCCTAATCCCCAAGAGGCCGGTAACGCACTTGTAACGCCTCTAGTGTTACCTCCATGGAGGCTCTCCATGGGCGGCGCCGATTGCTTACCATCAAAAACAGCGGTTCCGAAATCAGTTTTATTTCCTTTTAAATTACTTAAAAAAAAATATCATAAAATTATATTTCGTGTTTTACCACGAATTGTAATAATTTTTGAAATGTAACATCACAAAGTTTAGGATACCTCCCTCCCCCTTGTCACACAATGTCACACTTTATCGACCCCCTCGCTACCCCTTAAGATGAAACGTACATAATTTATGGATGGACCAGCTCGGACAAAATATAATTATGTATTTCAGTTTTCGAAAACTCTCCAGTGTTATATTTCAATCAGATTTTTTTTAATATATTTTTTTTTTCGTTCGCAGGTGAAAGCCCTCTACGCCTTCACTGGGCAGGGTATATCGATGCAGAAGGGCGAAATTATGTTTTTGATAAACAAGACCAACCCGGACTGGTGGTCCGTGCGCAAGGCTGACCGGACTGACGGGTTTGTCCCCGCTAACTATGTCAGGGAAATCGAACCTCGAGTTGTTCCTGTGAGTATAGATATACTTTTTGGTTACATATTTTTAAAATACTGACTGCCTCATTGGCCGAGTGGTCGCAAGTGCGACTGCCGGGCAAGGGGTCTCGGGTTCGATTCCCGGGTCGGGCAAAGTATTACTGGGTTTTTTAATATTCTCAGTAGTAGCACGGAGTCCGGAATTGTGCCCGGTATATGGCAATAGGCTCACCCCCTATTACATGGGACTCATAACATAAATAGTGAAAAGTGGGTGTTACATTGTACAGTGGTATAATGTGCACCTCTGCCTACCCCTTCGGGAATAAAAGGCGTGATGTTATGTTATGTTATTTTTAAAATAAATTGCAAATAAATACCCCTATACATAAGTGAGTATTTCGTCATTAACTATATATGACTGCCTCGTTGGCCGAGTGGTCGCAATCGCGACTGCCGGGTAAGGGGTCTCGGGTAAAAAATTCTCGTGTATATACCTCTACATACTCCTTTTTTCTTTTCGGAGTCAGTTGAAAATGGCTTCCTATTTTCCCATAACATAACATAACATAACATCACGCCTTTTATCCCCGAAGGGGTAGGCAGAGATGAATACAGAAGTAACACCCACTTTTCACTATTTATGTTACAAGTCCCATGTAATAAGGGGTGAGCCTATTGCCATATACCGGACGCATTTCCAGACTGCGTGCTACTACTGAGATTTTTTTAAAAACCCAGTAATACTTTGCCCGATCGAATCGAACCCGAGACCCCTAGCCCGGCAGTTGCACTTGCGAGCAGACGGCCAACGAGGCAGTCGCCTACTTCTGCAACTCACAATAATGCTCCCCATTCCAGGTCCAAGTACGTCGCCCCGAGAAGGTCCGAACGGTCCAGCGGGTAAAGAAGACGGTGCTCGTGAAACAAGTGGTTCCTGTCAAGCGCAACAAGCCGGCCGCCAGGCGCGCCAGCCGGGCCACCATACCGCAGCCCAGGACCGCCAGCGTCGAGACCAGAATGGAGGAGATACAGAAGGACTATGGTCAGTCATATTTATTTTCTACTAGCTTTTACCCGCGGCTTCGCTCGCGTCACAAAAGGATAAAAAGTAGCCTGTGACATTACCAATACACACAGCGCCATCTATACCAAAATATTTTTTTTACCTCGAGAATATCAATTTTTTCCGGGATAAAAAGTACCCTATTATTTAATCCAGACTTCTAACTGTACATCTGCAAAAATTCAAAGCAATCGGTTTAGTAGTTACGGCGCGAAAGCGGAACAAACAAACAAACAAACAAACTCACTTTCCCATTTATAATATTAGTAAGGATTATTTAAACTAATTATTATATCTCCATTCCAGATGAACTCCTAACCCTCTCCGCGGCTCGCCGTGCACAACTGGAAGACGCCATCAAGCTGTACAGCTTCTTCGCGGAGTGTGATGACTTCGACAAATGGATCAAGGACAAAGAGAAGATGTTGCGAGCTGATGATGCTGATGATAGCGTGGATACTGCTAAGAGGAAGTATGAGGTAAGGAGTTCCTCTAGGATTTTGCATGCCAAAGTCTTAGATTGAATGAATTAAATAATGTTAACATTTTGATAGTAATACTTTTAAAATTACTTTGCCCAATTGGGAGGGGGGTCTCCTCCCCAGTATCCCTAATCCCCGAATCCCCCACAGTTTGGGGATTAGAGAATTGAGGATTGTTGGGGATTCAGGGATTGGGAATGGCGAGGGGGGGGGGTGGTAATGGGCCTCCCGTAACTTCATTCACACGACGAAGCACAACGCTTCGTTTGTTTCACTATGGTTTTCTGCTCGGCCGTGGTATTACTCCGGTCGAGCCGGCCCATTCAGGTCTCAAACTTTTTATTGGTTTTAATTGAAAACTACCATTTGAATTTCTCTAACACACTTCACCCAAATGGCATAGTATTAAAAGTCTATTAATCTTAACATGTGTGAATGTTAACGGTGACCGACATCAGCGGAGCATTTACCTTCAACAGTTTTCTATTGGCAGTCAAAGCCTTAAGAGTCATATATCCTATTTTTGACTTTTAGGACAGCTCATTAACCTGGCTATAAAACTCTATACAAACAGACTTTCAACCAAAAAACTTCTTCCAGAAATTCGTCACTGACCTATCAGCAGCGTCAAAGCGCCTGGAACACATCGATGCTGCAGCGGAAGAGCTGGTGCAGGCCAAACACAGCCAGGCAGGACGAGCCACTGCCAGGCGACAGCAACTCAGACAGCAGTGGGAGAGGCTGCTGAGGTTGAAGCAGCAGAAGGAGAAGAGCTTGGAGGGAGCTTCTAGGTGAGTGGAGATTGAGTAGGAGATGATGAGGGAAATGAGTATTTTGTTGTAGAAAAACGGGGTTGGAGTAGTGAATAGACGTTTAGTCGTGGCTAGTCGATCAGTTTTTCTTCTCCTCTTATAATATCTTCTGATTCACTTTGTTGCGGGAACCAAGACAGTTACTCATGTCCCTGGGACGCGCCGGACTTCAGTGTTCCGGTGTTTTCATGGTTGTATCCACTGTAGATCCTGGTGCACAGGAGTTGCAGCGGTTTTGAGACGTTGTGGCGGGCTTGTCTCATTATAATAGTCGATCAGTTGAACCTGTACTGTTTCGTCTAATGCGTTTGACTTTCAAATTCTCTTTGATACTTAAAGAATTTGACATTTGTAGTAAACTTTTGACATTATTAAGGCCCTAAATAGAAATGTCACAAGTTTACAGATTATGCTCATAAATGAAATAAGAAAAAATATATTTATACCATGAAATTGTTCGAGGTGTACCACAAGGCAGTATTCTTGGGCCAATTTAGTTAATGATTTTCAAATCTTCAGCCCATTCTATTATTAGGGACAACGCTACTACTTTCTTTTTATTTTCTTGTTATAATAAAATAGACGGTTTATGCCTGCCTCTGCCTCGACTTAAGACTGCCTCGTTGGCCGAGTGGTCGCAAGTGCGACTGCCGGGCAAGGGGTCTCGGGTTCGATTCCCGGGTCGGGCAAAGTATTACTGGGTTTTTCAAAAATCTCAGTAGTACCACGGAGTCTGGAAATGTGCCCGGTATATGGCAATAGGCTCACCCCCTATTACATGGGACTTATAACATAAATAGTGAAAAGTGGGTGTTACATTGTACAGTGGCATTAAGTGCCGAAATGTGCACCTTTGCCTACCCCTTCGGGGATAAAAAGGCGTGATGTTATGTTACGGTTTTATTGATCGAAAGTCCGTCTGTCGAGTGATTAAAATAAATAAGCTGTCTTGTTGATTGAATAGTACACAATTACTGTTTAGGAACACACCTAAAGCTCGATTCCCGGATCGCACAAAACTATACTACAATTATTTAAGTATTTTCAAAAATCTCACCCTCTCTTCTATTTTTTAGCGTGGAACTGTTCAGCCGGACCTGTGATGAGGCTCTCGACTGGATGGCAGAGAAGGAGCAGCAGTTGGCAGCGAGCTCGGCCCCCGCCGCCGACCTCAGGACCGTCCGGGCGCTGCAGCGGAGACATGCCCAGCTCGAGAGGGAACTGGAGCCTGTTCGAGAGAAAGTCAATACTATTAGTCTGCTAGCTGACTCGTGAGTTACTTTTAAGTTAAAAGTTGTTATTTTAGTTCATTGGTTGAACTGAAGTTCGACTTCTAAGTCAGGGATAAGGTTCAAAGGAATGTTTTTGAAAAATTATTTTTGATAGCGGTGAAAGTTTTGCCGGTGTATGACGTATGCTAACGCTACGTTCTGCGTGAGCGATCTGGATTATGTCTATAGCGAACGCGATTGACACGCGAATTTAGATCGATGCGGTGCGACGCGGCGGCTGTATCCTACGTGTAATGACAACAACGCATATTCGTATACGCAAATAACAGTTCGCGCGAAAATATCAAAGGGGGCGTCCATAAATTACGTAATTAAGGGGGGGAGGGGGTAGACTCAAATCTCATGTAATCTTACGTTGGAGAGAGGGGGGGGGGTCTCGGCAAATAACACGTAACTTTTTTTTCTGATTAAAACTAAAAAAATAAATACTATTTTAGTCCATTTAATCCAGATTGTACATGCTTAAGATTTAATTGTACATGCAGATGGATTTTTTTTCTTTTTACAATAACAATCCAACGCTTTTACGTGAAAAACCAACAATTTGAAAAATCTCACGTGAGATTGGGGGAGGGTGTTGAATAAAATCTCACGAAATCTCACCAGGGGGGAGGGAGGGATAGAAAATAAAAAAAAACCACCTCACGTAATTTATGGACGCCCCCAAACCAACTGATCGCGTCCGCGTCATGTCGCGCCGCTCCCACCGCATCCCACAGACGTATTGTCACTTAGGACACTTCAATAGGTTTCGACAGTTTGTTGTTTTCGCGCTACGCCGCACTGCATTCGCTTCTAGATCGCTCACGCAAGACGTAGCGTAATAGCCCCCCCTATCACGCAAGATGTAGCGTAATAGGCCCCCCTATCACGCAAGACGTAGCGTAATAGGGGGGCATCCCTATTACAGAGTAATGTTAAAGGGGGTGATACATTTAATACATTTATACCTGGTTTTACGGTGAATCAATGTCGCTACTTAAATTAGACCAAAAGTGAAATTTTGTAAGTAAAAAATGTCGCTACATAAACAGAGTATTAACCATGTTTTCTTGCCTACATGCAGCCTTATCGAAAGATATGAAAGCACAGAGTAAGAAATATTTCTATTACAACTTATTAGACCAGCTCGAAATCAAATAATCTTTATATATATAATTCTTCTGTGAGTGTGTATGTCACTAAACTTCTCTCAAACGACAGGACTGATTTTGATGAATATTTTTGTGTGTGTTCAAGGGGATCTGGGAATGGTTTAGATTCACAAATCAAACGGCGCTGCAGTCGGTATCTACCTCTAGGTTATTTATCCTAAACGGCTGAACTAATTTGAATGAATTTTTGTTTATACTTTCAAGTGGATATGCAGGACCACGTCTGTCGGGTCCGCTAGTATATATATAAAAATGAATCCCTTTTCCCTTGGTCACGGCATCACGCGTAAATGGCTGGACCGATTTCACTAATTCTTTTTTTGTTGTATTTGTTATTACTAAGAGAAGGTTCTTAAGATAGAAAAAAATCGGAAAATCTTACGGGAACGGGAGATAACAGCGCGTACGAAGTCGCGGGCAGATACTAGTAGATTATATTAAATCAAACGTTAGACCACATTTTTAGCCTGTCTCGAATGCAGCTATTTCACTTTACAAGATAGTAAATGAATGAATGAATGTCATTTATTTCTCAGTACATGGTGCACACAGATCTTAAAATTAAAAAAGTTGCACACATGCTACCGTTACCGGTGTAGAAATATAAAGTTGTATTAACAGTATTAATTTATGTCGCATTAAAGAACAATTATATTGAAATTAGTATTATTAACAATTATATTGAAATTATAATTGTTAATAATATGTCTTTGCCATTCACGGGACCACAGGGTCCCGGTCATTTGGGAGGCGTACGAGGGGCCGAAGCCAACTGCGCAGAGGCCCTTTAGACAACTTTAATATAAATGTAATGGACACACAAACCGGCGACTATCCCTGTATGCACTATGGAAATGCACCAATTACTGAAAAAATTCAAATAAAATTAAAACAGGTCATTCACCTTCAGAAAATAAATTAGAAATGTCATAAAATTAAGATGTCATTAAGAAGAAATTATGTATCATATAATGTAGTCAAATTGTAATATACTAAAAAGTCAATAAAATAATTGTCACAACAAATCAGGACGTAAATAAGGTCTTTAAGTCGGAATAGCGTTTAATTCCTGTATTAGTTTATGATGGGGCTGGCGTGGTCGTATTGTGACCAAAAGCCCCTAAATCTATAGCAGATATAAAAAAAAAATCTCAATTTTGGTAACGAATTTTTTTCAACAATATTTTTATCCCACCAGTGTCAAATCTCAGTACCCCAACGAGCGAGGCAACGTAGAAGGCAGACAGAAGGAGATACAGCAGATGTGGGAGAGATGTCAGGCTCAAGCGGCAGAGAGAAGGAGTCGCTTAGAGTCCGCCGTCGGACACCAGATCTTTGGCAACAGTTCCACTACGTTAACACATTGGATGCAGGTGAGAAAGAGTTAAAAGGAGTTGATAAGAGAATTAATAAGAGTCATGAATAGTATTTTATTGTTGTAAAGAGTTAAATTTAAAAATAGTTGAAATTTATATGAGATCTGGAAATGTGCCCGGTATATGGCAATAGGCTCACCCCCTATTACATGGGACTTATAACATAAATAGTGAAAAGTGGGTGCTACATTGTACAGTGGCATTGAGTGCCGAAATGTGCACCTCTGCCTACCCCTTCGGGGATAAAAAGGCGTGATGTTATGTATGTATGTATGTATCTAAATATAACAGTTCAACTCCTATTCTATTTAGTGTTGTCGTGAATTTTATATTATTGACTTTTCCTCTAGTTTTCTTATTTTTAATTTTTAACAATGTAGTAGTTTGAAATTACAAAGTGTCTTCAAGTTAATGTCTAATATTAATATAATTACAAAACCCTTAATTTAAAAAAAATGCTAAAAATACGCTAAACACTTTATTTTTATTAGCATCTTTTAGTTGTCTAACTTTACCAATGTCTGAAAATTACTTTTAACCCATGGTATGCCGGAACAATGTACGCGAGAGACAATGTGTTTTATATTGTCTCTTATATTTATATATTTATTTATTTACACTTTATTGTACACCATAAAAACATACATAGAAAATAAACATAAAAGAATGTGTACAATGGGCGGTCTTATCGCAGAATGCGATTTCTTCCAGACAACCTTTGGATGGAGCCAGCTATATATCTTTTTTTTAAACGTTGCCTCACACTAGGTTTATCTCCTGTGTCGTGGGTGCGTTTACAAACATACAAGTTCACATACACATGACACCCAGACCCGAAACAACAATTTGTGGATCACACAAAGTTCCGTGCGGGAATCGAACCACGTTGCACGGCAGCCGGTTGCCCAGCCACCGCACCAACCGTGCGGTCATTGTTGTCATATTGACATACAAGAGTTCAAATCATCGAAATTTACCTGTATTTTAAGCCTACTCAACTAATAATCTCTCTCTCCCCCCTAAACAGAAAGTCCGCGAGCAACTAGCCCAAGAGTCGAGCGCTAAAGACGTCGCCACCGCGGAGGCGTTACACAAACAACATCAGGAACTGATGGACGATATCAAGGCACACGACGATGAGTGAGTCACTTTCATAGCTACTTATTACAACATGTCAACTTACTCCTTTTTATCAAATTTCTTTATTAGATTTTCTACTCTCTCGTTTAGATATAAAGTCGAAAATCCAATATAATTTCTTTATAATTTAACTAGCTTTTACCCGCGGCTTCGCTCGCGTCACAAAAGGATAAAAAGTAGCCTATGTGACAAATACCAATACATACAGCGCCATCTATACCAATAGTTTGGTTTTCCCTCGGGAATATCATTTTTTTCCTAGATAAAAAGCACCCTATTATTTAATCCAGACTTATAACTTTACGTCTGCAAAAATTCAAAGCAATCGGTTTAGTAGTTACGGCGTGAAAGCGGAACAAACAAACAAACAAAAAAACTCACTTTCCGATTTATAATATTAGTAAGGATTTATTACATGTCAACCTACTCCATTTTATCAAATTTCTTTATTAGATTTTCAACTCTCTCGTTTACATATAAAGTCGAAAATCCAATATCTTAATCTTAATATATATAAATCTCGTGTCACAATGTTTGTCCTCAATGGACTCCTAAACCACTTAACTGATTATAATAAAATTCGCACACCATGTGCAGTTCGATCCAACTTGAGAGATAGGATAGTTTAAATCTCAAATTATAGTCGCAATTTTAATTTATTACTAATTATTTGTCTGTTATTATTTGACAGTCACAATTATCTGTTAACTCCAAATGATTCTAACAGATGTCGATACCTTTAGACTGGGTTGAGTAAGTAATCAATAGATGGCGCTGCTATGGGTTTTTTTAATAGAAGGCGTGATTCTTAAGGAAGGTTAATATGTATAATGCATGCATATTGCACCCGTGCGAAGCCGGGGCGGGTCGCTAGTAATTTCTTTATAATTAAATATAATTGAATAATAATAATAATTTCTGTGCACAGTATTTTAAACTATTTTACTAATTCTAGGTTCAAAGAAGTGATAGCTTTGGGCAAGCAGCTGTTAGCCAACAACCCAGCCCTCACGGACGTAGCGGACAAGATCAAGAGTTTAGAAACCGACCATGATGCTGTTATCAAAGGTAGAATATATCTTAGTATAATGGTTAGCTGAAATTTTAACTTAACCCTTTGAGTACCGTCATTATAGACACAATCAAAGAACAATAGGTTGCGGACACCGGTGACCGCGGGTTTGACAGACAAAAATAAACGTACCTATATATTACAGAATGGCACGAACTAAAAATGACTATTTACAGCTGATACTGTCAAATGTCACATGACAAAATAAATGTACGTATATATTACAGAATGGCACGAGAAGGACGCGTACCTGAAGCAGCTGGTTCAGCTGCAGAGCTTTAACCGCGAGTGCGACCAGATCGACGCGTCCACTGGCGCGCATGAAGCCTATCTAGAGTACAAGCAGTTTGGAGTAAGTATTTTATTAGCTATATGTAGTTTCTCTTTCTCTCCTTTTTTTAAACGTTGCCCCACACTATGATTTTCTCCTGTGTCGTGGGTGCGTTTACAAACATACAAGTTCACACACACATACACCCAGACCCGAAACAACAATTTGTGGATCACACAAAGTGTTGTCCGTGCGGTAATCGAACCCGCGGCACGTTGCACGACAGCCGGTTGCCCAGCCACCGTACCAACCGTGCAATTAAAAACTCTATATATATATCTCTCTCTCCGTCTCTCCCCCTGTCTCTTTACATCTCCCACTATCTCATCTCTATCTCACCTTTCGCGCTCGCTCCTTGACTTCCCCTCTCTGCTCTCTTGCCACTGCCAGCACCCCTATCTCCTCGTCGCGGAGAACCTAACGAAAAAATGGCTTTAAACGATTTTAAAAAATTAGCTTCCACAGACGGGGGGAGGGGGGCCTCCCCTGTGGCTCGAAACTAGTAGCTGATTTTTACTTCAGTAGAGCTTTTTCTTAGTATATTCACGTGATTTTAGTTAATGTTAATTTGGTACTGCTGGACTGCCTCGTTGGCCGAGTGGTCGCAAGTTTGACTGCTGGGCAAGGGGTCTCGGGTTCGATTCCAGGGTCGGGCAAAAATTACTGAGTTTTTAAAAAATTCTCAGTACTAGCACGAAGTCTGGAATTGTGCCCGGTATATGGCAATTAGCTCACCCCCTCTTACATGGGACTCATAACATAAATTCTGAAAAGTGGGTGTTACATTCTACAGTGGCATAATGTACACCTCTGCCTACCCCTTCGGAGATAAAAGGCGTGATTTAATGTTATGTTATTTTGGTACCAATTTGCAAAAATATTAATATAATTTCATTTCGCCAGTCATCTGTAGATGAGGCGGAAGCGTTAGTGAAGCGCCACGAGGAACTAGAAGCTCGCCTCGCCGCGCAGGACGAGAGACTCGCGACCTTCGTACAGAGAGCTGAGGCGCTGGAGAAGATACCGCATTATGCTGCTGAACAGTACGTATTATTTTTCAGATTAAGATATATGATGATTAATTTCTTAAATGAATACAAGTTGTAATGAACTAGAATACAAGTGTGGAAGAGTCATCATTCGGCACGAATGGGCCGGCTCGACCGGAGTGATACCACGGCCGATCAGAAAACAGATGTGAAGCAACGCTTGCGTTGTGTTTCGTCGTGTGAATGAGGTTACCGGAGGCCCAATTACCCCCTTCCCCAGTCTCCCCAATCACCGAATACCCCACAACCCTCAAACTCCTAATCCCCAAAAGGCCGGTAACGCACTTGTAACACCTCTGGCGTTCCAGGTGTCCACGGGCGACGCCGATTGCTTACCATCAAGTGATCCATCTGCTCGTTTATCGGCTTATGTCATAAATAATAAAAAATATCTCTTTCGCCCCAGTATCGCAGCCCGTCGCGCGGCAGTACTACAGCGTCGTGACGGAGTACGTCGCGCTGCCGCCGAGCGACGCCGCGCGCTACTGGCTAGCTTGGCACATCAACAGGTAAATATAAATCAATCGACATTAAAGTATTTATTTCTATTAAACCTTTTGAAACCGTCAGTCCGTCAATTTATGCATCAGTGAAACTAAATGACGGACGTCGTGGTGGCCCGGAGGTTTAAGACGCCCGCTTCTCATACATGAGGGTACGGGCTCGAAACCTACCAACGGCAAGTACTAATATGACTTTTTCCGAGTTATATGTACTTTCTAAGATTATTTAGATACAACTGACAAACAGTAAAGGAAAAACATCGTGAGGAAACCTGGGCTTATAATTTCTAAATATAAGTCTGTAATCGCCAACCCGCATTGAACAAGCGTGGTGATTAATGCTAATTAATAAAGGTTGACTAATAGTCTTAGTTCATCTATCTATCTTTATATACATAATTCTGCTGTACGTGTGTATGTCATTGAACTCCTCCAAAACGGCTGGACCGATTTAAATGAATTTTTCTGTACGCGTTTGAGTGGCGCCCTGGATGGTTTAGATTCACAAATCAACCTGGCAGATAGCGCTGCAGACGATGTTTAGGTTATGCATCCTAAACAGCTGAACTAATTTGAATGAATTTTTGTTTATACATTCAAATCGATATGCAGGACAACGTCTGTTAGGTCTACTAGTATATATAGAGGTATAAAAAAGAAACCCGTTTCCCGTTGTCACGCCATAATTTAAGAACGGCTAGACCGATTTGGCTGATTTCTTTTGTTGTGTTTGTTATTGTCAGGAGAAGGTTCTTATGACGAAAAAAATTATAAAAATCCTACGGGAACTGGAGAAAACGGGATTGCGCGTACGAAGTCGTGGGCAGAAGCTAGTCAGAAATAAAACGACGTTTTGTTATAATTTATGTTTTCTTTCACAGTTTGTTGCGGCCACGGAGGAATTACAAAATTGGATTCAAGATAAGACTAGGACTGCTAAGGATCAGAGCTATAGGTATAATTAATGAATCTTTTTGTTTAAAGTCAAATACCTTAACTAATACTGCTCCGTCGACCGAGTGATCGCAGGTGCGACTGCCAGGCAAGTGGTCGTGGGTTCGATTCCCGGCTCAGGCAAAGAATTACTGTTTTTTTTTAAAGAATCTCAGTAGTAGCACGGAGTCTGGAATTGTGCCCGGTATATGGCAATAGGCTCACCCCCTATTACATGGGACTTATAACATAAATAGTGAAAAGTAGCAGCGAAGCGCTGCCTCCTCGCAACCCAGCCATCGCGAAGGACACACCGGGCGTCGGGGATCGCGGACGATCTCCGGCCACCGTAAGCGCGGGCCTGCGGACGGCGAGCATGGGTGGCTCCCCGTCCGACCAGAAACAGACCCGAGCGTACGGCCGGGGCTCTGGCTCTGACACTCCCTCCCGCCTCACCTAGGCGGGAGCAGTAATCCGATGATTTTCCGCCCTTAAAAAAATACCGAATACCATACCACTCATTGTACATACAATCTGTGGTTTCATACAACAACAATTTTATATTTAAAATATTTGATATCTTACTCCTTCAACTTATCCCATTCTATCCGCAGGGACCTAGCAAACTTGGAGCGTAAACTACAGAAGCACGAAGCGTTTGAACGAGAGCTACAAGCCAATGAGAAACAACTGCGCAATGTTGAAAGTGTGAGTATTTTTTTTATGGCATAAGTCGGTAAACGAGCAGACGGATCACCTGATGGTAAGCAATCGGCGTCGCCCATGGACACCTAGAACACCAGAGGCGTTACAAGTGCGTTACCGGCCTTTTGGGGATTTTTTTTTTTACGTTGCCCCATTCTAGGATTTTCTCCTGTGTCGTGGGTGCGTTTACAAACATACAAGTTCACATACACATGACACCCAGACCCGAAACAACATTTTGTGGATCACACAAAGTGTTGTCTCGTGCGGGAATCGAACCCGCGACACGTTGCACGGCAGCCGGTTGCCCAGCCACCGCACCAACCGTGCAGTCAGTTTGAGGATCGTTGGGGATTCAGGAATTGGAGAGATTGGGGAAGGGGAGGGTAATTGGGCCTCCGATAACCTCACTCACACGACGAAACAACGCAAGCGTTGCTTCACGTCGGTTTTCTGCTCGGCCGTGGTATCACTCCGGTCTAGCTGGCCCAGCAGTTCTGTACTATGGCTCTCCCAAACTTATATCTAGTATCTTTACAGGTATCTTATATAGTTATCTTTTCTCCGCAGATCGGTCAATCACTTCAGAAATCAGACCCGTCCCGAGCGTCTGAAGTATCAGAACACCTGTCCGGTCTCCAGACCGCGTGGGAGGAACTGGTGGCCGCTTCTAGGGACAAGGGAAGCAAGCTGAGACAGGCTGCTCAGCAGAGGAAACACAGAAGGTACCTAAGTTATCATCATCAGTCTAAAGACTCGACCTCGTCAATTATCTAAGCCTATAAGTGCCCACTGCTAACCAAAAGCCTCTTCTCACACGGAGGTTTGAGTATTAACCACCACTCTTGCTCAACGCGGGTTGTCGATTTCAAACTTATAATTAGAAACTAGCTACTGCCGCGCGGTTTCACAGGCTCTGCTTAGCTCCTTTTGGTCGTAGCGTGATGTTTTATAGCCTATAGTCATCCTCGATAAATCCGCTATCCAACACAAAAATAATTATTCAAATCAGAATTGTAGTTACTGAGATTAGCGCGTTCAATCAAAGAAACAATCTCTTTCGCTTTATACCTATAATAGTATAAAATTAGGTTTCCTCACGATTTTTGCCTTCACCGTTTGTCAGTGGTGTCTAAATAATTAACTAAAAATTGCGAGTTACTCACTTGGAAATACTGAGAAAAGCTCTACTACTATCGAACCACAGAGGGGTTCTTCAAGAGCAGCGTGTGCGGTCGCGGCGATATCGCGCAGCCTACAGATCTAAATAATCTTAGAAAGTACATATAACTTGGAAAAAGTCACATTGGTACTTGCCGTTGGTAGGTTTCGAACCATTATGCATGAGAACTGGCCGTAAAGTAATACACAACCTTATATTATTCAGCAATTAAGTTCAAAATCTATAAAATCTATGCTATTTATAATTTCCGCTGTCTACCCCACTAACAATGAATAAACTTCCAGATCTGTAGAGGACGCGAAGGCTCGTCTGATTGACTTGGAGAGACAGCTCAAGAGTGAGGAGTTTGGCACCGACCTTAGGAGCTGTAAGCGATTGCTGAATCAACATCAGGTAAATAGATGAAATTATTTAAACTGTCAAACACCGCGAGGACACCGGTGACCGCAACCTATTGTTCTTTAATTGTGTCTATAATGACGGTACTCAACGAGTTCAATAAGAGGAAGAGGGCGCCCTAGACGGACATATAGTGACCAGATTGGCGATATATTAAAGAAGGGCCAAATTAAAAGTACCCTTAACCGACGAGCATGCATGAAAAGATTGATGACTGTTAATGAAGCGAAAGAGGTATGTAAGAATCGTAGTCATTGGCGTTCCTTAGTCTCTGCCTACCCCCATGGGAGACAGGCGTGAAGTTATGTATGTATGTATTTAAATAAATTTATTTTTATTGAATTAATTAATATGTTTTCGACTTACTCACGTAATAATTTGACATGAGTTAGCTGAAAACATAATAATTTATTTTTATTATTTACTCACGTAACTGTTTGACGAGGAACTCGACTAATTTCAAGCTATGATAGAAGCTCATATTCATGAGTAAATATTAGAGTAGATTTATATATAGTAATACTATAATTTTAGTAGTAATTTTGTTATTTTATTTCTAAATAAGTTCTTATACTGTCTCTTAAGCATTAAAGTCGTCTGCACCAACGGAAACGAATTCAAGTCGAATTTGGTGCTTTCCTTAATCAAAAATAAATTATTTCGACTGAACAATACAATGAAGTATTAAAAAACAATCACACTTTCATTAATTGATTTTATGACCAACTTAATTTTAGTATTTTTCCATCAAATTCTTAAGAAATAAGTATGCTGTTTGACGCTAAAAAAACGTGACGTCACAATACACAATCTCGTACAAAATTCATAGAAAACTGTCGTTTTTGACAGTTCGAAAAAAGTATTGAATTTGACTAGTTGGCAAGTACACAAAGAATTGTGACCCATTTGTTACAAAAAATATGAATTTTAGTTACCTATAAACCTCGTATGTCGTGGTGGCCCGGAGGTTTAAGACGCCCACTTCTCGTGCATAAGGGTGCGGTTCGAAACCTACCAACGGCAAGTACCAATGTGACTTTTTCCGAGTTATATGTACTATCTAAGATTATTTAGACACCACTGACAAACGGTGAAGGAAAAACATCGTGAGGAAACCTGAACTTATAATTTCTAATTATAAGTTTGAAATCGACAACCCGCATTGAGCTAGCGTGGTGATTAATGCTCTAACTTTCTCCGTGTGAGAAGAGGCTTTGCTCAGCAGTGGGCATTTATAGGCTGTTGATGATGAAACCTCGTTTATAACAAGTTCCATTCTCCTTAGGCCCTAGAACAAGAGCTTTCCCTCTGGGAGAACAAGGCCGGAGCCCTAGCGGCTCAGGGCGCAGATCTAGTCTCCGGCGGACACTTCGACGCGGAGGCTATAGAGAGGGACTCCGCCGCGTTACTCAAAGCTGTCAGAAGTCTTCAACCTCCCGCTGCGACTAGACGACAAGCGTTGGAGAGTAGTTTGCAGTAAGTACTTTTTATGGGATAAGCCGGTAAATGAGCAGACTTATCACCTGATGGTAAGCAATCGGCGTCGCCCATGGACACCCGAACACCAGAGGCATTACAAGTGCGTTACTGGCGTTTTAGGAATTGGGAATTTGAGGATTGTGGGGGATTCGGGGATTAGGGAGACTGGGGAAATGGGGTAATTGTGCCTCCTCTACCCTCTCCCATGCCTGCCCACCCCCCTTGGGTTGTGTTACCATGGTGTACTACTCGGCCGTGGTTTTACTCCGGGCGAGCCGACCTATTCGTGCCGAAGCATGGCTCTCCCTAACTTCTTAATTTTCATTACGTATTTTAGACCACTACAATTTCATAAACTTATAATAAATATTTATTATAAAAGTAAAACTCTAGCAAACAAAATAAAATATAAAAAATATTCAAGCGTTCTGAATAGGTGTATCGTAAAATCAAAAATGAATGCTAATGCAAAATTCATTGAAGGGAGTAAAAATAAATGCAGAGCAACATGGTCTGTGGTTAATCATGAAATTGGAAACTTAAAATGTGAAAACGACATTTCTGAACTACAATTAAACGGGAATATCGTGACGAATCCAACTGACATCGCTAATATTTTTAATAATTACTTTATTGACTCGACAAATACCCAAACATATAATAATAATTACTCTTGTACTGCGACAATTCCTAACACTTTGTTTCTCAGTCTCATGACTGAAGATGAAGTCAAACGGGAGATAACATCGCTAAATAATACTAACTCCGAGGGTTATGATGGAATTGGTACAAAGATTATTAAAGCAAGTAGTGCGGAATTAGTGCCTATTCTGACACATCTGATTAATTTATCATTTTCATCGGGAACGTTTCCTGATGTATTGAAATTATCAGTTGTGAAACCACTGTACAAAAAAAACAATAAAAAGGACGTTAAAAATTATCGTCCAGTTACTCTTATACCTATTTTATCAAAAGTATTCGAGAAATGTATGAACAAGAGACTTTTAGAATTTTGTAGTAAATATAACATTATAGCTGGTGAACAGTTTGGTTTTCAAAAGCACAAATCCACGACGCTTGCTATATTTTCTCTTTTGAATAATATTCTGACAGGTCTGAATAATAATCACTTAACGACAGGATTGTTTTTCGATCTGTCGCAGGCTTTTGACTTTGTGGCACATGACGTTTTATTGAAAAAACTGGAAAATCTTGGGTTAAGAGGTCCTGTATTACAGTGGATCTCATCTTATTTAAGTAACCGAAAACAATGCGTTGTCGTAAGTAAAGTACACGAAAATATACTCACTTCTTATTTTTCAGACTATAGAGACAAAAAATGCGGTGTTCCTCAAGGGAGTGTGTTGGGGCCCATATTGTTTTTATTATACATCAATGACATTTCATTGGCTACTAATCACAAATGTATATTGTTTGCAGATGATATTTCTATTATAGTGACATCCGATAAGAAGCATAAATCAATATCTGATCATGAGATAGACATTAATAATACTATTGACAATATATTAGAATGGCTACAGACAAATAAATTAATAATCAATTTAGATAAATCTAATTTTATGCAATTTAATAAATCAAAACATGCTAAATATAATTTTAAACTGAATATTGATAGATTGAAAGAAGTAACACAAACAAAATTTTTGGGTGTACTCATTGACCAAGATTTAAATTGGAAAGTACATCTAGATGGCCTGTGCAATAGGATTAACAAATTTGTGTATGCTCTCAATCAACTAAAGAACGTCACTAATAGAAAAACGGCAATAGTAGCATACCACGCATACATAGAGTCCATTTTACGCTACGGGCTTATTATATGGGGAAACAGTACGGACAAAAACAGAGCATTTATTGTACAAAAGAAATGTATTAGAGCCATATGTGGAATCCGTCCTGACGAGTCCTGCAAACCAGTTTTTAAAAAGCTAGGCTTATTACCACTTCCTTCCTTGTACATTTATGAAATTTGTAGTTTTGTCTTCAATAATAAGGGATTGTTCCTAAAAGCATATGAAGTAATCTCCCAACCCAGAAAGGATCCACACAGGCTTGTATTAAGCAATACTCCTAAATCTGGGAAATATGCTAAAAGCTGTCTTGTGATGTGTGTGCGCATATACAACAAAATTCCGGAAGAACTAAAATTATTAAATAATATTAATATTTTCAGAAATAAACTGTATAAATGGTTAAATGAACATAATTTTTATAATATAAATGACTTTTTTGATTTAAAAAATGTTTAAATGTGTTTTGGTTCAATTGTTTTTTTATTTTATTGTAATGATTATTGGCGTAATGACAATTGTATTAACAAATATTTTGCATGCAATCTATAGACATTATCTATACAGCTAAACATGTGTACTTTAAAAACAAATTGTAACACCACTGTAAACCATGTTTAAGGCAAATAAAGACTTATCTTATCTTATCTTAAACGTCTGGAGTCGATCTGATGATGGAGTTGAAAGACAGTCGAAGGAACTCCTCGATGCTTGATAGCAATGACCCCGTGTTTGGGCTTGATTATTTTCTTTTGACGAGATCTTTCCACATAGATGAAGTATGATTGTTATTAAGGGGTCTGATGATGAAGTAGTATGTATAATATAGCTAGGGGAACTCCTCAACGGTTAAGGGTAGTTACCTGGTGTTTGGGCTTGATTAATTTGTATTGATGAGGACTTTGCACCCATGTGGGTTATAATTTAGTATAGTGGGTCAAATAATCTGCCTCGTTGGCCGAGTGGTCACAAGAGCGAATGCCGGGCAAGGGGTCTCGGGTTCGATTACCGGGTCGGGCAAAGTATTACTAGGTTTAAAAAAATCTCAGTCGTAGCACGGAGTCTGGAATTGTGCCTGTTATATGGCAATAGGCTCACCCCCTATTACATGGGACCCATCACATAAATAGTGAAAAGTAGGTGCTACATTGTACATACAGTGGTATAATGTGCACCTCTGCCTACCCCTTCGGGGATAAAAGGCGTGATATTATGTTATGTGGGTCAAATAATGTGAATCTTTTCTATTTTATTGAATAACAAAATATTTTACAGACTCCACAAATTCGCAGCAGAAGTAGCAGGTGAATTAGACTGGCTATCGGAGCGGAGTGCTGCGGCATCTTCGGAAGTGATGCCGACAGACCTACACGCCGCGCAGTCCGCGCAGAAGAAGCACGCGAAGCTCAAAGCTGAGCTTCTAGGAAGAAGGCCGCTAATAGAGAGGGTTATTGCGCATGGAAATAAATTGGTGGAGGAGGGACATCCACAGAAGGAGAAGGTGAGAGGGTTTTAATGGGAAATGGATAATTTTCGTTTTTAGTTAATTTTTGTTGGCGGTTCTGGTATTATATATGTTGGAGTAGGCAAATAAGGTGGTCCCAAAGAGTGTAGATGCGAAAATTATTATTATTTTTTTTAAATAAAACGTTGTCCCACACTAGGATTTTCTCCTGTGTCGTGGGTACGTTTACAAACATACATTTCACATACACGTCACACCCAGATCTGAAACAATAATTTGTGGATCACACCAAGTGTTGTTCCGTGCGGGAACCGAACCCGTGACACGTTGTACGGCAGCCGGTTGCCCAGCCACCGCACTGACCGTGCAGTCATAGTCATATATGTTAGAGTAGGCAGTCGCGGAGAACCTAACGTGTAACCGGGGCTCCGGCTCGACGTGCAGGAGTAGGAACGGGGTGGTTTTTAGTCAGTAAGAGTCTGACACTCCCTCCCGCCTCACCCAGGCGGGAGCAGTCATTCGATGATTTTCCCCCCTTAAAAAAAATGTTAGAGTATGCAAATAAGGTGGTTCAAATAGTATAGATGAAAAAATGATTTTTACTGGTTTTTAGTAATCAAGTGCTTGTTACAGTTGGTACCTATCGAGTACAAAGCAAAGAGTTTCAGTTTTAAATTCCTGTGTTAGGCAAATTGTTTTTCATATATTTTTGGTGTTCCGAAAACAGTCTCTTAGGGTAGTTTGATGGCGTAGTAGTCATAAGTGCGAATGCTGACCAAGGGGTTTTGTACCGATTCCCCAGTTAAATTCCGAAATATGATTTGTGTTTTATCGTTTTTTTTTCGAATTTCTCGCTGCCTCGCTGGCCGAGTCTTCGCAAGTGCGACTGCCGGGCAGGAGGTCTCGGGTTCGATTCCCGGGTAGGGCAAAGTAATACTGGGTTTTTAAAAAATTCTCAGTAGTAGCACGGAGTCTGGAATTGTGCCCGGTATATGGAAATAGGCTCACCCTCTATTACATGGGACTCATAAAGTCATAACATAAATAGTGAAAAGTGGGTGTTACATTGTACGGTGGTATAATGTGCACCTCTGCCTACCCCTTCGGGGATAAAAGGCGTGATGTTATGTTATGTTTTTCGAATTTTGGCGTCCTATGACGTGAACTCTAACGTGAAAAAATAATAAGTATATACGATTTATCCCTCTAACCCCCTCCCCCTTTACAGATTGAATCCCTCTGCGACCAGCTAGAAGCAGGTTACACCTCAGTGTCTGAAGCAGCAGAGAGTCGCGCCGCAAAACTCGAAGCCGCACTGAAGGCGCAGCAGTTCATGCACGACGCGCTGGAGGTGGACGCCTGGCTCGCTGACAAGGCGGCTGCGCTCGCGCATGCCGACCTGGCCAAGGATAGACACAGGGCTACGCATCTTTTGACCAGACATAAGGTAATGTGGAATCATTTGTTTATTTTTTACTTTTTTTTCAATAACGACTGTACTCATGAGGATTCGATTCTCGACTTAAGATAATATTAACCTTTTGAACGCCAGAGCTAACACACAGCAAAGCCACAAATTCCGCGCAAATTTCTACGAAAAAAATAGGGATTCCAATAGGGATATTTTAATTGTGACTCATAATTTAAGTGTGGGAGAGCCATGCTTCGGCACGAATGGGACGGCTTGACCGGAGTGATACCACGGCCGAGCAGAACACTTGTTTCACGTCGTGTGAGTGAGGTTAACGGAGGCCCAATTACCCCCCCCCCCCTCCCTAGTCACCGTGTCCCGAATCCCCGAATCCTCCACAATCCTCTAATTCCCAGTTCCCAAAAGGCCGGTAATGCACTTGTAACGCCTCTGATGTTCCAGGTGTCCATAGGCGACGCCGATTGCTTACCATCAGGTGATCCGTCTGCTCGTTTACCGGCTTAACCCATAGAAAAAGTCGGTTAAAAATGTCCCTTAACTCTTTCAGTCACACTTTTAACTGGTTACGAATATATTTTATTGAATTATACTGAAATGCTTAAAAACCAATGCAAAGTAATTTGAAGCATACTTCAAAAATTGAATTTCTAAGAAAAGGTGGTTAGTTACAGTGACCACCAAGACTGAAAGAGTTAAACCCCACATTCACACCACAAATAAAACCTAAAACTTACACCTTCTATCCCAGGCCGTAGAATTAGAACTGGACACATACGCGGCTATAATAGCCGAGATGGGCCACGTGGCCACATCCATGGCCAACGGTGGCCACCCGGAGGGCGAGGCCCTGCTGGCCAGACACGCGCTGCTGGCTGAGAGCCTCGCGAGACTGCAGAGACTGGCCGCGCAGAGACAGAAGGCTCTCGTTGAGAGTGTATGCCGGTAAGATATTGTTTCTTTTTTGTATTTTTTTGATGGACTTGGCAAGCAGAAATGTGAATTATTTAACCCGTCGAGCGTCCGCGTTCCTTATGATCCAACGGGTGCACACGTGACATTTGGAGAAAGAAAGAATTAAAGAAAGAAAATGCATTTATTTGGCCATTGGCACACGAAAACAAGGATCATTACAATAGAAATAAAACAAATACAGTCAAAATAAAAACAAAACTTTAATAATAGATTTTATAAAAGAGAGAGCAGCATGGAGCATTTTTTCTTATGATCCACCGGGTGCTCATAAGGACGCTCGAGGAGTTACGATACAAATATCTGAAATACAGACACATGATATAAAATACGAATTTCGATCTTGTATTTGAAATACTTTTTTAAAATTCCATTCACTCCTGATGTAACATTTTTTAGGATCATACTAAAAATCTGAAATAAGTTTCATTTGCGGCATATACATATAATAAAATCGTAGGAAAGTGCAAACTGTACATTGATTATTTTTTAAAAGAATACTTGGGGTGTGATCTACAAACGGCACCGAAGCTAAAAATATCGTTTACAGAATTTTTGTCTGTTTGTCTTTATATATGTCCGGGCTAAACACGAAAAGTACTGCATGGATTTACTTTCAATTTTGCATAAATATTACTAACAGGTCGGGGTAACATATAGGGTACATATTATCACGCTATCACCTACGGGGGAGAAGCTGTAGGTCACTATTCCACGCGAACGAAGTCGCGGATAATAGTTAGTATATAAATAATAATGTAAATAGTCAAGGAATGAATCTAGCAAATTTTAGTTCTAATATACTTGTTATATCCTCAGCCATGAGTACCTGGCAGAGAGCGCGGAGTTAGAGAGCTGGATCCAGGAGCAATATGCCGCCGCCTCCAGCGAGGACTACGGACAGGACTACGAACATCTACTGGTGAGCATATTCAGACAACAGTTTCAAATAATATCATAAATAATTAAATATCTATCAATATACTATGTATAATTATGTTACGTCTAAGTAGTATATGTAATATAATTGTGTAAGTTTATTGTTATGTCATATACATGTAAGTTTATATAGGGATTTATTTTATGTAAGTCTATACTATCCTTTTTTTATGCATTTCTGTTGAGTCTTAAATACGCTTGCTTCTTGCATCGACCATTGTTTTTGTCTCTGCATCACCCAAAGGTCTGGCTGGAGGACAATGCCCTGGGCATTAAGCCCACCATGTACATTAGTGTGTGCATGAAGTCTTTTAAAATAAAATAAATAAATAATCATCAAGTCCTGACGTGGTTTACTCATACCATAAATAGTGACCTTTGACCATCACACCTTCAAGAAAAGAGCGTATTCCTTTTTAAAAAGCCCTGCAACGCACCAGTGACTCCTCTGGTGTTGCGGGTGTCCACGGGCGGCGCTGATCGCTTACCATCACGTAATCCATCTGCTCGTTTGCCTCCTATTCCTTAAAAAAAAATACAATAAGATAAAGATAAAGATATATTTATTCAGTAAAACATGAGTAATTACAATGAAGGTGTTTCTTTTGGTTAGTACAGAGTCTACATGTTTTGCCATATATGGCGTACTAAATCAATTACTTTAGGCAGATAATAAAATAAAAATAAAAAATACAATCTCGTTTCGGTTATTTGATACGTAATACAAACTTGTAGTAAGCCGTCGAGTCTCTACAATGAAATAACAATATTAATCTTCTACACAGATCCTCCGTTCAAAATTCGACGAGCTCCGTCATCGCGTAGAGAGCGGCGCGGAACGGTTCAACCAGTGTGAAGAACTTGCCAAGAAACTCTTGGCCACTGAGAGCCCGTACATAGGAGATATTGAGAAACGACAGGAGGCACTTGGGTAAGCAATTAATTTGAATTAACGGTCTCACTGCTAGTCCCCGTTCCCTAAATCCCTAAATTCTTAATCACCCAATCATTAAACCCCAAATCGTTAATCCAAATCACTAATCCCCAAATGATTAATCCCTAGAACATTGACGCCTTAATCACTAATCCGCAAAACACTAACTCCTAAATTATTAATCACCAAACCATTAAAACCCAAATCGTTAATCCAAGTCACTAATTCCCAAATCATTAATCCCTAGAACATTGACGCCGTTATAACTAATCCCCAAAAAGATTAAACCCTAAATAATTAATCACCAAATCATTAAACCCCAAATCGTTAACCCAAATCATTAATCCCCAACACATTGACCCACAAATCACTAATCCTCAAAAGATTGATCACTAATTCAATAATCCCCAAAATATTAACCCCCAAATCATTAATCCCAAGTCCTCAATCCTGAAAGCGTCGGCAACGCAATCCGCGACGCTTATTGCTTACCGTCAGGTGATCCGTCTACTCGATTGCCGACCTGTATTAGAATTTAGAAGTGAAGCAAGTTGTTCATTCCAAGGTGAATATAATGAACTGTTCGAATCCGCTTCTTAGAGAATGGTGGCAGCGTCTGGTGGAGCAGATGGAGTCGCGCGCGTCCCGCCTGCACGCGGCGGGCGAGATCCACCGCTTCCACCGCGACGTGGGCGAGCTGGCCGAGCGCGCCGGCGACGCCACGGCGGCCCTCGCCGCGCCGCCCCCCCCGCGCGACCTGCGCGCCGCCACGGCCGCCCTGCGCAGCCATGACACCATGCAGAACGACCTGCTGGCCATCGACGCGCAGATGCAGGTACGCACCATGCCATTCATTACCATTTTATGTCTTGTGATCGATATCAAAAGATTTTATGTCTTTTAAAAGATATAATAATCATGTTTGATTCATCTTTATGTATGAATATAATTATACCGTGATATCTATTTGGTTTTCGTCCCGAAGTAAAATGGTTCTGTCTCGGTAACACAATAGTTTTACAAACAAATAAAATGTTTAAAACAAAAAATAACTGGTGAACCACTGCAAAAAGCTAACTTCAAAAGCGCATACGAACTCGTAGTACATTATCAAAACATCACATACACACAACGCATTTGTAACGCCTCTGGTCTATGAGCGACATGGATTGCTTACCATCAGGGCATCCGTCTGTTCGTTTACCGGCTTAACCCATAAAAAAGCTTAACAATCTATGATTTTGCATTACTGGACAATCTACTTGTTCTACTCACGACATATACTCCACGTTTGGCAAACGGCTTGGAGATTGCACTGCATAAATACGTTACATTGCGTTTTCTAACCATCCTTTCTATCTCCAGGTTCTTCTAGAAGAAGGCAACCGTCTTCAGAAGCTGTACCCTGGCGGCAACGTCCAGCAGATAGAGTTGCAGCAGAAGGCGCTGGAGGACGCCTGGAGCACGCTGCGACACGCGGCCGACGAGAGAAGACATACTCTGCAGCAGTATCTACAGCTGCATCAGTTTTTGACACAGGTAAAGAGAAACTTTTTGTTTTTTTATAATAACTATCGTGAGACATACTAAATTAACTAAAAATCGCGGGTTACTCACGTGAATATAGAGGTATATAAGGCTGCGCGACGTCGCCGCGACCGCGCACGCTGCTCATGAGGAAGAACCCCTCTGTGGTTCGAAACTAGTAGAGCTTTTCTCAGTATAATCACGTGAGTAACCCGCGATTTTTAGTTAAGAAACTGTTTGACTGTTTTTTGGGGGTATTTTGGGGGGGGGGGGTAGTATGTGGTACGTATGGGTTGAAAGTTTTTAATTTATCTGAGGTCAAAATAATTATAATAATAATATTTGACTGCCTTGTTTGGCCAAGTGGTTGTGAGTGCGACTGCCGGGCAAGAGGTCTCGGGTTCGATTCCCTGGTCGGTCAAAGTATTTCTAGGTTTGAAAAAAATCTCAGCAGTAGAATTCAGTCTGAAATTGTGTTCGGTATATAGAGCAATAGGCGCACCCCCTATTATATGTGACTCATAACGTAAATAGTGAAAACTGGGTGTTACATTGTACAGTGGCATTAAGTGCCGTAATTTGCACCTCTGCCTACCCCTTCGAGGATAAAAGGTGTCATGTTATGTTATGTTGTCGTAACGTAATAGTATCGAGCGCGTTCGGCGCTCTGATTGGCCGGCTCAAGTGAACCAACCAATCAGACCGCCTAACGCGCTCGATATATACGACTCTGATACATATTCCAATATTGTAGAGGTACACACATGTGAGAATAATGTAAAGACATACCTGACATACCCTACAATATTAATGTCCCTCCCGCAGGTCCGCGACCTCACGTCGTGGTCAGTGTCGCTGCGGTCGTCGATGTCGGGTCCCCTGCGGGTGCGCGACGCAGTGTCGGCCCAGAGTGCGCGCGCAGAGCACGACGCCGTCCGCGCCGAGCTGGACGCCAGGGACGACTCCTTCAGGGATGCTCTCAACATGGGCCGGGAATTGGCTACACAACATCCTAATGCTGCTGTAAGTATAACTAATCCTTACTTATCCTTACTTTCCTTACTTATATTATAAATCGGAAAGTGAGTTTGTTTGTTTGTTTGTTTGTTCCACTTTCACGCCGTAACTACTAAACCGATTGCTTTGATTTTTTGCAGACGTAAAGTTAGAAGTCCGGATTAAATAATAGAGTACTTTTTATCCCGGAAAAATTTGATATTCTCGAGGGAAATCGAAATTATTGGTATAGATGGCGCTGTGTGTATTGGTATATGTCACGTAGGCTACTTTTTATCCTCTTGTGACGCGAGCGAAGCCGCGGGTAAAAACTAGTTAACTACACAGCTGGTAGTTATATCTTTGAGCCGTTTGGGGTTGAGACGCTAGGTCTGTGGGGTCCAAGTGCGCTTAAATTGTTCAAAAACATTCCGAAACGCCTGGTCGACACATTTCGTGACCAGAGAGCTGGTCCTTTTCTCGGTCAGAGGTTAAGCATTGCCATACAACGTGGCAATGCTGCCAGCCTTCTGGGTACTTTCCCCACTGACGTCGATGCTGACGAATTTTTTGATGCTTTATGTAAATAGTTGTTTTTTTTTGTGTTTTTTTTTAAATAATTTTAATCTTAAGTTGTATATATTTTATTATTAACTATATTATTTTAAACGCGGTTTTGTTAGGTCGACTTGTAACGAACTATGTAACACAATCTAAGAATCTGAATTACACATACTTTTAATTGTTGTATCATCGAGAAACTTGACAATTGGGTGGTACCTACTTTCCTTAATCAAAAATAAATTATTTCGACTGTTCAATGAAAAAGAAAACAATCTGCCGAACATAGTACCTCATCTTTTTTTTTGAAGTAGGTAAAAATAAAAAAAATAATCACTAACTGATTTTATGACCAATTTAATTTAATACTTTTCTATTATTTATTTAAGAAATATATATGCTGTTTAACGTTTGAGTCTGGAATCGTGCCCGGTATATGACAATACTCACCCCCTATTACATGGGACTCATAACATAAATAGTGAAAAGTGGGTGTTATATTGTACAGTGGCAATAAATTCCGTAATATGCGCCTCTGCCTAGCCCTTCGGGAATAAAAGGCGTGAAATTATGTTATCTTACATGCATTTTTATATATCATTTACTTTGCTATACAGGAAGTAGAAGAAAAATGCGAAGCCCTACTAGAAGAACGCAACCGCCTGCACGGCGCCTGGGCAGCCAGGCAGGTCGCCCTCGACCAGCTCATTGATCTCCACTGCTTCCTAAGAGACGCCAAGCTCCTACACGATCTGTGTGCGACCCAGGAAGCTACGCTGAGTAAGTGAATCCTTACTATTAATATTATAAATCAGAAAGTGAGTTTGTTTGTTTGTTTGTTCCGCTTTCACACCATAACTACTAAACCGATTGCTTTGAAATTTTGCAGACGTAAAGTTAGAAGTCTGGATTAAATAATAGGGTACTTTTTATCCCAGAAAAATTTGATATTCCCGAGAGAAAACGGAATTATTGGTATAGATGGCGCTGTGTGTTTTGGTATATGTCACATAGGCTACTTTTAATCCTTTTGTGACGCGAGCGAAGCCGCGGGTATAAGCTATGTTTATGGGTAAAAGCTATGTTATGTAAATAAGTAACTATGTTTTAAAGTAAACTCTAAACATTAAAAGCACATCATATCAACAGCCTATAAGTCCCCACTGCTGACCAAAGGCCTCTTCTCACACGGAGAAGGTTTGAGCATTAATCACTACGCTAGCTCAATGCGGGTTGGCGATTACAAAGTTATAATTAGCAATTATAAGCCCAGGTTTCCTAACGATGTTTTCCTTCACCGTTTGTCAGTGGTGTCTAAATAATCTTAGAAAGTACATAAAAGTCGCAAAAAGTCACATTGGTACTTGCCGTTGGTAGGTATCGGACCTGCACTGAATCATGCATGAGAACCGGGTCACTACGACACATAGTGCTCATGAATACGAGTCCCGTTTTAACATGAAACTAGTAGAGCTTTTCTCAATTTATTCACGTTAGCCATTATTTAAAATTACTTTAGTAGCTACAAATTAACAAGCACTCGTCCATACTTTGTCCTGTCCACATTTTCAACTCAACGCAATAATATTAAAAAAAATGTGTTAAATTTATAAAAATATTTGACACTAACTGCAGTACAGCGGGGTAATAGTATAACGCTAAAATCCTACTGTACAGGACTACCTAATTACTACTAGCCTTATCCTTCAAGTTTAAAATGATGAAAGTCAAACCTCCACTAGCGTCAGGCACTATAGCGCTCTAAGGGTTAATATCAATAATTTAACAAAATATCAACCCAATGGTTTCGCCCGATTGCTGCATCGATTGTAGTGTAAAGCTGCTGTTCACTGTAAACTCCCAGCGTGGCTTGAAAGTAGTCTAGTTACCTCCTCGAATAGTTACGTGCGAAAAGTGTGGGAGAGCCATGCTTCGGCACAAATGAGCCGGCTCGACCGGAGTGATACCACGGCCTCATAGAAAACCGACATGAAACAACGCATGCGTTGTGTTTCGTCGTGTGAGTGAGGTTACCGGAGGCTCAGTTACCCCCCTCCCTAGTCTCTAGTCGCCCGAATCTGCGTTTCCTCCACAATCCTCAAATTCCCAATTCCCAAAAAGCCGGTAACGCACTTGTAACGCCGCTCGTGTTCCAGGTGTCCATGGGCGACGTCAATTGCTTACCATCAGGTGATCCGTCGGCTCGTTTACCGGCTTATGCTATAAAAAAATATATAATATTGAATTTATTTTCAGGTACTGAAATCTCACAAACCAGCAGTGTAGAGGAAGTCGAGAATCAATTGAAGAAGCATGAAGCGTTTGAGAAACTGCTCGCTACACAGGTAAGCTGAGTTAATGGTTTAAACTTAACATTTAAATGGGGTTTTCAAAAATCTATATATAAAAGAAAGTCGTGTTAGTTACACCACTTATAACTTAAGAACAACAGAATATATTTGGCTGAAAATTGGTAGGGAGGTAGCTTAGAGCCAGGAGACCGACATAGGATACTTTTTAACCAACATTTTTTTTTTACTGTTTACCGAAAATCACGAATGGGGCGGGAAAAAATGGGATTACGCGTACGAAGTCGCGGGCAGAAGCCAGTACAATATAAAAGAAAGTAACACTTGAGCTGGGATTTTTATCATTTTTATCTCATGTTAAAAATACTGCTTCGTTGGCCGAGTGGTCGCAAGTGCGATTGCCGGGCAAGGGGTCTCGGGTTCGATTCCCGGGTCGAGCAAAGTATAACTGGGTTTTTAAAAAAAATCTCAGTAGTAGCATGGAGTTTGGAATCGTGCACAATACACAATCTCGTACAAAATTCATAGGAAACTGTCGTTTTTGACAGTTCGAAAAAAGTATTGAATTTGACTATAATGACCCATGCTGGGATTGTATGATTGTATCCTGTGCCGTGCGTGCGCTTACAAACATACAAGTTCACATACATAATGTGTTTTCTATTGTAACTATTTCATATGCCGGCAGATACGAGTTTAAATAAATGACTTGTTCATATCATTTATCACTTTATAAATTGTACATAGGTGCAGGCAATTGATAAATATAAATTGGTATATTATAATGTGATTATAATGTTCTACCTCCAGGACGAGAAGCTAGCGACCCTGAACAGTCACGGAGACAAGCTGCTGCAGCAGAACCACGTCGAGAGCCAACGGATCGCTGACGAGCTACAGCATATCAATGACAGGAGGAAGAAGGTAAAAATTCTTTCCATAAGTGAAACAAGTGAATTTATTTCTGCAAATAGGCTACAAGGCAGCACTTTTACACGTCAATTTTATCAAGCGAACGATGAGGCCGACATTTCCTAACTGACTACTCTGAGAAGAAATGCCGAAACAAACTCAGAGGTCTGTCTCTTTTTAAGTAAGTCGTCTGGACGAAATCACCATTTTTCAAAGTCAAAGTCAAAATCATTTATTTCAATTAGACCAGGAAGGCACTTTTGAACGTCAAAACAAAATATTTAAATATTAAATAATAAGAAAAAATGTCAGTCTGTAGGTCAGTCCTCTAGTGAAGCTATTTGCTCGTTCCAAGGTGTAGATTCCTATGTAGAAGAACGAGCAAGAAACTCCATAGGTTACTCTTTTCCAATCATGTTCACAATACAATTTTTGGTTACATTCTTTCGTTGAGTTCAATTATGTGAGAACAATGTAATACCAATATTTGGTCAAGGAGACAGAAAAAGAAAATAACCTTGAGGATAAAATTGTATATTAAAATCGCCCATTGTACGCATGTTTTTAAGTGTGGGAGAGCCATGCTTCGGCACGAATGGGCCGGCTCGACCGGAGTGATACCACGTCGGAACAAAAAACCAACGTGAAACAACGCTTTTCGTTATGTTTCGTTATCTGGAAATTTTCAATATTCGTAATGAATTTTCCATAATGTTTCTGCTATAAGAAGTTTCACTTGACTATAACAAATACGGGTTGGAGATCGCTGTGTAAAGGGTCCAAGTTTATCAGTCCCTAAGTCGGCTCCAGTCCAGGCGGAAGCTGACGTTTGGATGATTTCCACCCCTTAAAAAAAAGTCGGGTTTAAGATACCCACGTGGAGAATAGAGGTGGTGATTGGTGACATGTGTATTCTACACTCGACCTCACTTATTAATTCTGTAGGACTCAAAAATAATCCTTAAGGGCCGATTTTTCTAATACCAGGTTATTTTAATTGAGGATTAACTTTGAATTAATTTGACAATTCTTGTATACTGAAAATTTTGTCAAATGTCAGTTTTTTTATGGCATAAGCCGGTAAACGAGCAGACGGATCACCTGATGGTAAGCAATCGGCGTCGCCCATGGACACCTGGAACCCCAGAGGCATTACAAGTGCGTCACCGGCTTCTTGGGGATTAGAAGTTTGAGGATCGTTGGGGATTCAGGGATTGGGGAGATTGGGGAAGGGGAGGGTAATTGGGCCTCCGGTAACCTCACTCACACGACGAAACACAACGCAAGCGTTGCTTCACGTCGGTTTTCTGCCGTGGTATCACTCCGGTCGAGCCGGCCAATTCGTGCAGAAGCATGGCTCTCCCACACTTAGAAGTTTTATAGTACAGTTAAGAATTAACTGATGATTTTAAAATCACCCTTTAGTCTTAATTATTAATTGTCTTTAACAGTTATACGCAGAATCAGCTCGTCGTCGTGCAGCGTTGGTCCGTTCCCGTGCGCGTGCGCAGTTTGCGCGCGACGCGGCCGAGGCGCGGGGCTGGGTCGCCGACAAACTCAATAAACTGGCGGCTGAACATCAACATGGTAAATAAACATATAAAAAGTATATTATTAGTAACTTTGACACTGTTTTAGGACTTCTAGATAAATTAAGTAAAATCGCGGGTTACTCAAGTGAATATACTAAGAAAAGCTCTACTAGTTTCGAACCACAGAAGGGTTCTTCCTCATGAGCAGCGTGCGCGGTCGCGGCGACGACGCGCAGCTCACGAGGCTGGCGTTGGCACTCGCCTCGGTGTTACTACTTGCGGTGGGAGCAACCCGCGTTTTTACTTAATTTAGTATGTCTCACGATAGTTATTATCAAAACTTCTAGATAAGTTACCGTTTGTCTAACTGGCGGATAGTTATCAAGTAATCAAGTATTTATTGCATCCATAATGTACACATTTAGGTGGTTTAGAAAATACAATAGTGACAATTATGGACCCTGTCGGGTACAGCAACATTTAAAATTGGGATGATGACAGGGTATGAAAAATAAACATATAATGAGTCCGTCAGTTAGGTAATAAAACAATATTAGACACGTATTTTTTTATTTTGTCGTATAAGAAAACAATACTTAGATAAAACGAATCAAAGTTTAGAAGTGGGAGGTAGGTACGTTATTTTAGAGTATAAATCGTACTCAAAAGTGACGTCATGCGATATTTAAAATCAATATATCTTCGAAACTATTGGTTTCCGTAAGAAAATAAAAAATACGTGTTTAATGTTTTTAAATAATCAACCAGACGGACATTGAAATAAAAATTAGGCATCTATTGGTAGGAGAAAGGAAGGGCGTTTTGCTTACAGACTAACAATAATATGATCCCTCATCCCCTATTACATGGAACTCATATCTGGTAAAAGGGGGGTGCTTTTAGGGACGTGAGACTTAGCTAGATTTTATGTTAGGACCTTCTCTTCGTATAATATCTTCTGATTCACTTCGTTGCCGGAACCAAGACAGTTGTTTACATCCCTTGGACGTTGGACTTCAGTGTTCCGGTGTTTGAATGGTTGTATCTACTGCAGATCCTGGTGTACTGAAGTCCAGCGCGTCCCAGGGACTTGAACAACTACAAAAACGTCCCTGAATATCTTCCAGGTCTTTTAATTATATAAATTTAATTAATTTCTCCATCTCCAGGCGAAGTAACAAATCTAGAAGACAAGATCAAGAAGCTACAGAAACACCAGGCCTTCACCGCTGAGCTGGCTGCGAACAGAGCTCGTCTGCAAGAAGTACAACTCCTCGCTGAACAGCTGCGACCTGATGCTGAGGTGGAGAAGCAGCTGCAGGAGCTACAGGCTGACTGGCAGAGGCTGGAGACTGCTACTGAACAACGAGGTTAGTAGATAGAATATCAGCTCGTATCAGCTGTAAGACCTTCACTGCTGATCATTGGGCTCCAGTGTTCTTCAATGATTTCCAAACTGACCGGAAAATAGTGAATACAAACTATAAAATGTACTAAAATTCGGCCCTGCTGCTCTGGCTCGACCGGAATGATACCACGGCCTCACAGAAAACCGACGTGCAACAACACTTGCGTTGTTTCGTCGTGTGAGTGAGGTTACCGGATGCCCAATTATATTATATTATGGCAACAGAGTAGAATACATTTCTCATCGCTTCTACTCTACCCGCGGGTGTGGTATACCCGACTAAGGGATTACACATTTGACAAAGACCGGGCAACAGCGCTCACTGATAAACCTGAACCTTTTATACTGAGGTTTCCACTTACCTAGCGAAGAGATAATAGGAAAATATATGTATGTCTTTTATGCAAAGAACACAGGGACAGAGTGTCCATAGCTGCATAGTCCAGCTGTGTACACTCTGTTCCCTTCCTCACACAGACGCCTCAATGACTCAACATCGCAAGGTTGCAAGCGACCTGCATACATCGACTTTCGCAGGCCTTTATCAGGTCATCATATGTATATCTAACACTAGTGACCCACCCCTGGCTTCGCACGGGTCCAATATGCATGTATTATACATATAAACCTACCTTAAGAATCACTCTATCTATTAAAAAAAACCGCATCAAAATCCGTTGCGTAGTTTTAAAGATCTAAGCATACATAGGGACAGAAAGACGGCGGATAGCGACTTTGTTTTATACTCTGTAGTGATGAAACTTTTACCCACCAGGACGAGGCCTAGAAGAAGCGCAAGACATCCTGGAATTCAACCAGCACTTGGACAAGATAGAAGCCTGGATCCGTGACAAAGAGATGATGGTCCAGGCTCACGAGCTGGGCCGGGACTACGAGCACTGCAGCGCGCTACTGAGGAAGCTGGACGACATGGACAGCGACATGAAGGTCGATGATAGAAGGGTCAAGAGCATCTGTGCCCTCGCTGATAAACTGCTGCAACAGGTACGACGATTGCCATACCTATTATTGGAAGCAAGTATAACAGCTCACACATAGGGCTCACTTAGTTTTTAGTCAAATTTCGGTGATGCTTGGCGACTGGGCTTCTCAAACTCAAACTCTTTATTTGCATGTTAAGGTAATACATACAGGTCTTATAAAATAACAGGCACAGCTTAACGGCCTTTTTCAGGCGTTGCACGCCGTTCAGGCGTACTCCCAGTTGTACAGTCTCTTTTTGTGTCTTTAGGCTTAATTCATTCTGTCTCCTGCAGTAATTTACCGAGGGAAGTGGAAACTATAGTTTTTTTCTCCTCTTATAATATCTTCTGATTCACTTCGCTGCTGGATCCAAGACAGTTGTTCATGTCCCTGAGACGTTGAACTTCAGTGTTCCGGTGTTTGCATGGTTGTATCTACTGTAGATCCTGGTGTACAGGAGTTGCAGCGGTTTGGGGAGGTTCGGTTTCTTTAATTGTGTTCAGGCAATTTGGTCGCCCTTTTGTCATTTTTCTAGTTCATTCAATGTGATTGTTAATAGGTGTCTAATTCTTGCTTTAGGTAAAGTAATATTGAATTTTTTCATTGTTATTGTTAGTGTAATTAGTAATTACTGAGAAAGGGTCTGTCCCCAGAATACTGAAAGGCTACTCAATTTTAAGCTGTACTCAAATATCGTGCCATCTCTGTCATTTTACAAAGAATTTGTAGTGACAGAACTATACTTAAGCGCGTCTTAAATTTGAGTAGCGCATATATCTATCTGTATTTTTCTCCATTTGGGCGAGTTTCATCATTCTTTAGTATGATTACAGAGAAGCGGTATCATTTATCTCTATTTAAGTGTGACTGTTAAAGAAGGGGTCTGATTCTTACGTTGGATAAAGAGTTATTGAGCTATTTTTCCGTCTTTAACCCCTGGTATTGTGTCTCACATGCCGGCAGATAAGAGGTCAAGGGTGTTTTTTCTCTTTGGATTAAAATGCCATTCTGATATTGTCGGTTGTCAAAAATATTTAAGGTTGGGCAAAATCTCCATGGTTTTGGTTCAAATAGAATTGGTCTTGAATTTTCGAAATAAAAGAACGGTAAAATTATGATACCGCAATATATTATATCAGGTCAACTACTGAATTAACAAAAACTTTTTTCTTGTTCTTTTTTAATATAATTTTACCACATTCAGGGTCCGACTCAACAAGCGGCGGCAGTATCCCAGCGTCGCGACGCCTTCCTCGCAAAATGGCACGCACTGTCCGGAGCCCTGCAGAAATATAGAGATAACCTGTCAGCTGCATTAGAAATACACTCGTTTAACAGGTAAATTAACACACATAACATCACGCCTTTTATCCCCGAAGGGGTAGGCAGAGGTGCACATTATACCACTGTACAATCTAACACCCACTTTTCACTAATTATGTTATGAGTCCCATGTAATAGGGGGTGAGCCTATTGCCATATACCGGGCACAATTCCAGACTCCGTGCTACTACTGAGAATATTTAAAAACCCAGTTATAGGTAAATTAATACCAAAAATTAGCTCGCTTACTCATATTCACTCACTCAATACTCAAATTATAAAAGACAGAGGGTCGGCTTCCGAAGGATTTGGAGGAATAACACAAACACCACTGTTACTTCACTTTTTATTTACTTACTTTTCCTCGACGGCGCTGGTTGTACTCAACACGTCACATTTGACGATGAACCTAACCAACTCGATGTAACGAAACTATAGCGCGATCTAATCAAATCAAATCAAATCAAATCATTTATTTGCAAAAAACATGTGTATACATACACACTCTATCTCGATATTAACACCATCTATCGAGCGACGCGAGAACTCCGACTAATAATAATAATTTTATTATAATTCGCACTATGATACCGTTACTACTCGGAACATTCACTCATTTAAACTCACTTATTTACTCACCCACTCACACTATTCACTCACACGGTTCGATTACCCAAATGCTCACTAATTATTGTAACTAAAATGGTATTATTTTAAAGCTAAGTACCGTATTTAATAATATTAATTCACAAAATTTCCTACAAAACCAAGCTTATCAATATGTATTTATTTTTATTTTTAGCCATGGTTATCCCACTTCATCAATGTTATAAAACTTAATTAATTCTGCATTACCTATTCATCTAAATCACTACACTCAAACTCCCTCAACAAGAAAAATATCTCATCTTATCTTTGAGAAGAGTCACTTAAACACACTCATTTCTTACTCAGACTCACTTATTTCTACCTTAACTCACTCATCTATTTATACTCACACACACTCACTCTCTTTTTCATCTTCCCCAGGGACGTCGAAGACACAGCAGAGCGTATATCCAAGAAAGCAACATTGTTCAGTAGCGCCGAGAGAGGGCGCGAGCTGACTGCTGCGCAGGAGTTGAAGCGCAGACATCTGGCCAGGGCGGCTGAGGCAGGAGCTATTAGGGATAAGATACAGCAGTTGGAGGGAGAAGGCAGGAGTTTGACGCAGAAGTGAGTTCAGAGATTCTATAAATCTAGCGTTGTTTTCATTTTCGAAATTCATTTACGGTTTTAGAAATAATATTTCTATATCTGCCTCGTTGGTTCAATGGTCGCTTGTGTGACTGCCGTAATTAGACGTAATTCTTCTCGGGTTCGATTCTCGGGTCGGACATAGCAACTGCTTGCTCTTTTTTATCGATTAAAGAAACTGATTTATGTTTTTATAATAACTATCGTGAGACATACTAAATTAAGTAAAAATCGCGGGTTACTCACTTGAACATACTGAGAGAAGCTCTACTAGTTTCGAACCACAGAGGGGCTCTTCCTCATGAGCAGCGTGCGCTGTCGCGACGTGCTCGAAACTAATAAGGCTTTCCTCAGTATAGTCGCGTGCGTTATAAGAACTATACCCATCCCCCTCTCCCCTTTAGATACCCAGAACGTGCGAAAGAGATAGAGAAGAGCCTCCACAGTCTCCGCGAGGGCTGGGAACAGTTACAGGAGTTGGCGGCCAAACGTACTGCGTTACTTGATGAAGCCATCGCTGAACATAAGTTCGATGAAAACCTTAAGGTACGGAGAATTTTTATATAATTATGATTTTTAAATATTTGCTAACTAGTCTAACTCACAAAAGGCCCGGAGGTTCGTACCAATATGGCAAGTACCAACTCGGAAAAAGTCACATTGGTACTTTTTTTAAGGGGGTGTGTTAAGTGTGGGAGAGCCATGCTTCGGCACGAATTGGCCGGCTCGACCGGAGTGATACCACGGCCGAGCAGAAAACCGACGTGAAGCAACGCTTGCGTTGTGTTTCGTCGTGTGAGTGAGGTTACCGGAGGCCCAATTTCCCCAATCCCTGAATCCCCATCGATCCTCAAACTCCTAATCTCCAAAAAACCGGTAACCCACTTGTAACGCCTCTGGTGTTCCAGGTGTCTTTGGGCGACGCCGATTGCTTACCATCAGGTGATCCGTCTTCTCGTATACAGGCTTATGCCATAAAAAAGGGGGGAAGGAGGCGGGAGGGAGTGTCAGACTCTTACTGACTAAAACCACCCCGTTCCTTCTCCTGCACGTCGAGCCGGAGCCCCGGTTACCCGTTAGGTTCTCCGCAACAGTCACATTGGTACTTGCCAACGTGCTACAAAATATGACACGCTGTGACGTCACATGAGTTTTCAAATGAATACATCGTCGAAAGAATTTAATTTTGTGAGAAAAGAAAAATACGTGTGTAAATTTTTAAATTAATCTACCAGACGGACATTAAAATAAAATGTAGGAAACTATGTTATTATGTAGTCTTTTAATGAGGTATACGACACCTGCAGGAAGAGCAGGGGTGGGGATTGGCGGAAAGTATTCTTATTCTAATTAAAACATATATCCATTTAAATAATTGAATGAAATCAATCATAAAACTAACACTGTTAGATACTCTTTATTAAAATTTAAAATGCTGCCTCGTTGGCCGAGTAGTCGCAAGTGCGACTGCCGGGCAAGGGGTCTCGGGTTCGATTCCCGGGTCGGGCAAAGTATTACTGGGTTTTTAAAAAAAATATCTCAGTAGTAGCACTGAGTCTGGAAATGTGCCCGGCATATGGCAATAGGCTCACCCCCTATTACATGGGACTCATAACATAAATAGTGAAAAGTGGGTGTTACTTCTGTGTGCACCACTGCCTACTACTTCGGGGATAAAAGGTGTGATGTTATGTTATGTAATTTAAAATGTTGTATTTCTTTCAGGAATTGGAGCTATGGGTATCGGAAGCAGTCAAGCGAATGGACGAGACAGGAGCGCCGGAGACTGTGTCTGATGCTGAAGCGCTTCTAGAGCTGCATCATGAGAAGAAGGTAAGAGCTATTTTCATAACCATCCGGGATGCCATAATCCCCATACTTGTCAACTTGCTTGGAGATTGCAGTTGTGTCACTGATAGTATATTTGACGCCACTATCTGTCTTTAAGTCATAATCCCCACACTTGTCTATTTCTTTGGGGATAGCAGCTATGTTACTGGTAGTACAATTTACGACACTAGCCATTATAATCCATAATCCCCACACTTGTCCATTTGCTTGGAAATCGTAGTTATTTTACAAATTCTATTAGGCCACAATCACTAGGTATGTCTCGGTCTGTCTGTACTAAAATTTTTTAAAACTAAAAATTGACTTCTATATTTAATTTCAGGCTGAAATCGACGGTCGCCAGAAAGCCATCGGCTCACTCCAGAAAGAAGCTGAACAGGTTCCCGAGAAGGTGAAACGAGTGGAAGTACTCTCCAGCACCTTGGACCAGGCCTGGCTGAAGAGGAAACAGTATTTGACACAGGTATGCATACTATCATCATAAAATAAAGCATTGAGAGGAAACCTTAGCTTATAATTCCTAGTTATATGTTTAAAATCGCCAACCCGCATTGACCAAGTGTGGTGATTAATGCTCAAACCTTCGTGTGAGGCCTTTAGTCAGCAGTGGACAATTATAATATCTAATTATAAGTTTGAAATCGCCAACCCGCATTAAGCAAGCGTGGTGATTAATGCTCAAACCTTCTCCGCGATGAGAAGAGGCCTTCGGTCAGCAGTGGACAATTATAATTTATAATTATAAGTTTGAAATTGCCAACCCGAATTGACCAAGCGTGGTGATTAATGCTCAAACCTTATCCGTGTGGGAAGAGGCCTTTGGTCAGCAGTGGGCATTTATAGGCTGTTGATATATAAAACCTTTAACATTTTTTTGCTTCGACAATACAAAACTATATCGCTATTTCCCCTCCACAGGCGCATCAATTACAACTGCTGAAGGAGCAAGCGAGACAAACAGAGGACTGGCTCGCTTCTAAAGAGGCGTTCCTTAATAATGACGACCTTGGAGAGAACTTGGACGGTAAGAAGTTAATATTAAAGTATTTATTTAACGGGGGGGAGGGGGTAGACTCAAATCTCATCTAATTTTACGTTGGAGAGAGGGGGCAAATATCACGTAATTTTTTTTTTCTGATAGAAACCAAAAAAAACTGTATATTTTTTTACGAATTCATAGTTGATTTATTCCAGATTGTACATGCTTAAGAGTTAATGTACATGCACATGGATTTTTTTTTCTTTTTACAATAACAATCCAACAAGTTTACGTGAAAAACCAACATTTTGGAAAATCTCACGTGAGATTGGTGGATGGGGGTAAAATCTCACGAAATCTCACCAAGGGGGGAGGAGGGGACAGACAATTAAAAAAATACCTCACGTAATTTATGGATGCCCCCTAATATCAAATAATACTGAGGTTTTTATAAATTTTCAGTAGTAGCACGGAGTCTGGAATCGTGCCCAGTATAGAGCACGGAGTCTGTAATTGTGCCCGGTATATGGCAATAGGCTCACCCCCTATTACATGGGACTCATAACATAAATAGTGTATATTGTGCACCTCTGCCTAGCCCTTCGGGGATAAAAGGCGTGATGTTATATTGGTTGGTTTTGTGAAAGCTATTGTCAAAATATCACGCCTAGTAATAGGGTAGATGCCTAATTTTTATTTTAATGTCCGTCTGATAGATAATTTTAAATCATTAGACACGTATTTTTTATCACCTTACGGAAACGAATACTTTTAACGATATATTGATTTGAAATGTCGCGTGATGTCACTTCTATGTACATTTAATACGTAGAAATGACGTTTTAGCCCCCACTACTAAACTTTGATTCGTTTTATCTAAGTATTGTTTTACTATACAACAAAATAAAAAAATACGTGTCTAATATTTTTCCATTACCTTACTTACGGACTAATTAGATTCTTAATTTTCATACCCTGTCATTATCCCAATTCTCGTAGATCTCGCTTAACTATAGTTCCGTCACTACAAATTCTTTGTAAAGTGAAAGAGATGGCACAATATTTAAGTACAACTCAAACGGCAAAGTATTGCCAAAGCCCGATTGGTAATTATGCTTTCGAACCGTTTGGGGTTGAAACTTTAGGGCCGTGGGGCCCAAGTGCACATCTTCTTTACAAAGATATTGTAAGGAGGATGGTTGACACTTCAGGTGATCGAAGGGCTGGCTACTACCTTGGGCAAGCTTAAGCATTGCCATTCAACGTGGCAATGCTGACAGTCTTTTGGGCACCCTACCTCACGGTAGCGATGAGGAAAATGTTTTGTTTTTTTGATGCCTTATGATTTATTTTTATTATTATTTTTTTAAGGTGTAAATATTTTAGTTTATATTTTAAGTTGTGTAAATTATTTCTGTATAAAACCATTAAAGTATTGGATACCCTTTCGGTGTTCTTGTGTTAAAATCCTATAATTTCCTTTCAACAGCTGTAGAGACTCTGATCCGCAAACACCTGGAGTTCTCGAAGCTCCTCCACAGCCAGCTCGGTAGAGTCGACGAGCTGCAGAAGTTCGCAGCCAGCATGTTGGAAGACCAGCACTTCGACAGAGACTATGTGGAGACCAGGTTGAAGACCATTCTGAATAGACGGGACAAACTTGTGGTAAGACATTGTAAGATTGATCACCTGTGCCCGTGGAATAGTGATTCACAGGTCCTCCCCCATAGGTGATAGCGTGATGATTTGTGGCCTATATGGTAACCCGACCTATAAGTAATATTCATGTAAAGTTTGACGTAAATCTTGCTTAACTTGCGCAAACAATCCCTTACATGCGCAAACAAATCTTAACATGCGCAAACCATATCCAAACTTGCGCAAACCACATTCAAATATGCGCAAATCAAATTGCAATTTGCGTAAATCACCTAAACACGTATTTGTGGGAGTGCCGAGTACTCCCAGGTGTGGGATAGCTATGCTTCGGTACGAATGGGCCGGCTCGACCGTAATGATACCAGATTATTTTGATTAAATTTATTTTATTTTTGGTTTATATTTATATTACAATACCTTCGTTTCGTGTCTAGGAATCCTGTGAGCAACGCGGTGAGATTTTGGAACAATCTCGTCAGCTACATCAGTTCTTGAGGAACCTGTATCATGAGAGGGAATGGATCTCGTTGAAGATGCAGATTGCTAACGATCAGAATTACAGGTGAGTAAAGTCGGGTTGTGTGTTTTGTGAAGTTGAAATAGAGTGCTTTTTGCTATAAACGGGGAACCACTTTGGATTACAAAATGCTATTACTAAAACCGCTACCGTAAAATTATATTTTGGCGACTCTGAAATCAGTTTTTTTTTTAAATCTTAATTTTTGTTTTAAACAATAAAGAGCTTTTTTAAAAATTGATTTGACTGTTAAAAAAACTGACTGCCTCGTTGGCCTAGTGGTCGCAAGTGCGACTGCCGGGCAAGGGGTCTCGGGTTCAATTACCGGATAGGTAAAAGTATTACTGGGGTCTTACATTTTTTTTTTAATTCTTAGTAGTAGCACGGAGCCTGAAATTGTGCCCGGTATATGGCAATAGGCTCACCCCCTATTACATGGGACTCATAACATAAATAGTGAAAAGTGGGTGTTACATTGTACAGTGGCATAATGTGCACCTCTGCCTACCCCTTCGGGGATAAAAGGCGTGATGTTATGTAATGTTTTGATGTAAAATTAATAACCATACGGACCAATTTTTAACGTTCTTTATATTTAATTTCTATCAAATACCTTGATTGGTCTAAGTGGATTGAAATCAGTTACTGATATCGACCGTAAGCAGCACCGAATCGAAATCTAAAGTGTCCACGTATATCAATCGTTTTATGAATTTATTGTAATTTTTATGGTATAAGCCGGTAAACGAGCAGACGGATCACCTGATGGTAAGCAATCGGCGTCGCCCATGGACACCTCGAACACCAGAGGCGTTGCAAGTGCGTTACCGGCCTTTTGAGATTAGGAATTTGAGGATGGATGGGGATTCAGGGATTGGGGAAGGGGGGGGAGGGGTAATTAGGTGTCAGGTAACTTAACTCACACAACGAAACACAATGCAAGCGTTGCTTCACGTCGGATTTCTGCTCGGCCGTGGTATCACTTCAGTCGAGCCGGCCCATTCGCGCCGAAGCATGGCTCTCCCACACTTAACACATGATTCAAACATGCTTGCTGCTTGAAAACATTCAAAACTTTATTAATTTTTATTTTTAACTTAAACTTCTTTATTTTCCACCAGAGAGCTATCGAACCTGCAAAGCAAGATACAGAAGCACGCCGCTTTCGAATCTGAGCTGGCTGCGAACAAAGGACGCATCGACGACGTCGCTAACCATGGGGAAACTCTAATAGGTATGCATTATCTATTATGTATTATTGATATATAAGATAACTTTCGTGAGACATACTAAATTAATTATTATGTTTTCGGCTTACTCACGTAATTATTTGACGACGAACTCGACTAGTTTCAAGCCATGCTAGAGAATGTAGAATAGAAAACCAAATTATATGGGATTGACGTAAATTTTGACGCTTGTCAGTGTCATTCCCATACATTTAGTTTTCTACTCTCTCTGTAGACAAGCGCTAAAGTGGCGTTTGGCTAAAGGCACTGGTGTTGCAGCGGTTTTGGGAGGTTGTAGCGGGCTTGTCCCATAACATAATGCTCGTCGGTTAATTAGTTTGTATTATTTTGGATAATATTATAATACCTATGTATTATGTCGTATGAAGTATGTATGAAGTCGTGGTGGCCCGGAGGTTTAAGACGCCCACTTCTCATGCATGAGGAAGCGGGTTCAAAACCTACCAACGGCAAGTACCAATATGACATTTTCCGAGTTATATGTACTTTCTAAGAATATCTAGACACCACTGAAAAACGGTGAAGGAAAATATCGTGAGGAAACCTAGGCTTATAATTTCTAATAATCTGTAATCGCCGACCCGCATTGAGCAAGCGTGGTGATTAATGCTCAAACCTTCTCCGTGTGAGAAGAGGCTGTTGATGATGTATTATTTACCTTATTTTCTATTTATTTGCTGCAGAGGGTAAACACTACGCTTCGCAGGAGATCGCCAAACACGTTGAGGAACTAGAAAACCAGTGGCGAGAACTACAGGTAATTATATTTTGTATTTACTACTTACGTAGCTATTTGAGGAGGCTCGATTAGTTTCAAGCCGAAACGGGGCTCTTAGTCTTTAAGTAATTAATTTAAATCATATTTATTAGGAAAGAAAGACTGTCTCGTTGGTCGATTGGTTGCAAGTGTAACTGCTGGGCAAGGGGTCTCAGGTTCGATTGTCGAACTGAGCAAAGTATTACTGGGTTTTCTAAAACTTTCAGTAGTAGCACAGAGTCTGGAATTGTGCCCGGTATATGGCAATAGGCTCACCCCCTATTACATGGGACTCGTAACATAAATAGTGACAAGTGGGTGTTACATTGTACAGTGGCATTAAGTGCCGTAATTTGAACCTCTGCCTACACCTTCGGGGATAAAAGGCAGCTGCAAATGCTATATTTTTGATTTCAATTCCAAAAAGCATTCCAGATGTTATCGATTCTCTTGTTTCCAATATATTCGTCTTCCAAGACATTATAAAAACGTAATATTTTTCCCCAGGCCGCTGCCAAGCTCCGTCGCGAGCGTCTCCAAGAAGCGTATCAAGCGAGGGTGTACCTCCGAGGGCTGGATGACTTCACAGCATGGCTCGATGACGTGGAGTCACAGCTACTAAGCGAGGATCATGGTAAGCATTTAATTATTTCTTCTAGATTTCTTATATGATGACTAGCAAACTCGGCGAACATCGTGTCGCCATCAAATGGCTTCGTTTTATGTAACATTTCGTTTGGTGATTAAAAGATAAAGAAATTTTTTAGTTTTATATTTTATAAACCTCACGGAGCCTTTCCAACGAATGCAAAACCGTGGAAATCGGGTCGTGCGTTCTGGAGTTATAGCGTCAGGAAGGAAAAGTCGACTTATTTTTATATAGTAGATTTCTTGTAGCCCGTATATCCCCAAGCGGTCACCAGTGACCGCTCTCCACAAACTACATTATAAACCTTATTTCCAATGTTTATAGGCTACTTTTGTATGAACAAATTTAGGGGTTGATTTTCAACAATTTTTAACGGGCTGGTAAGCCCGTCGTGCGAGTGAGGTTACTGGAGGCCCAATTACCCTCCCCTTTCCCAATCTCCCCAATTACTGAAACCCCAACGATCCTCAAATACTAATCCCCAAAAGGCCGGTAACGTGTATGGTGTTCCAGGTGTCCATAGGCAACGCCGATTGCTTACCATCAGGTGATCCGTCTGCTCGTTTACCGGCTTATGCCATAAAAAAAAACTTATTTATACTTACTATATAACCTCCTTTTGTCCAGGCAAAGACCTAGCGTCAGTCACAGCGCTGCTGAAGCGTCACTCCAGGCTGGAGCAACAAGTGTCGAGTAAGACGGACTCTGCCACGCAACTGGCAGACAATGCCAGGCAGCTGGCAGACAGCAATCATTTCATGGCTGATGAAATACTGAAGAAGGCTGACCATGCTGTTAAGAGGTGAATTTTATTTATTATTAGCGACCCGCCCCGGCTTCGCACGGGTGCAATATGTATGTATTATACATATAAACCTTTCTTAAGAATCACTCTTGCCGGAATACTAAAACGTTACTCAATTTTAAGTCGTGCTTAAATATCGTGCCATCTCTGTCATTTTACAAAGAATTTGTGGTGACAGAACTATATTTAAGCGCGACTTAAAATTGAGTAGCGTTTGAGTATTCCGAAATCTGTCTTTTAAAAGAACCGCATCAAAATCCGTTGCGTAGTTTTAAAGATCTAAGCATACATAGGGACAGACAGACGGCGGATACCGACTTTGTTTTATACTATGTAGTGATTATAATTAAACCACAACGTTCCCACCCAGATACCGTCAGCTACAAGAGCCGATGCAGATCCGCCGCGACAACCTGGAGGACGCTGCGCTACTCCATCGCTGGGACAGAGACGCTGATGAGGAGTTCCGCTGGTAAGCATATACATACATACACCTACTGTTTTGTATGGACTTTAAAAGAAACGTTGGCCTGACTTGACTGCCTCGTTGGCCGAGTGGTCGCAAGTGCGACTGCCGGGCAAGGGGTCTCGGGTTCGATTCCCGAGTCGAGCAAAGTATTACTGGGGTTTTTAAAAAAATCTCAGTAGTAGCACGGAGCCTGGAATTGTGCCCGGTATATGGCAATAGACTCACCCCCTATTACATGGGACTCATAACATAAATAGTGAAAAGTGGGTGTTACATTGTACAGTGGCATAATGTGCACCTCTGCCTACCCCTTCGGGGATAAAAAGGCGTGATGTTATGTTGTTAAAAGAAACGGACCTCTGAGTTTGTTTCGGCATTTCTTCTCAGAGTGGTCAGTTAGGAAATGTCGACCTCATCGTTCGCTTGATAAAATTGACGTGTTTAAGTGCTGCCTTGTAGCCTATTTGCAGAAATAAATTCACTTGTTTCACTTGGTACACTTACTATTAACATTACATCAGCCTATAAGTGCCCACTACCGATCAAAGGCCTCTTCTCACACGGAAAAGGAATGAAGGATTAATCGCAACGCTTGCTCAATGTTTGCGATTTCAAAGTTGTAATTAGAATACCTATCGTGAGACATACTAAATTAACTAAAATCGCGGGTTACTCACGTGAATATACTGAGAAAAGCTCTACTAGTTTAGTAGTACTGCCGCGACCGCACACGCTGCTCATGAGGAAGAACCCCTCTGTGGTTCGATTTGAAAAATATTTTTGTGTTGAATAGTCTATTTATCGAAGAAGGGTAATGAAATGAAGAGTATAACCGGGTGTCTTCAAGGCCCGAGTGAATAGGTTGCTTATGGGACGACGTGCTCCATCGCAGACCGCATCATCGCTTACCACCAGGCGAGATAGTGGTCAAACATCTGCCCATCAAATATTAAAAAGATGGCTATAGGCTATAAAACATCACGCTATGATCAATAGGAGCCGAGCAGTGCATTATAATATTTACTTTATTTTGACGCCAACAGGTTACGAGAGCGCGAGTCGGCAGTAAGGCAAGAAGAAGCAGGTTCGACGCTCGCCGAAGCACAAGCGATGCTAAAGAAGCATCTTGCTTTGGAAGCTGAATTACTTACAAGGTAATTATTCTCTTTAGAGTTATTAAAATTTTGGTGTCTTTTTTGATTTTCTAACATTTATAACACAGCCTCGTTGGCCGAGTTGTCGCAAGTGCGACTGCCGGGCAAGGGGTCTCGGGTTCGATTCCCGGGTCGGGCAAAGTATTACTGGGTTTTTTAAAAATCTCAGTAGTAGCACGGAGTCTGGAAATGTGCCCGGTATATGGCAATAGGCTCACCCCCTATTACATGGGACTCATAACATAAATAGTGAAAAGTGGGTGTTACTTCTATGTGCACCTCTGCCTACCCCTTCGGGGATAAAAGGCGTGATGTTATGTTATGTTATGTTATAACACAGCCTTGTGTCCGGTATATGGCAACAGGCTCACCCCCTTTTACATGGGACTCATAAAATAAATAGTGAAAAGTCGACTATAGCGATAGCGATAATCGAATAGCGAAAGCTCGACCGGAGTGATACCACGGCCTCACAAAAACCGACGTGAAACAACGCTTGCGTTGTGTTTCGTCGTGTGAGTGAGGTTACCGGAGGCCCAATTACCCTCTCCTTTCCCAATCTTCCCAATCCCTGAATCCCTAAAAATCCTCAAACTCCTAATCCCCAAAAGGCCGGTAACGCACTTGTAACGCCTCTGAGGTGTCCATGGGCGACACCGATTGCTTACCATCAGGTGATCCGTCTGCTCGTTTACCGGCTTATGCCATAAAAAACTTTCCTTTTTTCAAAATCGGTTAAAAATTAGTTTAACACGTTAAACGCCATGGGGGTCACCGGTGACCGGCGTTAGCGGAGGATTTGCCTTCAACAGTTTTTTATTGGCAGTCAAAGTCTTAAATATATGCTTTTTTATTCACAGGGAACCAATTATAAAGGCGTTAGTAACTCGCGCCGGTCAACTATCGCGCCGCGGTCACTTCGCGTCGGCGGCTTTAGACGCGCGATCACGCGACCTAGCCGCCGCACATCGCGCGTTGGTCGACGCCGCCGCCATCAGGACCGCGCTTATACGCGACCGCTGTGAACTGTTGCAGGTTTGTGGTGATTCTTATTTATTTATTTTAAACTCTAAATACATAAAGGTACTAAGAAGATATGCTTTCCATCAAACAAAACTGCTCAATTTAGTAATAGTATATTTTGCATGGCACCTCGAATTTACAACCATTTCCCGCTTTACATATTGCGATATTCAAACATAGGAACATTTAAATTTAAATTGAAGCAAATACTTATTAATAAGGCATATTATAATGTAAACGATTATATTAATGAATTCAGTTGAGTTTTGGGTTTGCTTAGTGTTTATGACTCAATGATATTAATTATTTTATGATAATAATGACTTAATTTTATCTTCTTGGACTACTTGTGACTTCTACCTATATTTTCTTATGACTAATTTAAATAATGTTATAAATTATAAACTGTAATTGTAATTAATATTTTCTTATGACTAATTTAAACAATGTAATTAATAAATAATAAATTGGAATTTATATTTTCTTATGACTAATTCAAATAATGTAAGTAATAAATAATAAATTGTAATTTTTCACAATAAGTATTGCATGCTAATTGGCAGAATGTAGCTGATCAAATTATTTTATAATACCTACTGTAACATCTACACTTGACCTATATTCGCAATAAATGATTTGAATTTGAAAAAAAACAGAAATTTGCTCCCTTACTTGGAGCATACACGTGTAATGGCGCGGTGGTTGGGCAACTGGCTACCGCGCAACGTGTCGCGGGTACGATTCCCACACGGAACAACTCTTTGTGTGATCTACAGATTGTTGTTGATTCCCGGGTCGGGCAAAGTATTACTGGTTTTTTTTTTAATTCTCAGTAGTAGCACGGAGTCTGGAATTGTGCCCGGTATATGGCAATAGGCTCACCCCCTATTACATGGGACTCATAACATAAATAGTGAAAAGTGGGTGTTACATTGTACAGTGCCGTAATGTGTACCTCTGCTTACCCCTTCGGGGATAAAAGGCGTGATGTTATGTTATCTTAATACTATTTTTTTTGTCATCTTCAACAGCTTATCTCAGAAATAACAGAAGCAGAAGCCTGGCTTCTAGAACGTCGTGTAGCGCTGGTGTCAGGTGATGTAGGACGGGACGAGGATTCAGCATTAGCGCTCGTCAGGAGACTGGACGCCCTGCAACGGGAGGTCACTGGGTTCGACGCCACTATTGTCAAGTTGGAGAAGACTGCGGCCGGTTTAGTGGTGAGTTATTTTTACCGATTTTAAATAAAACAAAGGAGTTTTGTCCGCGAATGGCTAAACTGATTTTGATACCGTTTTTCAGAATTAGGATTATGTTAAACTTTTTTTTTACACACTGCCTCGTTGGCCGTGTGGTCGCAAGTGCGACTGCCGGACATGGGGTCTTGGGTTCGATTACCAGGTCAGGCAAAGCATAACTGGTTTTTTTTTAAATTCTCAATAGTAACACAGAGTCTGGAATTGTGCCCGATATATGGCAATAGGCTCACCCCCATTACATGGGGCTCATGACAGAAATAGTGAAAACTGTGTGTTACATTGTACAGTGGCATTAAGTGCCGAAACGTGCACCTCTGCCTACCCCTTCGGGGATAAAAAGGCGTGATGTTATGTATGTATGTTATGTATATTTTTTCTTGTTAGCAAAAACAATTGTATTATTTTAATTTTATTTATTTAAATCAGTTATTCAATATTAAAACAAAATGGTGCAAAATTTAGAATCGATAGTTATCAATATCATACAAAAATTTCGTTATTTTTCATTGTAAATATTTGTTCAGGAACGTTCAACAATCGACGGTGATCAGCTACAGAAGCGCATCGCCGAGCTGAAGACGATGCATGAAGAGATGAAACTACTCTCCGCCAAGCGACAACAGCGGCTGCAACAGAGCTTGAAATATTTCAAGTGAGTCACTTACTTATACTTGTTTTAAAAAAGGGAGCCAATTATCCAATTATGCTGAGTTTTAATATCTCAGTAGTAGCACGGAGTCTGGCATATGGCAATAGGCTCACCCCCACCTCCACATGGAACTCGTAACATAAATAGTGAAAAGTGAGTGTTACATTGTACATTGGCATTTAAGTGCCGTAATGTGCACCTACTGCCTACCACTTTGGGGATATAAGGCGAGATGTTATGTCATGTATAAACTATGTTAAAAAAACCCCAATCATGGTAATTGTTCACAAACATACGTTCATACAAGTCAAATAAAGAAACTCCTTGTTTTGAAGTCGGTTAAAAACAACAAAATACCATAACGTTATTCTTTCTAAGAATATCTTAGGAGTACTTTTTATTTAATATAATATACATAAGTGTGGCAGAGCCATGCTTCGGCACGAATGGGCCGGCTCGACCGGAGTGATACCACGGCGTCGCAGAAAACCGACGTGAAGCAACCACCAGCGTTGTGTTTCACCGTGTGAGTGAGGTTACCGGAGGCCCAATTACCCCAGTCCCCTTCCCCAATCTCCCCAATCCCTGAATCCCCAACGATCCTCAAACTCCTAATACCCAAAAGGCCGGTAACGCACTTGTAACGCTCTTGTATGGCGTCCATGGGCGACGTCAATTGCTTACCATCAGGTGATCCGTCTGCTCGTTTACCAGCTTATGCCATAAAAAAACATATATCATGTTTTAACTATAGACATTAATCCTACTCCTCCCCTCTCCAGGTTCGTCCAAGAGTGTGAGGAAGTACAGGAATGGATCAGTGAACAGATGACGACGGCTGCCAGCGAGGAGTACGGGCTGGACGTCGAACATGTCGAGACATTGCAGCAAGCGTTCGATAACTTCCTCGCTCAGTTACAAGGTAAGGGGGATTTGGGGGGATTCAGGGGGGAAGCATGGGGAAAACATTATCTTAGACACTACTTACAGTCGAGGAGAACCTAACGGGTAACCGGGGCTCCGGCTCGACGTGCAGGAGAAGGAACGGGGTGGTTTTTAGTCAGTAAGAATCTGACACTACCTCCCGCCTCACCCAGGCGGGAGCAGTCATTCGATGATTTTCCCCCCTTAAAAAAAACACTACTTACAAACGGTGAAGGAAAACATCGTGAGGAAACCCTGAGCTTATAATTTCTAATTATAAGTTTGAAATCGCCAACCCACATTGAGCAAGCGTGGTGATTAATGCTCAAACCTGCTCCGTGTGAATAGAGGCTTTTGGTTAGCAGTGGACACTTATAGGCTTATTGGCTTCCAACTGGCCTATCTGTAAGTCATTGGGGGAGGCCTATGTTCAGCAGAAGTCCTCTTATGGCTATTGATGATGATGATGTTCCAATTACATCATCATCATCAATAGCAATACACGTTCTTTCGTTCTTCTTCTAGCAAACGAGGGCAGAATAGAAGGAGTCTGTGAAGCAGGCACTGTACTTCTAGAAGAGAACACGCCAGAGGCAGACAGAGTGAAACAGAGGATAGATGACATCAAGGGACTGTGGGATGATCTTAAGGAATTGGCGCTGGCTAGGCAGGAGGTAAGGAGTTGTTCTAGTTTGAGAAAGTTAAAATTAAGAGATTTAGAATTAAATTACAAAATATCAAAAGTCCGGGTTGTATATTAAATTCAAATGTTAAGGTCAAATGTGATAATCAAATATTAACGTCACTTCTCAAAGTTAAATATCAAAAAGTTAATGTCAAAGTCAAATATCAAATTCAAATTCAAAGTTAATGTGAAAGTGAAACACTCGATTTCACAGCCAAAGTCAATTCAGGCAAAGCTAAATGTGTAATAGTCAAATTCAACATGAAAGTCATATATTTATTACCTTTTCCCCCCAGGCGTTAGCAGGTGCCCGCCAAGTCCACGAATTCGACCGCTCAGCTGAAGAAACAGCCGCCTGGGTTGCTGAGAAGGACTCCGCCCTCGGCAGCGAAGCCCTACCACCTCGGTCACTACATGAGCTTCACGCACAGAAGAGAAGTCTTCATGCTCTGAGGGCTGATCTGGATGCTATTAAGGCAGCTCATGATAAACTGCAGGAGGAAGCTGAAAGGTACGTCGAAGTTTAAAGGTCATAGGTGAAAGGTCAACGGTCAAAAGATGTGTTTTTTTTAATAAAAATGTCATGTATGCTTGATTATTGTTAAAATTTTAGTTGAATGTCAAAGTTAGCATTCAAAAGTCAAAGTCAAAGTGTGTGAATTTCATTTTACTAAATAAAGTCAAATTACATATTATTTTAACTTAAGACTGCCTCGTTGGCCGGTGGTCGGAAGTGCAACTGCCGAGCAAAGGGTCTCGAGTTCCATTCCCGGGCCGGGAAAAGTATTACTGGGTATTAAAAATATCTCAGTAGTAGCAAGGAGTCTGGAAATCTGCCCGGTATATGGCAATAGGCTCACCCCCTATTACATGGGACTTATAACATAAATAGTGAAAAGAGGGTGTTACTTCTGTGTGCACCTCTGCCTACCCTTTCGGGGATAAAACGTGTGTTGTTTTGTTATGTTATGATTAACCTAAGACCCAAGTCAAATTCAATATCAAATGTCAAAGTTAACATCAAAAATCAAAGTCAAACACAACATTAAACTTGAACGACTATTTCAAACTGCAAAGTCATTGTTAAAAAAATACACCCTTCACAAACTAAACCTTTACCTTTACTCTCCAGGCTGGGTACAGCATTCCCAGACGCGAAGGAACACGTCTCCGCCAAGTTGGAGGATGTCACCGAGTCCCTGCAGGCGTTGGTACAGCGAGCTGATCAGTGCAATCACCAGCTGGAACTGGCTGGACAGCTGCAAGCATACTTCGACACTTACCAGGAATTACTGTAAGCATTTTAGAACAATTTTGGGTTTAAAATAATGATTTAATATTTATTTAGAATTGAAATAATCTTATATACTATTATATAAAGCGGAAGAGTTTGTTTTTTTGTGTTTGTTTGAACGCACTAATCTCCGTAACTACAAGTCTGATTTGAATTATTCTTTTTGTGCTGAATAGCGCATTTATCGAGGATGGCTATAGGCTATAAAGTATCACGCTACGACCAATAGGAGCTGAGCAGAGCGTGTGAAACCGCGCGGAAGTAGCTATTCTATGTTTATAAATATAAAATGAAGTCGTGTTAGTTACACTATTTATAACTCAAGAACGGCTTCATCGATTTAAATGAGAATTAGTGGGGAGGTAGCTTAGAACCAGGTGACGGACATAGGATACTTTATAACCAATTTTTGTTTTACTTTTTACCGAAAATCACTAACGGGAACGGGAAAAAATCGGGATTACGCGTACGCAGTCGCGGGCAGACGCTAGTATTTTATGGCATTAACTAGATTAAGTAAAATCACGGGTTACTCACGTGAATATACTGAGAAAAGCTCTACTAGTTTCGAACCACAGAGGGGTTATTTCTCATGAGTAGCGTGCGCGGCCAGCTCAGTGAGCTGCGCGACGTCGCCGCGACCGCGTATTAAACTAATAGATCTTTTCTCAGTATATTCACGTGAGTAACCCGCGTTTTTACTTAATTTAGTATATCTCACGATAGTTATTATAAAAGGCATTAATTAGGTTTCGAACGAGGCTTCAAACGACATATCGCGAGATTGGAGGCAACCTGCGTACAGCGGCTGTCGCAGACCTATCAGCTCATCAATAAATAACAAATAATGACTAAAATTCTTCTATTTATCACCAGAGCATGGACCAACGAGACCCTAGCCCGTGTGACGGCGCCCGACCTCGCCACCGACGTGTCGGGGGCCGAGCGACTGCTGGCCAGGCACCAGGACATCAAGGTCGAGATAGAGGCCAAGGAGGATGCCTTCCAGACACTCTACAGTGATGGTAAGTCATATTTTATGGGATTTATTTTAAGGGGGGAAAATCATCGAATGACTGCTCCCGCCTGGGTGAGGCGGAAGGGAGTGTCAGACTCTTACTGACTAAAAACCACCCCGTTCCTTCTCCTGCACGTCGAGCCGGAGCCCCGGTTACCCGTTAGGTTCTCCGCGACATATTTTATGGGATAAGTCGGTGAACGAGCGAACGGATCACCTGATGGTAAGCAATCGGCGTCGCCCATGGACACATGGAACACCAGAGGCGTTACAAGTGCGTTACCGGCCTTTTGGGGATTGGGATCAGGATTGTGAAGTATTGGGGGATTGAGGGGACTGGGGAGGGGGGTAATTAGGCATAACATCACTCACACGACGAAACGCAACGCAAGATAATCGAAAAGTCAAATTCATTTATGTCCCAAGTCTGTGGTGAAATGGGACCAGGGTGCTTACTCTTGAAACCAATCTTAATGTCAATTCAATAATTATTCAATGTCAACACTATACAACCACAATCGTAGCTGTTACAATAGCATTCAGAGTACGGAATATAAAGACAAACTCAATACAATTTAGTTCGTTCAATATCCGCGCGATACGGATGCAATGGGCGCTAGTGTTGTGACTCAAGAGTACGAAATTTCACAATACCAAGGTCGATCGATCGGAATTGGATTCAAGAGTAAGCCACCAGTTTAGTATGTGCTGGTATTCTACTGGAAGAACTGATGAAAATCCCTTTTTACTCCCAACAGGCGAGAAACTAGTAAAAGAAGGCCACTTCATGTCCAACGAGATCGAGGACAGGATGTCCATACTCCGCAGTAGACGGCAACACCTGGATGCCGCCTGGTCCAACAGGGAGAGGATCTACACACAACATCTGGATGCCCTGGTCTTCAAGAGAGACGCTGACGCACTGGATAACTGGATTACTAACAGGTATGTTGTTTGAATAGCCACCGCTACTCTTGACGTGGGTGTTGTATACCCGAGTATAGGACTAATGTCTGAATACTCAAACGGCATGGCATTCAATTTGAAGTCAAGTATTGTTCTGTCACTACAAATTCTTTGTAAAATGACAGAGATGGCACGATATTAAAGTACTACTTAAAATTCAGTAGTCTTTCAGTATTCGGGCGTAATTGGGATGATAACAGGGTAAGAAAATTAAAAATCTATTTAGTCCGTCAGTTAGGTAATGAAAAAATATTAGACACGTATTTTTTATTTTGTCGTATAATAAAACAATACTTAGATAAAACGAATCAAAGTTTGGGAGTGGGGGCTAAAACGTCTTTTCTACGTATAAAATGTACATAGAAGTGACGTCACGCGACATTTCAAATCAATATATCGATAGTATTTGTTTCTGTAAGAAATTAAACAATACGTGTCTAATGTTTTTAAATAATTATGTTTTTTAATAACCAGACGGACATTAAAATAAAAATTACGCATCTATCCTATTCTAACTGATATAGGTATTCCATTTTCTATTCATAAATAAATAAAAAAACTTATTATTAATTTCTCTTCAGAGTACCTTTAGTTCGCGACGGCAAATATGGCGAGAGCGTAGCTCAAGTAGAAGAACTGATCAACCGCCACCGAGACCTGGAGGAAACCATCGACGCACAGAAGGATAAGTTCAATGCATTGAAGAGGATCACTCTTGTAAGTATAATTTATTTTAACTTTAATGTACCAGTAGACTGTCAAAAGACCATCAGTAGACCGGCAAAATACCAGTAGACCACCAGTAGACCGCTAGTATACTAGTAGTAGACCATCAAAAGACCATCAGTAGACCAGTAGATCGTTATAAGACCATCGATTACGGAAGTACACCGTCACAAAACCATCAGTAAAGCAATAGACCATCAATAGATCATCAAAAAATCATCGGTAGCGGTAGTAGACCACCAAGACACTTCAAGTAGACCATCACTACCCATCATATTTTATTCTTTTCTTTATGAAATATGGTTGGTAAACGAGCACGTATCACCTGATGGTAAGCAATCGGCGCCTATGGACACACGGAACACTAAAAGAGTTACAAGGTCATTACCGATGTTTTAAGTAGGAGTCTATTTGTATGTCCCACTGTCTCAGAAACCTGAAAATCTTTAATCAACCTGTAATATTCTTTCTCCAGGTGGAACAGGCCTTCCAAATGCAGCGTGATGAGGAGGAGCTAGCTCGTCGTAAGTCTGCAGAGAGGCAGGAGGCTGACAGGCTCCAGCAGTACAGGAAGAGGGAGATGGAGAGGATCACTGAGGAGAGGAGGAGGGAGACTGCGCCCGTGCCTATGGTTAGGGAGGTGAGAGGGACTGATATATTTTGTTTTTTATTTTCAGGAATTGAAAATTACCCTTTCATTCATGAGTGTTTATCAAGTAAGGGGTCTCGGGTTTGTATACTGGGTTTTCTGATTTCTGAGTGCCTCGTTCGCCTAGTGGTTGTAAGTGCGATTGTGGGGCCTCGGGTCTCGGAACGATTCCCGGAACAGACAAAGTATTATTGTTTTTTTTTTAATGTCAGTAGTAGCATGGAGTCTGGAATCGTGCCCGGTATATGGCAATAGGCTCACCCCCTATTACATGGATAGTGAAAAATGAGTGTTACATTGTACAGTGGTATTAAGCGACGTAATGTGCACCTTTGCCTACCACTTCGGGGATATGTTTTCTGATTTAGAAAATTCAATTTATTTCCTGGATATTTCGATTCCTGGTTTCAATATGACAAACCCGTAAAACGCCCTTTGGGGGATTAAAAGGCATGAATGGTGTTATGACAGACTATTTGTTTAATTTTTAATTTAAGACGCCCGCTTCTATGTACTTCAAAGATTATTCAGACACCACTGACAAACGGTGAAGGAAAACATCGTGAGGAAACCTGGGCTTATAATTTCTAATTAATAATTATAAGTCTGTAATCGCCAACCCTCATTGAGCAAGCGTGGAGATTAATGCTCAAACCTTCTCCGTGTGAGAAGAGGCTTTGCTCAGCAGTGGGCATTTATAGGCTGTTGATGATGATGAATTTTTAAGAGTTTGGCTACCATCTCGTCTGGTAAGCGATGTTCTGACCGACGATGATGGCGATATATCATTAAACATTCTCTTCTTGGCCAGGCGGAACGTCTCCAAACGTCAGTGGCGCCTGCGTCGTCGGAGGAGACATTGTCCCCGGCGCCACAGTTCGACAGATTGCCCAAGAACGAACAACATGTAAAACGCGCTGAAAGTATGAGCGTAAGTATCTTTACTTGTTATTTTATCGTTTTACTCGCTTTTACCCGCGGCTTCGCTCGCGTCACAAAGGAATAAAAAGTAGCCCATGTGACATATACCAATACACATTTGTTTTCCCTCGGGAATATCACATTTTTTCGGGATAAAAAGTACCCTATTATTTAATCCGAACTTCTAACTTTACGTCTGTAAAAATTCAAAGCAATCGGTTTAGTAGTTACGGCGTGAAAGCGGAACAAACAAACAAACAAACTCACTTTCAGATTTATAATATTAGTAAGGATGTACTCAAAGGAGACTACAACTTTTATTTTAGTAAGTTTTGTAATTAATATAATGCGTCAAGCGTGTCTTTGCATTGTTTTTACATATGCGTACAGTATTGGAATATGTATCAGAGACATTGTAGAACATACTTTTTTAAAAAGAGTAAAGAATGGAGTTACTTGCTCGTTCTTCTCCATTCGAATACATTTTGGAATGAGCACCTAGCTTCACCTAGCTTCGCTGACGGACTGACTGACAGACTATTATTTATTTTGTATTTGTTGACGTCTCAAAAGTACCAAATTATAGTTTAATTGAAATAAATGTTTTGACTTTGACTTTATATATGGTAATTTATGAAAGTACTTGAAAGTAATGCTATGTTTCTTAATCGGTACTTATTATTTGAGTTTCAAAAGTGATTTAATCTCATTCATATAGATAATTTGGTTTAATACGGTAGCTGACATCTAGTCAAATTCAATACTTTTATCGAAACGTCAAAAACAATACTGTTCTATGAATTTTGTACGAAATACCATCTTATGACGTCATCATATTTTCGCGTCAAACTTATATCTAAAAAAATGCTAGAATAAATCGAAAATTAAGTATATCGACAAATCAATGAATGAAAGTGTAACTATTTTTCAATATTTAATTGGACTGAAAAATCAAAATAATTTATTTTTGACCGAAGAAACTACCTAATTCTGACATGGTGTTTTTTGACATGGCATCAATGACCTGATAAAATATGGTTATCTTCTTCTCCCTCTTCAAATTCCCTCTGTCTCTTTCTCTGTCTCTCTTTGTCTGTTATGACCTACGCTTTATTTTCGTTTATTTTTTAAAATTTATTTATTAGGTTAACCAACAGTTATTTACACTCATACATTCATTACATCATTACAAATAATACATTGGTAAGTGTAACAACTACTTACTGGCTAACACAGCATGCACATAAAACGGTTAGAGTAAAAGTTATTACGCTCCACGGTCTCACAATGCCAACAAATTATATCGACCTAAAACAAATCTCATACTCACATCAAATAACAGTTACATTATGTGCATTAAATTATATAACAAAGTTCCAAATTCCATTAAGGCACTACCTTTTCATAAATTTAAACGAGGTTTAATAAACCTGCTAATTGACAAATGTTTTTACAGTGTGCTTGAGTATTTAGATTATAAATTGTAATATTTAATGGTTTGTGAATTGTAATGTAATCTATTTATAATATGTGTGACATTCCTGTAAAATTGACATTTATAGAATATTGTGTGTGACATTTATGACATTTTGTGTTAATTTTGTGACATTTTCTCTGTTATAAAATTCACTTCTAATCGTAATTTTGTTTGAGATAGCAGTATAATAAAATTTTGACAAGTCTGTAAAGTACCTACATTATTTTTGCACGCCGATGTTGAAGGCAAAATAAGAGGACGTAAGTTATTAGAAAATGACAACTATCTGTACCTTATTTACGCAAATAAATAATTTTTGATTTGATTTGAGAATATATTACATAAAAAAAATTATAACATTTGAACAAGATCAAGCAACATAACATAAACTTTACTTTTAAAACTAATATATTTATATTTTCTAATCACCAGGTTGTAAAAACACAGAAGCGTACTCCATCGTTCACCACACGTCGTCGCACGCAGAGCTTCAGGAGACACGGGAAGGAACTCCCACCTGTCGAGATTGAAGGTACGTACACCATCAGACACCACACAAACTCAAACACGTAATTGATATTATTCCTAATTCCATAAAACTCCAATAAGAAACATTGCTGTCGCTTATTCTGAAATACTGTCGAACTTAAACGATTTATTATAGCCGTATTTTTAACTATTGGCCCGAAATTTTCTCTTACATTGAACCTTTATGACTTCTGTGACATGCCCCCGAGAAATGACACGGCTTCAAAACTACACCTTGTATAACTTTTTTATGTTTCATGAAAAGACACATATCTGTCTTAGTTTTATAGTACCTACTTATTTGTTTTATATCATGTATTATAGTCATTATTTAAATACTAATAATAAGTATATCTTCCCCAGGTTTCTTAGAACGCAAGCAGGAAGCAGGTCGCGGCGGCAAGCGTGCGACCGTGCGATCATGGCGCGCGTACTACTCCGTGCTGTGCGGACAATTACTGTGCTTCTTCAGGGACGAACTAGACTTCGCCAGTGCCAAGGCCGCGGCGCCGCCTGTCGCTATACTTAACGTGAGTGTTATTTGAGTGTAGGTTCAGTATGAGTTTGAGTATGCTTATAAGGCACCTTTGATTTTGACATGAATCGAAATGGCAATAGGTTCACGCTGGGTTTAAAAAAAATGTGTGTGGGTGTTACATTGTACAGTGGCATTAAGTGCCGTAATGTACACCTCTGCATATACCTTCGGGGATAAAAGGCGTGATGATGATAACAAGTCTAGGAAAAAAAACTTCTGATATTTTATTCGTTTATATGCAAGTGATGACAATATTTTTTAATATTATTTTTTGTTAAGTAGTATTTCGAAATGTTTTTTATGGAGAATTTTAAAGAAATGTATTATGGAATGATGTTGACATATGTATTATCCCCCAGGCGCGCTGTGAACCGGCCGGTGACTATACAAAGCGCGCCAACGTGTTCCGCCTGGCCTGCGCTGACGGAGCCGAGTATCTGTTCGCTTGTAGCTCGAAGGAGCTTATGAAGGTAAATACATTATTTATTATATAAACCTACCAACGGCAAGTACCAATGTGACATTTTCCGAGTTATATGTACTTTCTAAGATTATTCAGACACCACTGAGAAACGGTGAAGGAAAACATCGTGAGGAAACCTGGGCTTATAATTTGTAATTATAAGTTTGAAATCGCCAACCCGCATTGAGCAAGCGTGGTGATTAACTCAAACCTTCTCCGTGTGAGAAGATGCCTTTGGTCAGCAGTGGCCACTTACAGGCTGTTGGTGATCTCCAACCTGCTACCAAGCGTGGTGATTAGTGCAAACCCTCGTATGTAGAAGTAGGAGAAGTCTATAGTACAGCAGTGGATCGTCACACAACTAATACCCTCGTTAATCCCCAGGATTGGGTGGCGAAGCTGTCCTTCCACGCGCAGTTACCCCCCGAGCTCCAGCTGACTCCGTACTCCTCGGTGCCGCCTGGAGAGTCTCCCACTGCTGAGATCAGAAGGAGACTTCATGAGTAAGTTATATATAAACTACTAGCTTTTACACGCGGCTTCGCTCGCGTCACAAAAGGATAAAAAGTAGTCTATGTGACATATTCAAATACATACAGCGCCATCTATACCAATAATTTCGTTTTCCCTCGGGAATATCAAATTTTTTTGGGATAAAAAGTACCCTATTATTTAATCCGGACTACTAGGTTATCGGAGGTCCAATACCCCCCCCCCCTCTCTTCAACAATCTCCCCCCCTCTTCAACAATCTCCCCAATTCCTGAATCACTAACAATCCTCAAATTCCTAATCCCCAAAAGGCTGATAACGCACTTGTAACGCCTCTGGTGTTCCGAGTGTCCGTTGGCGACGCCGATTGCTTACCATCAGGTGATGCGTCTGCTCGTTTAAGAATTTATATCATAGAAAAACCCTGGAACATTATCAGAGCCCTCACCAACACCCTCTTACTCCTCAGGAACGCGGAGTCTTCATCATCAGCGCCATCGTCTCCGGAACCTGAACGTAGACCGCGCACACAGACCGAAATACTCCAAGAACATAGGAACAGCCAACAGGCTCAGAGAACGTCCTCCACAACACCCGAAAGAAATATTGGTAAGTCAACATGTTCATCATAAAATCCACCGTTACTCTTTCCATGGGTGTCGTATACCCGACCTAAGGACTACATTTAGTAAAAATGCGGGTTACTCACGTGAATATACCGAGAAAAGCTCTACTAGTTTCGAACCACAGAGGGGTTCTTCCTCATGAGCAGCGTGCGCGGTCGCGGCGAGGTCGCGCAGCTCACTGGTGCAGAGTGAGCAGAGTGAGCCCCTCTGTGGTTCGAAACTAGTAGAGCTTTTCTCAGTATATTCACGTGAGTAACCCGCGTTTTTAGTTAATTTAGTATGTCTCACGATAGTTATTATAAGGACTACATATTCTTTTTCAACAGTACTATGAACTATTTTGTGCAGAATAAAAAAACATTTTTTTTCCACCATCACTGATCCCGTGGGTGTATTATACCCGACCAAGAGACTACACTAAGTAATTTGTTCTCGTACAAATTTGCGATTATGACATCAGAAGATATTTTGTCTAGGATTAGACATTTAACTAAAATAAAACTGGTCACACATCAGGATTTTGATGACTCCTGTGTCATGGGTCCAGACCCGGGATTTGGAATGGAGTTTCTTGCTCGTTCTTCTCCATAAGTATCTACACCTTGGAATGAGCAAATAGCTTCACTTTTAATTATTTTTTTTTGTTGACGTTCAAAAGTGCCATTCTGTTTTATAATAACTATCGTGAGACATACCAAACCAAGTAAAAACGCGGGTTACTCACGTGAATATACTGAGAAAAGCTCTACTAGTTTCGAACCACAGAGGGGTTCTTCCTCATGAGCAGCGTGCGCTCACTGAGTGAGCTGCGCGACGTCGCCGAGACAGCGCACGCTGCTCACGAAGAAGAACCCCTCTGTGGTTCAGTGCCATTCTGGCCTAATTGAAATAAATGATATTGACTTTGACTTTGGAAAAACAATTTGTAGACCACTCAAGGGGTTGTTCCATGCGGGGATTGCTTTATTGATTTATTTTTATAATCTCAGAATCCGAGGTGCTACCGTCATTGCCACCCCGCCAGCCACCGCCTGAGGAAGACGCCACTGAAGTTGTATTCAGGTAAATATCTTACTAATATCAATGAAAAAAATATTTAACTTCTATATAAAACTCACAAATATATATTTTAAAAATAGTTATAATACTAATTTTTGACTGCCTCGTTGGCCGAGTGGTCGCAAGTGCGACTGCTGGGCAAGGGGTCTCGGGTTCGATTCCCGGGTTGGGCAAAGTATTTGGGTTTTTAAAATTTCAGTAGTAGCACAGAATCTGGAAATGTGCCCGGTATATGGCAATAGGCTCACCCCCTATTACATGGGACTCATAACATAAATAGTGAAAAGTGGGTGTTACTTCTGTGTGCACATCTGCCTGCCCCTTGGGGGATAAAAAGGCGTGACGATATTACGTTCTAAAACCTTATTCTAAGTGTCACCTCCAAAGTGTAAAAGATTTCAAAAAAGTGTTTGTTAGAACTTTATATATATATCTATTAATTAACAGACTTCAAAAAAAAGAGGCGGTTGAAGTCGGTATTTAACTCGTCGAGTACCGGTTTTATAGACACAATTAAAGAACAATGGGTCGCGGTCACCGGTGACCGCTTGGTATTTGACAGTTTAATAAACGTAGTTTATAAAATTATTATTAACATAATCCCATACGCGTAATCCCATTTTTTCCCGTCCCCGTTCGTGATTTTCGGTAAAAAGTAAAAAAAAAAATTGGTTAAAAAGTATCCTATGTCGGTCTCCTGGCTCTAAGCTACCTCCCTACCAATTTTCAGCCAAATCGATTCTGCCGTTCTTGAGTTATAAATGGTGTAACTAACACGACTTTCTTTTATATATATAGACTAGCTTTTACCCGCGGCTTCGCTCGCGTCACAAAAGGATAAAAAGTAGCCTATGCGCCATCTATACCAATACTTTTGTATTCCCTCGGGAATATCAAATTTTTTGGGGATAAAAAGTACCTTATTATTTAATCAGGACTACTAACTTTACGTCTGCAAAAATTCAATGCAATCGGTTCAGTAGTTACGGCGTGAAGTCGGAACAAACAAACAAACAAACAAACTCACTTTCCGATTTATAATATTAGCAAGGATTAATAATATTATATCCAATATATCAGGAATCAAGAACTAGCTACGCAGGCGAGCTCGTGGGGTCGCTCACGGTTTTCAAACGGCCGCGACATCAACACTGAGTTCATACGATCACAACAAAATGGTAAGATTATTTTCTAACTTATATTAAGTATTTTTACAGACACTAAACCATCTCCCAACTACGAGTTACTTAGCGTGATTAAGAGGCTGATATTACTTAGATGGGGCCGGAATTGGGTACTTGCCAACTAGTCCAATTCAATACATTTTTCGAACTGTCAAAAACGACAGTTTTCTATGAATTTTGTACGAGATTGTGTATTGTGTCACGTCACGTTTTTTTAGCGTCAAACAGCATAGTTATTTGTTAAAAATTTGCTGGAAAAATACTAAAATTAAGTTGGTAATAAAATCAATGAATGAAAGTGTGATTATTTTGTTAATATTTTATTGTATTGAACAGTCGAAATAATTTATTTTTTATTAAGGAAAGTACCCGATTTCCTATGTGAATACTCTGAGAAGAAACGGGAACAAACTTTGGAATATTAACTTTTATATATCAAAATATTTACTTTAGAGTCCAACTGACTACTGAAAAGAAGATTTCGAGTTCGATTCTCGGTTTAAAAAGAGTGTTATTGAGGTTTTTACACGTTTAAAATTGTCAATGAATCACGGAGCACATGAGTATATACCGCGACTAGCAAAACTGATGTGTTTATTAAAATATTATGTACACCTCTGCCTATCCTTTTTTTGGGTATAAATGTGTTGTTTTTTTGTTAAATGTCTTGTATTTGTATCGTCTGCATTGTGTCTGTTTTTGTCCATATTCTATTTGGTTTATAGTTATTTGATAATATTCATTCACAAAATACGTTTAATCACACAATATTACACTGTGAAATATATTTTGTTTTCGTCCCGCGGCAAAATAACTTGCCATAAGGAGTACTTTTGATGTATAAAAAATGTAAAAAACAAAAAAAATACATGGAACTACGCACATGAAACATTAGACGTGAATTGGTAGGCACTATTCACATCGCACGTGCCACCCGACGAGAAATACCTCTCCGGAAATTACATGGCGTAATGTTTTGATAATGTACTATGGGTTCGTATGCGCTTTCGAAGTTTGCTTTTTGCAATGGTTCACCAGTTATTTTTTGTTTTAAACATTTTATTTGTTTGTAAAACTATTGTATTACCGAGACAGAACCATTTTACTTCGGGACGAAATACAAAATAGATTTCACGATGTATAACTTCTGCACTTTTAAACTACAGTGGAGACTCTATTAGTCATATCCTAGTTATTGCGATTCGCGATTATTCAGTTTACTTCATCATCATCATCAACAACCTATAAATGCCCACTGCTGAGCAAAGCCTCTTCTCACACGGAGAAGGTTAGGGCATTAATCACCACGCTTGCTCAATGCGGGTTGGCGATTTCAAACTTATAATTAGAAATTATAAGTCCAGGTTTCCTCACGATGTTTTTCCTTCACCGTTTGTCAGTGGTGTCTAAATAATCTTAGAAAGTACACATAACTCGGAAAAGTCACATTAGTACTTGCCGTTGGTAGGTTTCGAACCCGCACCCTCATGCATGAGAAGTGGGCGTCTTAAACCTCCGGGCCACCACGACATTGTTTGCTTACTGCATTGAAATTTTAATTTAACGAAATTTTTCTCTATAACTTTGGTATTATTTAAAGTAATGGAATAATTTATTCAAGTTTCAGGTTTATTTTATAAAAAATCGATATCGAGATTGATTTATGATAGCACAAGTTTAAACCTTAGTTTTAGTGGATTTTGGTTCCTATTTTAAATGTATAATCCTGTACTTATTGTAAATATGATAATAAATAAAAAAAAATTATAATAAAAATTATACACAATAAACTGTCGAATTTTCAACAAATAAATAAATAAATATTAGGTCAACTAATCGAGTCTCCACTACCAACGAAACATTTTAACACGTCTCCACAACAAATTTTAACAAATAATTCTTTAGCTGAGATGGGAGCACCTCCCTTACCAATAACGGGGCCTCCCCACCGCCCCCCATTGCCCGATCGACCGCCGACATTACCCGAACGCGGACCGAACATACCCGAACGAAATACTCAAGAAAAACAGTCCGTATCAGCATTAGTCAACAGTTATCAACAAAGAATGACTGGCAACTGGCAGCAACGTGATGCCAAGGACGCCAATGCCAATAGAACGGCCTCTTGGCAAGGATATGCCAGTAATAACAACTGGCAGAATGTTGAGACTACGTCACATTTTTATGCTACAAGCGAAACTGGTTAGTTTTTGTGTTATGTTCCAAGTGGTACTTTTGGTTTATTTTTTGGGCCAGTTGGTACTTTTAATGGCAGATGTTCTAAGTAGATTGTATTGGGTTTTGTTATGGTTTTTTAATGGGTAGTTTTAACTATAGAACTAAACAAAATATTGTTTTTTAATGGGTATAAAAATATTGACAAAAAAATTATGAAAACTACGTCGTCGGCCACTTTATTTAGTATGCCGAATAGATTATGAAGATTTCGATACGAATCAGTAGCTATTGATACACAAAATTATACCAGTATTACGCTGAAATACTCAAATGCAATTCAATTTTAAGTCTCGCTTCAGTATCAGTCAGTCAGTCTCGCTGTCTACAAATTCTTTGTAAAATGACAGAGATGTCACGATATTTAAGTACTACTTTAAATTGAATAGCATATCAGTATTCAGGCGTAAATTTTCTTGTCTGCAGCTTTAGCCAAACGCCATTTACGGACTTGTCTACAGAGAGAGTAGACATCAAAATGTATGGAGATGACACTGACAAGTGTCAAAATTTGCGTCAATTCCATATAATTTGGTTTTCTATTCTACATGTAGACAAGCGCTAAATGGCATTTGGCTACAGCTGCTGGATACGAAATGACGTGGCTGTCGTCTATACATCGCTGCGACAAAAACTAATACTTTACCATTTTTACTTTACTTCGTACATGAAAAGTACCAAGTGACCCTAGCTTTCGGAAGTACCACTCCAGCCTAAGTACCGCAGAGCCCTGGTTTTGAAGCTTTGTAGACACTACTAACACTTGTTTTATCAAACACTTATTTTTGCAAAATGTATTTCAATATTAAATTATTTAGTTTTGGTACTCAAAAGAGAAAGTACGACAGCAATTGTTTTTTTATATACATATGGTACAAGCCGGTAAACGAGCAGACAGATCACCTGATGGTAAGCTATCGTCGCCGCTCATAGACACCTGGAACACCAAAGGCGTTACAAGTGCGTTACCAGCCTTTTGGGGATTAGGAATTTGAGTATTATTGGAATTGGGGAGATTGGGAAAGGGGGGATAAATTTGATGAAAACAACGCTTCGGTTTTGTCAGTATGGTTCTCTGCTCGTCCGTGGTATCACTCCAGTCGAGCCGGCGGCCCAGTAAAGCCGAATCATGGCTCTCCCACACTTAAAATTAAATTAATTATGTGATGAAATGATAATTTATTATAATGCTGGCAACACACTCCTAACATCTCTGGTGTTGTGATGTCTAATAATTTAGCGTGCTGCCTAAGCGCTTGTTATCAGGCGATCCATTTGCTCGTTGACCCACTCTTATAAAATTTAATAAATCACAATACAATTAAAATATCCTTCCTTTTTAAACAAGCCCGTGAACTTACTAATATTTTGAGTACCTATATTAAATAATTTAGTATATTTTTTAGCTTGCAGCAGGACCTAAAGTATGTTTATAATTCTGCTATCTATTTGACGAAGCTGCCATTTTGCGTTTAGCAATAAATTAACGTGGATCGGGCTGTTTTTAATAAGAAAATTCGTAAAGGATGGTAGGCAAAAATGTAATGGCGACGCACGCACGGCCGCCACAATTCTGAGTAATTCTATTTGAAACGTATTACAGTCATGGTTCACTGTGTCAAACCTCATCAGATTCTGTCCCGGGATACAGAGACAGGTATACAGAGAACTGTATATTAACATACTAGCTTTTACCCGCGGCTTCGCTCGCGTCACAAAAGGATAAAAGCTAATGTGACATATACCAATACACACAGCGCCATCTATACTAATACTTTGGTTTTCCCTCGGGAATATCAAATTTTTCAGGGTTAAAAAGTACCCTATTATTTAATCCGGACTTCTAACTTTACGTCTGCAAAATTTCAAAGCAATCGGTTTAGTAGTTACGGCGTTAAAGTGGAACAAACAAACTCACTTTCCGATTTATAATATTAGTAAGGATTTTTGTTAGGTTGAGCTGTGTGTTCGTTACATGTATGGGCGGCAAACGCATGTCCAAAGTCAAAGCATTTATTTCAATTAAACCATAATTTGGTACTTTTGAAACGTCAACAAATACAAAATAAATAATAGTCTGTCATTCAGTCCGCCACAGCTCTGACTGGTTCTGGTCAAAAATATGTGAATATATACAATGACCCTCGGGACAGAATCTGATTACTTTGATACACTGAACCATGGCTGTGATATCTATCAAATATAAGTAGACCAAGCCGTGGCATAGTTAGGTATATTTTGCCTACTGTCTTTTCTGTAGAATTTTTAGAAAAATGTAGTTTTTTAAAACAATAATTAGTTATTTTTACAAATAGTATTTCGTAGTAGTAGTTTTTAACCCGACCGCGTTAAATACCTTGCTTTTTGGGATCGCTGTACGCATTTTCTTTTAGTATTTTTACTATAAGTACCTAATGTCTTACCTTCATGAATTATATTTCTGATTCTATTCAAAGTTGTATATTATTTTTACTTTCTCAAAATTCTGTCAATTATTTTATTTTTCTGTTCTCTAGTAGTATTTTTCGAAATTCCTGTTCTTCTAACTATTGAATAATTAGAAGATTAATAATTATGTTGTTTACTATTGTTTCTTTATTCAATCCATAAGTTTATTTTCAAAATTCTGTAAACTTCTTCAATATCTTTTTATGAAGCATTAATTTGTTCTGTAGTAAACTATTGGCTATAAGATTAGTTTTAAGTAGTTGTAGAATAAGTTTTATAGCTTTTAAATGTGTCAATGGTACTAATATTTAATGATCGAGGAAGCAATCTGTGAAAAATCGCTAATATCTTACTTAATTGTTGAAATTATTATTCAATCGTATGTGTATTTCATATTATAACAATAACTGTAGTATTTTCATATTGTTTCCTCCACTCTCTATATGTGTCAAAGGACTAAATACCAACCTAAACTTAAATAATGGTAACTTAACAAAAAAATATATTAATCTAATTTTCTTTCTTTTTTTTTTTGAAATTCGATTTTTTTCTATACGGTGCTGCCACAGATATCGTCGTTGCTTATTTTTTATCTGAACACTAGTCTTTTGACCCATAAGTAACGCTTAATCCAAATTATACCTACTTACCAAAACTATTTATATTTCTAACTAAATACCTTATATTTCCACGCAATCAGGAGCAAGCCACCTACTCTACATATTACATCGAGTACAATGTATGTTATGTGTATTATATTTTATATATTATGTACCTGTATGTATATAGTTTTTATATAAGGCTTAATATGAAGGGCGCTATCATTTTTACCGCCAACTGAAAAACATTATAACCTAACTAAAATCGCGGGTTACTTACGTGAATATACTGAGGAAAGCTCTACTAGTTTCGAACCACAGAGGGGTTCTTCCTCATGAGTAGCGTGCGCGGTCGCTAACTGAGTTCGAAACTAGTAGAGCTTTTCTCAGTATATTCACGTGAGTAACTCGCGATATTAGTTAATTTAGTATGTCTCACGATAGTTATTATAAAAACATTATAACTTAAAAAAAACTTTTCTGTTACGAATCTTTATTGTTATTATATTATGTGTTTATATGTTCTTATGCTGTGTATAAATTTGCCTATTATGTATTTTATATTTTTAAATGAAATAAGTAGCTCAGCATTTAAAAAGTTTCTTATTTAAAAAAACATGTTCTATTTAAGGTAGAAATTGTTTTTTATACTTTTTTATATTTTTCTGTGCCAAATATTTTTGCTTTGTATTTTACCTACAGCTATATAAAAAATAAATGTAGTATTTAAAATTAGAATTAATATAATCTATGTGTTATTATTTTAGGCAGCCATTTTGTTTTCTGTGTGCTTTTGTTCTTTGTGTATTTTGGTGTTGGTGTTTTCAATTAACAAACGTATTTTCGTGTGTCTTTTTGTAGTTTGAATAATATAAAGCTTTGGTCTTTTTTATTTAGATGTGGAAAACATATTTGACATTTTGACAAACTCTTACCGCCGTACACAGAGTCCAGAATAGTTACAACTCAGTCCTTATCAGTTGTTTTCGGGACAAAATCGATACTAATGAATAGTTCAAATAATCATTTAATGTCTCTGAGTCTTGGCGGTTAGTCGATCAATTTTGATAAACAACAAAATTTTGGCGCGCTAAATTAATACGAATTTACAATCGCATATTTGCACTTACCGTCATCCTTAACTCAATGCAATAAAAGTCAAAATTGATTGTCTAAACGGTAAATAAAGTTTGTAGAAATGTCAAAAAGATTTATGAATTTGACGTTTAAATGTTTTTTTTTATTTGTTCAGCTTATGGAGGCAGTAGCGGAGGCAACACTCGGCCAGCGTCTGTCGCTGGTAGCGGAGGCTCGCCAGCTTTAGACCAGAGACCAGCTTCACGGTAGATATTTGCTTTGCTTTTAAACAATGTCTTCTTCATAAATTTCGCATTCTCTTAAATTCTAGGTACTATATTTTTTTATATTCTCCACCTTTAGAAAGGACGGACATTATAATATCACACTTAGAAATGAGACCAAAAATTGTGAAAAGTAGCTCATTAACCCAAATAATCGTAAGTGAGACGAACAAGGGCAAGTGGGTTCTATTCACAGTTTGAGAAATTATTAAATGTTGAAAATTTACGATTTCTCAAGAATATCTCAATAATATCACGGTCTGGAATCATGCGACGTCGTACAAAGTATTAATATATTTATTTCTTTGTCATAGGTCATCGGGCGAGTCCGAGCTCTCAGTGAGTGGGGTCTCAAAAGACAAAAAGGACAAGAAGGGGATCCTCGGGGGTCTATTCAGCAGAAAGAAGAGACCCCAAAGTCATATGTAATGTCACTGTCAAATAACTGTCAAATTGCTATGAAACATGCTGATTTAAATACAAGTCTTTTAAGACACTCCTTGACACAACTCTGCTTATTCTTTTTAAGGATATTAGCGTGTTTAATTTACTTTAAAATAGCTTTTGTTATTGTAACATAATATTTGTATATTATGACAGTTTTTTTTACTTTATACTTGTAATATTTGAAACTTTTTTTCATCAATTTGACAGCGTTGACAAGTCAGTTTGTATATAAGTTTTATCGAGTATACATACATACATACATTAAATATTTTTTTGTAAACAATAAGTATAATTAATTGAATAAGTTGTTAAAAATCGTGCCTTTCGAAGAATCATGTGAAAATACATATTTTTGTCGTTTTTCTTGATTATAATAAGTTTATAATAAACAGTGACTTTTATTGTGAGGTTATATTTGGCGGGCTTTTTTGACGTTTGTTTAAATATGGCCGCGGAATAAAAGTCGTTTCTTTTTAAAACTTATTTTTCTTAATTAAGTACATATTTATATAGGATAGTTATTGCCGTTTTTAAATACCCATTTTATTTGTTTATATTATTACACATTCCTCTTAACAACCCACGATCTTGGCGAAAATATTTTTTTTATAGTTTATCAAAAATATAGTTAACCTATGGGGACCAATTGAAAAGTATTATTAAAATATGAACATAAAAATTTATATTGCAACTTGTTATATTCGCAATTGTTAAATGTTAAAATTAAATGTTATTGTTAACATTAAAGTTAAGCAACCGTTGTTAAGGTTGCGAAAATGATGGGTCGAATCTAAGATCGTGGTACGGTGTCACAAATTGGGACCAAAAACTTGAATATGGTCTTTTTAGTTGTTCTTTTAAAATGTAACTAAATTTTTAACCTTTTACGGGTTAAGAATGTAATATTATTATACAAAAGTATAAAATAAAATTGAAATAATTAAATTTCAATTAAATTCGACAATAATAAGTTTAAACTAAGTCAATGCGGTATTTTAAAAGGTTACATGTTGAACTTACAACTTTTCTATTAAAAAACTGTTTTTAATACATGAAAGTCTTTAGTATATAAGCATTATTATATTTAAGAAAATATTTTATTCGTATTTATAATATTTTCAGACGGAAACTCGATAAAAACGAACGTACGACAAAACACTTTCATTCAATTTTAAAACATTAAATTCTTTGTTTCATTTCGTTCACTTGTAACTTTTGCAGTATTTTGTAAAAAAGATATTAAATTATTGAGAAATTAGGTTGTTTTAAAATACCCCTGGTTTTAATTTTTGAGTTTCCGCGAGTTTTCTGTCTGTCGAATATCATCATAATATTTGTTAAAAGTTAGCATAATCTAAGTTATCGATTACTTTTTTTTCGTTCTTAAAACATTATAAATTCTAATGTCAACTAAATAAAAGAAATTTAAAAATATTTCCGTCTTTTTCTTTTACTTAGAGTAAGATAAGGATAGAACATAAAACATATGGCTGCCTGAATGGCTAATGAGCCTTAATGAAATTGCATTAAAATTACATTATTAAAAAAAATATACTTTATTACAAAACATACATATACATTTAATAAACTTAATTATTATATACAGTATTTGAATGAAATAGGTGTTATGAAGTAAAAAAAATATTATTACATGTAAAAAAAGGCTAAAAAAAACTAAGCATCTGTCATAGTGGCTATAACGCCAGAATAAAATGGAGCAGGATTTAGAGGATTGTAATTCGCGCCAAATCTTCTAACAACTTCAATGTTGCCAGTTTGAAAAACTTGCTCCAGACCTAGTCTAACTTGAGCGGCTTGCACCGGGTCTGGGTTGAAGTTCGTCCCTTCTTTATTCTTAACATAGTAACTAATATCTCCTTGTGGGTCCATTGGTATTCGCGGCAAATACATATGCTCATATTTCAAAGATCTTTTAATAATTTTATGCAGTTTATCATGCTTTTTATGCCTAATTTCGTGTAGTTTTTGCAAATGAGTTAAAAGTCTAGGTTTTGAGTAACCTTTTCCTAAAGAGTGAACGTATGTGTGAACGATTTGTAAAGGCTTTGGTATGTGCATGTGAACGATCTTTTTATTGAATAGCGAACGTTTCTGAACGGTCTTCGGAACTGTCAAGTGGTTTTTGACGTCAAAATTGGCGGGCCTTTTTTCGTCGTGGTTTTTCGAGGTTATAGGATTTGCGTTATCCCAAACTTTGTATTTGATGTAGTAATTCGCTAATTTCGAGAATGGATCTTCTGGAAATCGTTTGTTAATCGATTTTATTTTAGAACTTTGGTATTTTGTCAATTTTTTCGTCATTTTGACAGGCGGCAAAAGATTCTCAAACTTTTTCCTGAATAACGGTCCCTTTTTGACGTACTTGTCAAACAATTTCCAATTTGACTTTTGATTGATATGATTTGACGTCATACTGTGATCATCAATTGACCGTTTTTTGAAAGACTTTGTGTTTATCACAGACACATCAGACACAGGATAATGTAGAAGCAAAGACGCATCTAGAGGCCTCTTTTCAACAGATTTCACAACAGGTTTAGGTAGAACAGACAAAGGATTGATTGAATTGGACATTTCAACTTTATCATCAATAGATCTTTTGTCGAAGTGCTTCTCAAAATGTTGTTTTTCTTCTTTCTTTTCAGCTAAATGAGCCAATCTTCTTTCTACTATGTTTTTGACAACCGATTTAATATTGGACAACCGATGTTTGATTAATTTGACAATTGGAACCGGGTAAGTAACTTCATGTAGAGGTTTAGTCGGAAAATAATAGGTATATTCAGTAGATCTCTTAGAAATTGATCGTTGGGGAAGCGGGCCTGAGGAGTCCGCTGCGATGAGAATCTCTGAAGGTCCTGCCACGTTGTCTGGTGTTCCACTCATCGGGACGACTGCGTCGGAGCTTGGGGGCGCTGGAGTTGTGCCTGGAAAGACGAGATTTATCAAGTCGATGATATACAAGGTGTAGTTTTGAAGCCGTGTCATTTCTCGGGGGCATGTCACAGAAGTCATAAAGGTTCAATGTAAGAGAAAATTTCGGGCCAATAGTTAAAAATACGGCTATAATAAATCGTAAGTACGACAGTTTTTCAGAATAAGCGACAGCAATGGTTGTTATTGGAGTTTTATGGAATTAGGAATAATATCAATTACTTGTTTGAGTTTGTGTGTGTTAAGCCGCGTTATAAAGCTAGTTACAAGACGGCGGCGTGTAGTTCGCACTTACGGATTTCCGTAATTAAAAGAAAAAATTAAAATTCTTACTTAATTTATTTATTGATTCGGGCTCAGAATCGATAGCCGAGTTACCTCCTAGAAAATGATGCGGCTTTAAAACAACACCTTGTATTTACCTCTAGACTAGTCACTGCTTTGGACTTACTGAATAAATTTCGATCGATGATACCGATTGCTTACCACCTATTTTATCTGATGTCCCGGGTATCCGTGAGTGGGACTATAGCTTACCACCAGGTGACCCGTCTGCTAGTTTGATACTATCCAAAATAAAATGGCCGTTGTGAATTGACAACCTTAATTCGGCTGCTGAACTTAGGAAACACAGCACCTCTTGCTCCACAACGGCGCTCACCAACAATGCATAAAATTATTTTTTTAAAAATGTTCAAAGCTCTCGCGTACCTTGATTGATAATCTGCTGCATCATATCAGGTATCTCCATGGGATACCGGCAGCGTACAGTTGCTGGTTCTGAAGACTTGCGCCGGAGACAGTCCATCATCTCCTTGTTGAGGTCGTCTGATGATGGCACCAGGGTCGGAGGTATCGGTGGTAGGGTTGGAGTACCTGCGAGTAAAATGGATATGACTGCTTCGTTGGCCGAGTGGTCACAAGGGCGACTGCCGGGCAAGGGGTCTCGGGTTCGATTTCCAGGTCGTTCAAAGTATTACTGGGTTTTTATAAATTCTCAGTAGTAGCACGGAGTCTGGAATTGTGCCCGGTATATGGCAATAAGCTCACCCCCTGTTACATGGGACTCATAACATATATAGTGAAAAGTGGGTGTTACATTGTACAGTGACATAATGTACACCTCCGTCTACCCCTTCGGGGATAAAAGACGCGATGTTATGTTATGTTATAATTTCCATTATCTGGTGGATTGTTGTCGTGGATTGGGGATCACCGCTTAAAAGGTTAAGGTTATCATGTTACTGTAAAAACTTTCTATATTTTTACTAGCGACCCGCCCCGGCTTCGCACGGGTGCAATATGCATGTATTATACATATAAACCTTCCTTAAGAATCACGCTATCTATTATATAGAAACCGCATCAAAACCCGTTGAGTCGTTGTAAAGATCTAAGCATACATAGGGACAGACAGACGGAGGATAGCGACTTTGTTTTATACTATGTAGTGATTGCAGGAAAAAAGCGTTGCGTACCGAAGTACTGATTCATGCCTAGTTCGGTCGCGAATTGGTTTTTAGTCTAATTCGTAAGGGTACACAGTATCCACATTTTGAGGAATTAAATTAAAAATTATTATTATATGTAGGTCTGTCAAATGTATTGTCCTTTAATCGGCTATTACGAAACCCACGGGAAGATGGGAGGTGCTAATAAATGCCTGCAGCCGTCACACATGGTTAAGTAATCATGTATATTATTATAAGCTCTTTTAGGAGCTAGGTAGGAGAGCCTAGTGTCCTAGAGGAGGTTTCTTCTTATCTTCTAGTAGTAGTGAAACTCCGATGAGAGGTGTTGACAAGAATGATTTTATTTCGCCAAACTACGCTACTTATATTTCTATTTACATATTTACAACTAGACAAGATCAGATATAGTTAGGTAATAGTTTCGACCAATAGCGGCGCGCCGGCGTGCGCGGGGCGCGCGGGGTGCGGGGCGCCGCTTTGCACACGGCACTATCGGTTGCTTCCGTATAAGTATGACCGCGCGGCGCGAGCGCGCGCATTTCTCCGAGAGCCGGC